CTCTGGCTGTTGTCGCACAAGCGACGGGGGGCTCTGGTTGGCTGCAGAAGAGTGTGCCGAAGCAGGCCAGCCAATGAGGACACGTGCACGGCCCCTCCCCCCGCCCCCCCGGCCGTGCGAGAGTGAGTGAGAGAGCGTGTCGGATTTCTATGAATGGAAATGCGGGGGAGGCTCTCAGACAGTGGCAGCCATTGTGGTGTCAGCTGGGGATTGATGAGGCCGTTATCAGCTCCCTCTGAGTCAGTCTCTCTCTCCGAGCCGCCGATGCTTTCGCAGCTCCTGACAGAGCCAGAGCCAGCCTGACAGCACGCCCAGGCCGCCAGAGCTCCCCTTCTGTCACGCCAATCGGGCAGGGCCTTCTTGCAGGAGCCCCACTGCCTCTGCCCCCTGTAACACCCCGACCCCCAGTAGCAAATCATCACACTCGTTGCGATTTTTAGATGCTGTGAACAATAGGAATGCAGATTGTGCCACCGTGATCCCAGGGAAATGGGATCTTATAGTGTTTCCCCTTCATTAACCAGGCTTATTAAATAGATGAGGCTGATTTATCCGAGGTTCACTTGTTCCACACCCCCCCCTACCCTTTGTGTAAAAGAATGTAATTTCCCTTTCCTTGCCTAGACCGCTAACTCGGCAGGGTGTGGCGCAGACTGGCCACCCCTCTTATTCTGCTATATCTGCAAGCTCTGCATTGCCTTACAGGCAGGTTAGAGGGGCAGTGCTTCTGTCCCCGAAGCCTCTGCAAGCTTGCTGGCACCTGGCACCTCACACGAGTGGCTCCTTGGCCAGGAAGCCAGGGGCTGTGCGCTGATCCCTGGGGAGTCCTGGTCTTCCGAATGAATAATCGCACATGGACTGCAGACCAGGCTGCACGATGTCATCAAGAAAGGGCTGCATAGCTTTAAAACGAAAGCTATAACCCCTGTTATGAGTTATGAAAGCTTATTAGTGGTGTGATGTACTCCCTTGCACTCGTTTGTGTGTAGAACAGGTAATGGCTCCTGTTAATATATTTATAGAAAAGCACTACTAATGTCATGCTAATCAGGTATACCAGAAACTAATGGCATTTTGGACAGCTTTCTCTTCAAGACTCGGTAAAATCAGTTCAGTAAAAAGAAAGGATTTGTTCATGTACATTCAAATTCTAATTATGTAAAGATCATGTACAAAACAAAAATTGCAATAGATTACAATGAAATTGCTCAAACTACATCATATCATAGCATAGCTTCACTTATACCCTCTAAAAACAATATTATAGCAGTCAGGGAATATATCCTGCTGGAAAATCACTTCATATGATGATCGTGTTGGAAACTCAGCAGTCTGACTCTTATAGTGTAAAGCCAAGTTTGAGGAGTGTAACAGATTTTTGTATTATAGTGCTGTGTTTCAAAATAAGCTAATGAGAAAGTCTTCGGGCTTTAATTATATTTGCTGTCTGTAATAAAGATGAGGATTTTTTGACACTAAGTGTGTTCTCTATTAGGAGTGTTGTTAGACTTGTATTTTTCTTTAACCACTAATTGGTTTCTTTTTAATAATTGCTACCAGGTGTTCTAGAAAAAACCAAACACGAATCAAAAAGGCCAAAATAATAGTCACTGTTCACTCGGTTAGTTTTTTTCTCCTTTGTATTGTATTCAATTCCATAACAGGTCTATGACCGTTGTCTATTGTGCTAAAGACAATAAATTAATATAGCAGTATTATAATAATTTTATCATTTAATTTGTATCAAAATTCTTAATTGTTTGTCATTTGTATAGCACTTCTCAGAAGTGAGAAATGACTTAATCAAATTAAAATTAAGGTGGAACTGGAAGTGGACCAGATTGTGGAAAGTCCAGAGTGGGGTTTAGCTATACTGGTATACTGGCAGAGTGTCACCCACTGGTCCACCAGTCTCCAGTCCCAGTGCTGACTGGGCCCGGCCCTGCTGAGATCGTGAGGCCTAAAATCAGGGTACGAGGCGGTGACACTGCTGTCGCCCTAGTCTGAGGAAGCATGCTGGAGGAAAGCGGGTTTCTGCCTCGCTTCTCCTCACCAGCCATCAGAAGACCCTGCAGAGGGGAGATCTCAGCCATCCAGTCGATCTCACCAGAGGTCAGCGCTGGTCCTGTGTGTCCCAGCAGCTGCTGCCCAAAAGCTGTAGAGAAGAACATGCACCGGGTACCCCAGGAACTCTGGGACATTTTCAATCTGACTGCAGCCTGGTCCAGATATGGTGCTCAAGGTCACCCCCGTTTCAGGATTAAAATAGATCATTGGTGACAACACTTTCTTTCTCTGACTGACACGGATTACACCTCGGTAACGTCAGGCATACACTGTAGAGACTCTCCTTTTTGTTGCAAATGCGCACTTTCATTTGTGGTAAGAATGATGTGCTCGTTACTAAGTAACGTGCACAGCGTGAAGAAAGAAACCGCTGACAGACTGAACTAGGTGTTTGGATTAAAGGGGTGCTGTTTAATTAAAATAGGCAGAACAGCAAACCGATAGAAATATTAACTTGTCACAGGTGCTCAATTAGTGGGAATACGTAGACTGAGGCATTGTGGGAACAGCAGTAGGCGCTCTGCCAGTCGTGACGATTAAACAAGGATGTTGGCTTCTCTGGCTTGTTCGTACCACTTGTTTCTTACTGGTTCAACTGCCACCTCAGACATGAGCTCTTTCCAGGGGAGCTGTGCTGGAGGAGGTGGCTGAATTTTGTTGGGAGAAACTGTTCTACTTCAGGAGCTTAAAAATGACTGAAGAACAAGATGCAGAATAACCAGAATAGTGCCGCATGTAGAATGTGAATGAGGTATTTGTGGACTGACTTATTAAACTGTAGTAGTGAGTGTCAAACCCCCGAGTGCCCGGCCCGCAGATGTAGACCGTGCCGTCATTGGGCTGCCCTTGACGGAGCCTGCTCCACTTCTCCTGCTGGCTGCGCGCCGCTCCAGCTCCTGAAAAACCAGAGCAGCAGGAAAACAAGGAAGGGCAGCGGAAAATCCGCCCTACTTTTTGCTGCAACTTACTTTTTTACTGCTGCTTTTCTAGCACGATAACTCCAGGACGCTGGATCTCAAATTCCTACACAGTGATAATATCACACATCCCAAACAGCTGCAACATGAAGGATTGGTAACAATTTGACACCCTAGAAAATAAAAACTGACGTCACAGGGTCCGCTGTCATGCCAGGCAGGTGCGGGCTGACACAGGCGCTGTAAGCATTGGCAGAGTGGCCCACCGGCAACACTACCATATTCATCAATGGCAGGCTGAGCGCGTTACCGTAGCAACAGCGCCAGATGTCAGTGCTGGTCTGTGTGTTGTCATGGTTACACCATCAGCTGTCAAGCTCTTGATTCATGTTGGATTCTCATGGGTACAACACCAGACAGAGACTGATGCCAATCCCGACTAAGTCACGATAGGAACAGCACCCGCAGGGCAAGGTCATGCTCTAGAACAAACCCCAGATCCTGGTGTTTCTCCCGACTAACCAGATAACCCCTGCGGAAAACCTTAGCACTGAAACACTGTAGGAGGACACGGTTGTAGCACATGCAGTCAAAACACTATAATGCTGCAACAGCCAAACTAGAGCCTTGACAAAACTGCCCCGGTGTTTATTTGAGGGGGTTTTGTCAGTTGTTGTAAGTGATGCTGGGTGGGCCAGAAAGTTGCACTCTCTTTTGAAATAAAAGTATATTTTGCTGCATAACCAGTTTTCCAGTTTGTCACTAGAAAAGAGAACTTCCTCTCAACCGAGGAAGCAAAGGAACTCACTTGCAGAACTATTCTGGGGATGGGATGTTCCTATACAAGCTGGCGCAGTGGTCAGCATTGCTGCCTTGCAGAGCTGCAGCCCTGGGTTCGATTCCAGATCTGGGCTGCTGTCTGTGTGGAGTCTGCATGTTTGTGTCCACCAGGTGCTCCGGTTTCCTCCCGCAATACAAAATATAGTGGTAGATTAATTCACTTCTGGTGAAATTGACCTTGGTGTGAGTGTGCGCGGCCTGTGATGGACTGGCGTCTCATCCAGGGTGTAGCCCGCCTTGTGCCTTGTGCTTGCTGCGATAGGCTCTGCCTCTTCAATGACCCTGAATTGGATGAAGTGGTTAGAAAATGGATGTTATTACGTACACTCTCTAAAGTATGCAATTCTATCTTCACATTTCTAGATTTCTAACCAATCTCTGACTATAGTGTGAGATGATCCAAGAGCAGGACGCTGAGGTGTCCCCAATGTGTCCCTGGCTGGACACTGTCCAGAACAGGAGAACCAGCTGGCCCGAGACAGCCCTGCATTACAGCATTGTCACGACTAAATTATAATGAGCAGCTGAGAAAACCATCTTCATTTCCAAAGGGACGTCTTTCTTTTTCAGTCATTAGGCTTCCACTGCTGCCGAAACACCACATCGGCGTAACAGAGCTAATGAATGTGTGATTACAGTGTGGCTAATTGGTGTGCGTTAGGAGAGCTCCGGCTCCACTCGTCTCATTCATTCACACCAGGCAGCGTTCTGGCACTCGAGTCTTCTCTCCCGGGGGCTCCTGCTTCTCATTCTGAAGGCCTTGCAGAGCTTTCACTGATATCCAGGGTGGTTAGGGCCTGCAGTCTGACTTACACTTGATCACAGATTTTCTGTGTTTCAGTTTTACATCGATTTCAGTTTTTTGAACAGTTCGCTCCAAATGGTTTGTTTTAGCCAACATGTGGGAGGAGGTCAAATTCCAGTCCTGTCCTGCACTTCTACTCTTGGCTCGCAAGGAGAGATCAGTCTCCAGTCTTCCCCTGAACGAGTGAATAACAGGATTCGGAGTGGTAAAGCATTGCAGTCACCCTGTTTTGCTGCAGCTGGTCACTGTGATCTTGTGTGATCTTACTCTTGTATCTTGCCAAGTGTGCAGCCCTGGACACTGCTATCTGGGAGGTGACTCTTCGCCTGTGAGAGATCAGTCCTGATTAACCCCCCCTCCCCTCTCTGCAGTAACTGCCCCTTCTCCCTGGCGGCGGGCCTGGCGCGGGCCACAGCCGACGAGATCCTGCAGAGCGACCTGTCCGTGCACTACGTCAACAAGCCAGCGGACGCCGCCGACCCCTACCCCCGTGAGTGACCCCTGGAAAACACACACACAGTTGCTCTGAGACATGGGTGCAAGAGAGGGGGGCGGTTGTCATGCTGATGGCACAGAATTCCTGGGAATTTTACAGCTTTTCCAAGGGGAGTTGGATCCCTATGCACTAGCTGCAGAGGTGTACCCCATAGTGTGGTAGGAAAGGAGGCATCTTTTAGGCTTGGTTCTGGGCTCTGCATGCGAACTGGAAGGTGACTGAGATACCAGAGGAGCCCAGGCAGACAGAGCTTGCAGCACAGGCCTCTCGGGCAGCTGGACAGATCGATTGTGTCCTTTTACAGCCCCGAAGACCCCGAGCATGGACAGAGGTCCCAACCACGAACACGGCAGCCATATTTAGATAGGAGGTGGAGGCTGGAGTGTTAAAGTAGTTCCTATTCAGTGTGAGGACTGGAAACTCGATCTCCTGATTGTTAGCCGGGGCTCAGTGCTTCTGCTTGAGAGATACTCTCCTGTCAGCAGGGTTTGTATATTGGCAGGGGGCGCTATTACAAGGGCTCTCAATTAAAGATTTACTTTGAATGGAAAATGAAATGCACACAATGCCACATTTGACATCGGATGGTGCAACACTTCTTATTTTGTAAAGAAAAAAGGTTCTATAAAAGATGCAGGGAGAACAATACAAATTTTAATCTAAATGTAGGTACTATTTATCAGCATGTCCAGCATGAAACGTGTGCTTCTGCAGGCCTGGCTGATGTCAGTGCTTTAGGCTGTGCTCGTGAGTGCGCTGCGGTCTGTCTGCCTGCACAGAGCTGGAGTCCGTGAAGCTGGCTCGCCTGGTCTTCAACAAGCTGCACGAGATGTGCTGCCTGTGGCTGAAGGACATGCCTCGCCGCCGGCGCCCCCAGCGCTTCTACGAGACCTCCATCCACGCCATCAAGAACATGCGCCGCAAGATGGAGGACAAGCACATCGTCATCCCCGACTTCAACATGCTCTTCAACCTGCAGGTACGCCACTGCGCTGCACCCACGCTGACACCCCCACACCCCCACACTGACACACCCACACCCCCACACTGACACACCCACACCCACACCCCCACACTGACACACCCACACTGACACACCCACACCCCCACACTGACACACCCACACCCCCACACTGACACACCCACACCCCCACACCCCCACACTGACACACTCATACTGACACCCACACGTTGACACTATCACACACTGGAAAAACATATACACACACACTCTCGCTCACATACACATATACACCCACACTGACACACTCTCACTAACAAACACATTTACACAAAAGTATGCACACACTCACATTGTCACACACTCTCACACACCTGCCTTTGGAGCTGAAGTATGTCACGATCTGACCCCTCACCAATTTCTCAGAAACACGAGAACCAGCCTCCCTGTGCAAAATCACTGGGACTCTACGGGCTGTTGGGGAAAAAAGTCTGGGAAATCTTATTCACATTCAACCAAACCTGAAGGGGACAACATCAGTGACTCACCTAACTGAGCTCTCGATGCTGTTGAAGATGGAGTAGAATGCTCAAACAGTTTTTTCTATGCTTTTTTTAACTCTGAATATTGGTTTTAAGTCAGGTACTTGAGTCTGGAGTCTGTCTGCCACCTTGTCAAGCACTGCACAGAGCACAGAAGCTGCAGCACAATATAAAGCTCTTTTTACTTCTATTCAAAATATTCAGGATGACAGGCTGGCAGAGAAGCAGCTGAACAACAACAAAAAAATTGACAGGAATGTTCAGTACACAGAGGTGGCAAAAAACATCATGTTCCAGAATCACTTTGTTTTGTTTTTTTAAAAGCTTTTGCTTTCACAAACGGCTGCTTGATGGAGATTTTTCAGTGTGGAATATTTACTGATTTCCATTCAAAACTCCTCCAGGATGGAGCCATTGGGTTAACAGAACTCTACACCACTCTGATAAATGCTATCTGGTACCTGTTTATTGACTGAATAGAGCTGAATGATCACAATAACAGAGGACAGATTACAAACGAGACCATTTGCCTGGGTCCCAGGGAATAAGTACATTCTGTGTAGCTTGTTCCATGCTCCCTCCACTCTTTGCGTAAGGACAGTGGAGTTATGCATGGGTCTGTGAAGGGTGCAGTAGCCCTCCTCCACAGTTAAGGTACATCATTCATTTTAACTGGCTGGCTAATTAATTTCCCTCTCTTTGGGGCTGTTTTCTCATGCAGCACCTCAGTGCAGGAGAGTTAGTGCTTCATTTAAATGGAAGATCAAGGTGACTGATGCTTCTTTTCCTTTGATTGTTTGCGTTTAAGACACCAGTGTGTATCGTTTAAAAACTACACTCTAGCTTGTCTACTCTTGGACGGTTAAATAATCTAATTCCATTTGTCTCGGCTAATTCCTCTTTCTCTGCTCCTCAAGCAGAAGGGAATATTTCAGCTAAGCGCTGGGGCTCAGCAGTTAAGAACACATGCTTGTCCATTCTGTCCTCTCAGTTCTAGTCTGCTCCCAGAGAAATCCCGATATACCTGCCTTTATCCAATTCAGGGTCCAGTGGGAGCCAGGCAGGGTCAGACAGACACACCCACTCCCACCAGGGCCAATTTTCTCACAAGGCAAGTAGCTGTGGGCTGTGGGAAGAAACTGAAACACCTGGGAAAAACCCACACAAATGCAGGGAGACCATACAAACTCCACACAGACAGCACCCCACTAGAATTGAACCCAGAGCCCCAGAGCTGTGAGGGCGGCAACGCAGACCACTCCGTCACCATGCTGCCCCGGCAGAAAAACCAAAATGTCAGATAAAACTGGAGGTCCGCTCGCGTGGAGACGTGATCTCACTGTCTGTGTGCCCCCTGCTGGCAGGACCAGGAGGAGCAGGCGTATTTCGCGGTGTTCGATGGGCACGGTGGGGTGGACGCCGCCATCTACGCCTCCAACCACCTCCACGTCAACCTGGTGCGGCAGGAGATGTTCAGCCAGGACCCCAGCGAGGCGCTGTGCCGCGCGTTCAAGCTCACGGACGAGCGCTTCGTGCAGAAGGCGAGCCGCGAGGTGAGGGCGCCGGGGGGTCTGTGCGCAGACTGCTGGGGAATCCTGCCCGGCGAGCGTTAGGAAACAGAAGGCAGATTTAAGAGCCGGCGTCACGATTGTTGCTGCACGTCTGGTATTGAAGGCAGTAGCAGACCTGGCCACAGCTGAGTAAAAGGCGCTGTGTGTGTTGCAGAACCTGCGCTGTGGCACGACGGGGGTGGTGACCTTCCTGCGGGGCAGGACACTGCACGTGGCCTGGCTGGGAGACTCGCAGGTCATGCTGGTGCGCAGAGGGCAGCCCGTGGAGCTGATGAAACCCCACAAGCCCGACCGCGAGGTGAGCCCTGGACGAGCAGGAGCTTATTCCATGTGTACATGCAAAAGCTCAGCCCTCACATGACGGCTTCAGCCTCCCAGATGACCAATTAAGTGGGAGTAAAACCCAGTCATCTTAACTCAACATGCAGTGAAGAGTAGAGCTCATTGCTGGCTGTAGAAAAGGTGCAGCCTGTGGTCATGTCCAGGGGATATTCAGTGACCCCCTACACAATTCCGTTGTAGCTCAGATGACAAACATGCTTCCCTGAATGCAAGCTGAGTGTGCCCTTTCCAGGACCTGAAGGCTCTCTGTAGGGCAGATTTTAGTAACAGAAAAGTATACACGCCTTTGCTGGATCATGCTTGCTGTTCTTATAACTTACACCCCACAGGACAGGAGTGTTAGATCACAGTTAAGGTTTATTCCCTTCTGCAAAAAAGAAGAAAAGAAACGCAACGTTTCAGCTGTGGAGCCTTCTTTGAGTGTGTTAGAACATAGTCCACACCATCAGCTTGAAGGGAGACTAGACTCGACTGAGACTGAACACTTCCAACAGCTGCTGCACTAGGGAGATGAACACACAGCCCAGGGGGAACCCTGTCTCTAGCTCAATCGACAGCTACAGTTTTCCCCTCCGCTGACCAGAGAGATGGACTGGGAGAGGAGCCAGGCGGAAATGGCGCGCTGCAGCCCTGACCTGCCCTCTATCTCCCCCTGCAGGACGAGAAGCAGCGGATCGAGGCGCTGGGGGGCTGTGTGATCTGGTTCGGGGCCTGGAGGGTGAACGGCAGCCTGTCGGTGTCCAGGGCCATCGGTACGCAGGGGCTCGTCCGCACTGAGAAAGGAGTTATTCATTCTCACGCAGAGCCTAGTAAAAGCTCGTTTTTTGTGGGACCTGTCTGGGGGGAGTAATCAGCCTCTAACGGCCCTGCCCCCCTGTCCTCTCCCAGGTGACTCGGAGCACAAGCCCTACATCTGCGGCGACGCTGACCACAGCTCCTTGCCGCTGGACGGCTCGGAGGACTACCTGATCCTGGCCTGCGACGGCTTCTACGACACGGTGAGCCCGGATGAGGCGGTGCGGGTCGTGTCGGACCACCTGCAGGAGAACAACGGCGACAGCAGCATGGTGGCCCACAAGCTGGTGGCCTCGGCCCGGGACGCCGGCTCCAGCGACAACATCACCGTCATCGTGGTGTTCCTGCGCGACCCCCGCGCCCCGCCGCCCCCCGAGGGCCTGGAGGAGGAGGAGGAGGAGGAGGAGGAGGAGGAGGAAGGCCTGCAGCAGGGCGAGCTGGCGGGCCAGGACGGCGGGACCGAGGGCGGGGGGGGCAAGGGCCGGGGGAGCTGGCCCCTGCAGCAGTGCTCGGCCCCAGCGGACCTTGGGTACGAGGACCGGATGGACTCCTTCACTGACAGAACTAGCCTGAGCCTCGGGCCCGAGCTGGCGCTGGGCGGAGGGTGGCTCCGTCTCCCGGCCCCGGATCGCCCTGCTGTCAGAACCCTGGCCCCGCTGGCAGCTGCGTGGCGCCCCCCCGGAGAAGAGGGTCCCTGCGCCTACAGACACGCCCCCTGGGGGCCCCCGCCCAGCGTTCCCTCCTGTCAGAGCCCCGGCCCGCTGGGACACTGGCTCGAAGCAGCTGCGCTCTTCTCCCGGGATCGGAGACCCCCCAGGCACCTGGAATCCGCCCTCCCAAGAGTGGGGGGCCGGCGGGGCCACAGGGGTGCCAGGGAGCCCTGCCTGCCCCGCTCCCTGCGAGGGGGGGCCCCCTATCCGCGGCGCTGTCCTGAGCGCAGACCAGGGGTGGCCCTCCCACGCGTGCCCCAAGGCTGCAGCGTCTGAGAGAGGCGTCCCTGTGTCCCCCTGCTCTGCCCCCCCTCCCCGGCATAGACGAAGCATCTCACCTCCCTCAGGCCCTGCGCCTGGGACACTGTGGTCACGCCAAGGCCAAGCAGCACACGCCACCGTCTGCGCCACTCCCAATCCCCCTTCCCCATCACGGTGTCCAGCTGGCCCGATTCTGGCCCCCCCAGCACACTTTGACACAGAGGATCGCATAGATCCACATAGAGCCCAAAAAATCTAGACGCGCATTAGGACTCGGATCAGAAACCAGGTTTCAGTGAAAGAAAGGACTATGTTTGCCGTTCTGCTATGACACACTAGAATGCCACAGAATGAAGGAAAGAATGGTGCCCAACTCAACACCTTTGAAATCAATCCTGCTGTGTCTTCTAACCCCATGCAAGACACTCGTTAAACTCCTGGACATAGATGAGGAGAAGCCATCCCCAACCAGAACTATGCATTAGAAGTGTCCAGATAGCCATGCCATTGTGTTTTGTCACAGCCAATGCAGTAGAAACCAAGCAGGAGTTAAGCAAATGTGTGCCTTTATATCTCCCCAGAGGAGACTGAAGACTGTGTATTTGTGACAGGGGCTCCTGAATGGCTTCGCCAGAAAAACACTCACCTTGAGGTCTAAGATCCAGATGTTGCAGGTTCGAACCCACAGATACTGCGATTCCTCAAGCAACGGCTCACAGATGGCCGAGTGGTGCAGGGATCAGGTCAGGATATGTCAACCAGGGTCTCTCGGGTCAAGTGGAGACAGGCTCATGGTGATGTCAGTATGGGCCGTATCTGTCCTCCAATCAGCACTGTGGAGCTTGTCATGTCACAGGGCAAAGGTCACAGTGAGGGGGCAGAGCCTGTCGACACTTCCTCTTTCTCGTCATGGGGGCAGAGGGGTACCTGGACAGCCTAATTGGTTAAGAACAGAAAGGGGGTGAGTGAGCTGGGGGATAAACCTCTCATTATGCCAGAGTGATAGGGTGGATAGAAATTCCTGAGTGGATCAGGGAGTCTCCGAGCTCACTGGAGGTGCTCTACCGATTCCAGTTATCCAGCTGCTTCTGTGGTATTAGCATAGATGTAAAACTACAAGACATACCAGACCGCTTAAGTAGTAAAAGCATTTTTTCTTTTCGCGTTTCGAATAGAGCAGGAGGCATCTTTCAGGCTTCATCGTACTCGCCCATGATGCGATACAGCAGCCCCTTCGTTCTAGCGCGATGTTTAAATTGTCTTCAGCGCAGCTTTAATCCGCAATCTGTTCACGATACCCACTTTCACGAGGAGCAACAGCTCCTGCCAGTTCAATGCAGTGAAAGAGGGTTATTGAGTGTTTAGTCAGTGGGCCAGAAGACCCCCGTACCTGAGGAGGCGAATGTGAGGGAGAACAGGCTGTCGTGGGGCATTTCTACTTTCTTTTTATCGCGGAAAGGTTGTCTGGAAAGATTAAGAGCAGCTGAGGTGAAAGTGAAGTTGTCTGCTGCCATCGCTGCTGAACGTGTGCTGCAAACTCCATCGTCTGCCACCACAGTAAAAGAAAACGTTTATAAATGAATAGGGCAGCAGGCAGAGCATCTCGCTGACCCTTTGGTAATGAATGAACATGCAGCACTATCTAGCTCCCTGCTCCCATGCTTTACTGGTTGTGGAGGAAGCAGACTGGGTTTTGACGTGTTTGAGGCTCAGCTCCCTGGAAGATTTACAGCAGGCGGAGGCGCAGAGCAGCTCCAACAGAGGAGCAGGAATGGGCTCGCCCTGCGCACAGACAGCCCAGACAGGCTCATCTGAACACAACCTTCCCGATACAGGGCCTATCCCCTCCCCAGCTGCACAGGCCTCTCTCTTCCCGGAGAGAGGGCTTCTGCGGCCCGGGAGATGGAATGGGGAATCACCCTGCACCGTGGCGCTGGTCCCCTCGGCCGTCTTCCTCAGCGCCCAGCCTCTCAGTCCCCGCAGGTCCGTATATCATTCCAGACATGCCACTGGTAAAAAGCATAGTTTTCCTCAAAAGTAAAGCAAAACCTGGGGATTGGTTGACATTTCCCAGACAAAGCCATTCCAGCAGCAGTTTCAGAAATGAAGCTGTGCAGTGAGGGCGAAGCTTGTTAAGCACTGGAGTGAATCGTCTGGTTTTTGGGGGCCGAGCTCTGCGCGGATGCCCCCAGCTGTGAGCCAGGTTTTCTTCACTGCACTGGATGTGCTAGATCTCCGCTGCCTCTCCTCGCGTCTGTGGTCCAACTGCAGCTCTGGCCTGGCGGTCTCTCGGCGCGTCGGCGAGTGTGTGTGGTGCTGGGTCCTTCTCTGCGTGGACATCCCGGGGGGGGGGGGGCCCAGGGAGGGGCTCCACAGACTGCAAAGGCTCAAGGTCATTCCCCAACCCCCCCTCCCGGTCACTGTGGAGACGGTCCTTCTCCCTCCCTCAAGACTTCAACGCTCGTCTCACCGCCTCCCTCCAGCCCTCCTGACCTAATCCGTGCAGGAATTCTTGAAATATATTTGTGTGTGGGTGTGGGTGTGTGGGCGTGTGTGCGTGTCTGTGTCTACTATTTAAACCAACACTGTAAACTAGCAAGATCTCACTCTCCATCGTCCGTGTACTGCAGTCCTAACCTTGTGTCTCCGCGGCAGGAGAGTGGTGGGCCTGTTGCGCCGAACGGGAGCACAGGAAACGCATGATGGAGGCCTTCCTGCCTGGCCTGGGGAGAGTCAAGAGAGCACGTGGAAAGAGCACAATAGCGGAGTTCACATTGATCAAGGCAGTCTTTAATTATGGTCCGCACATCCAAAGTGCTCATTGACTGCCTCATGTGAGCTGATCGCGCTTTGCTGGCTGTAGCCTTGAGGCCCTGCGAGGGCAGTAGTGTCCAAAGAGCCCTGGTCTTTCTGGGGTGGCAGCTTGGTCTTGCTCTTTCAATCGAGAGCCTCTTCCCAGTGCTGTCCGAACCCGAGCTCGTCCGTGTGCGCTCAGGCCCAGCGCTCGGCTTGGGCTGGGGGAGAGACTGGGGCCGGGAGCCCCCCGCCCTGCCGCGGGCAAGAAGGAGCATTGCTCTCCAGGTTCGTCCCGCAGTCTCTGCCCTCTTCTCCACTGCTTGCTCCTGTAAGCAATAACTCATCGTTCTGGGCCGCCAGCAGGGAGAGGAAGTCAGCTCCAGGGTCTAGTCTGTGACAACAGGCTGCCCCTCCCAAAAAGACAGAAACATTTTCCCCTCGTCTTGATCCTGCCCTTCAGACCCTCGGTTCTGCATTTCCTCAGATATCCGAAGTCTGCAGGAAACACGCTGGTGACTGAACACAGGCACAGTAACACAGAATAAACCTACCGAAAACAAACTGAAACTGAAAAAGAGACTGGCCTGAAATAAACATTGGACCATCACCTGCCCCTCTCTCACAGCTGATGCAAAATTATTTTCAGGATTCCTGCTCAAATGGCACAATCCCACAATCCTCTGCAGCTGCCCCCCTCCGCGCTGAGACGGAGACCTCCCACTCATGAGTCACACGCTGTCGTGTGCAGATACAGATGCCCAAAACGTGACAAACTGGCTGTCAACTTTCATTCAAAGGGAAAGGAAAGTTTTATCTCTTGCTTTCCACCAGCACTCTCAGCACTGTCCACAGTGCTTAATATACGACAGACCCTGTCTGGCTCCTCTCCTGCTGCAGGCTAGATTAACAGTAATCGTTCTGTATCCTCAGTGTTCTGATGGCTATATTTCTGGTGACTAGTATATTGTGTATAAAAATAAGATCAAGTATATGTCTGATGTCATTTTATTCCCATGTTGTGACCTGGGGTTTGGTCTGTGACTGTGTTCCTGTCTGTTTTCTGAAGAGTCCTCTCTCCGCGCTCAGAGCCGAGCGTACCTGCCTTCCTGCGCCGCTGACAGCACGGGGCCCCTGCTGCTCTGCCTTGAATCAGCAACGTCTCTGACCCTGACCTGTCCAGCACTGCAATAATTAAACTAACCAAGGCGTTTCTTAACCAAGCTTACCAAACCTCCTGCTGTGGTGTGTGAGCTGTCCCTGCTCCATGGGAAAGCTGGAAAGCAGAACTCCTGACTGGGGGTATGGAATTAGGTGTCAGAGCACTAGCCTCCATCTGCAGCTGGATGCGTAAGCAAAGTGCTTGATCTTATTATATTGCAGCTTAGGGTAACGTGCAACGGACTACAAGCCCAACTGCACTCTCGGTTTGCTTGAATCAACAGAATCTGGGATAGATCAGGAGACAGGGCTGGAATTCACTTTGTGCAAAGCCTGCAGGGGAGCAGCTGTTCTCAACTGCAGCTGGAGTTTAAACTGAGATGTGCAGGCTATCTAAAATGATGGCATCTCTTCTATTTGAGAGCGAGCATCGAGTTGCATGAAATGAGCAACAATTTTAAAAAAAGGTATTTGGCTGCAGTCTTGTCTAACAGTGTGGACTGTTGAAATGCTGTTCCCTCGCTTGGCAGAGTTAACAAATCACTTCATTCGAAGCAGGGGTGTAGCGCACTGTACACAGTTTTAAGAAACGTACAGAACTGGTATTCTTACTAGTGGGCACACATTTCGAGAGCACTCAGAATCATCGGTGACAAGCCTCTGAAGTTGCTGCAAGAAACATTTGGCATTTGTGCAAGAGGTTGTTGGCAGGCCAGGAATTAGTTTGGTCAGTGTGGTTCAGCAGATACCTCGGCCGCATTCGTGGGTGTGGGCAGGGGGCAGAGGTCAGGGGTCAGCCACACAGATCAGGCTGCTTCACCAACAAGACAGTCCCAAAATCCCAATATTTAGATATTTTACTCAGAGAAGACTTGGATGGGGGGGGGGGGGAGGTTCTGGGCAGGAAGTATTCATTCAATCAAATTACAATTACACATGCATGGCAAATAATGGATTCTGTTTGAGCAGCTAACAGAGCAAGTAGAGTATTTTACCAGCTCCTGCAGGAAACCTGCTCGGCACTGGCAGCCCTCCAGTCCAGCCCCGTTCCTGACTGGACACGGGGATCAAACACAGCGGCCGTCTTGCACGCAGTCACAGTACAAGCCAGGCTGCTGGCGGACAGCTGGGCCTGTGGAACGGATTGGGGCACAGAAATTTGTACACAGCCAAAAAAATTGGAATAACATTGCCTGCCATTTATCACTTATCCATGAATAAAAGCTGAGAAATGCCAGTAATCAGTTCTGACTGAACAGTGCTTTATAGCCGTTTCCATGGAGATTTATTTCACAAAAAGAACAAATCGCAGGCTGACAAGAGCTCTAAATTAAGCTTGGGCAGTGGCAGTACAAGGTCATAACATACGTGTTCAAACAGTGACGATCGCCGTGTCTGCTGGACTCTCGCCAAGACCAGTCAGTCCAGAGATCCCTGGTTCGAACCCGGGCTGCGGGAAGAGTTCGAAGCTGACAACTGGGCAGCAGTGGCCCCTGCGCCTGGACAGATTCCCAGAGGAGTAGAATATTGCAGGTCATAAAAGAAGAAAGCTTGTCTGCTGAATGTTTCATGTGCCACCTCCCGCCTGCCAAAGAATCTGAGGGGGTTTGGTACCAGTATAACTGACCAAGGTGGACAAAGAGGATCAAATGAGATCAATGGGCCGGAGCCTCCTCTCACTTTCAGCATTCCTGATGCTGTGATCCCTGAGCACACATCCATAAAAAGACCACCCCCCCCAACTTAAGGTGAGGCTGCTCTAGGAAGGTTTGTGTAGGAGTTAAAGAACAGGGAGGTGCGTGCCAAATCATACCCACTCACGGCCTTTAGAGTGGCGACAGGAGCAGGTGTCTGGGTTGTCCTGCTAGGACAGTCACGCCTATATCACCGCTGGGCCTGCACGGTGGACACGCGGCCACATTCCAGTAGCTTGCGCGCCTTTTATTTGACATCGCCTTCCTTGCGCCAGTAGGCAGGGCGCAAGGACCAACACCTGGCAGAGTCAGAGTCACATGAGGCATATTTCAAAGACAGACGAAGGGAACTTGCAAAAAAAAATTAAATGCGTTAAAAAATCCCCATTGGATTAGAGCATTAATCTGCTCATCAGGAAATGAGATTTGGTAGCCGACGTGCTCTACATCCCGACCCAGCAGAAAGGCACTCCCCGGCTGTCTTTAGGAGATGGGAAGACTGCGGAGCCCATCCCATGCTTTCCGCAGACTGTCCTGGTGCAGCCTGCTGAAGCACCTCGTGCAGTTCAGGAACCCCCAGCTCTGTCTCTTTCTCCCACTCTTTAATGGTCTGTATGTCTTTTGAGTCTGGAGATGTTAAGAAATATTTGCCTGTTCTGGTGTGAAAGAAATGAATAAATTGTCCTCCAGACCCCCTCTCCTGTGTCTCACCTGTGTGTGTTACAGAATCTCACCTATAAAATCAGAATGAGCTAAATGTCCTCATGTTCACTCCACCCATCTTCTTAATGAAGTGTCATGAAGTCTTTAACAGAATTTAAAGAACAGTAAAATTAAAGTTATGCACTAAAGTCCCTGAGGAATTGACAATTTCCTCTCCTCAGCCAGGACAAATCCTTTATGTTTTTAATTAACAATGACAAAGAACATGAGCACAAACAGCATGTGAGGGGAAAGATGTTACAACCCATGTTGTTTATAACAAGACATAAGACATGCTGTACCTTTAAGAGATACCTTCTCTAGCTGTGGGGAAGTCAAGTGGAGTCCCATAGAGAACAACTGACAATTTTGACTATTTGGAACCTGTAAAAAGCAGTGAAGTGCATTACTGCTAAATGTGCAAATTCATTCATTCACTTCAAGAGCCAAAACAAATCTGCTAACAATTAAAAATAATGAATATAAAAATATACATAATAGTTAACCTATTCCCATGTCATCAGGAGAGAAAATGTTTTTCTCCTGCAGAACCTAGTTGGTCCTTGCAATGAACTATTTTTAAAACATATCTGCAAAGTCAGAACTGAAAAATGTCTCTTTACTTTCCCCACATAGGGCACACATCCTAGCTGATTAAGTAAGGACCTAAATAAAATCATGCCAGGGATGTTCGTAAATCACAGTGGCTCACATTTACAAATCAGGGCACCTGGATTATGAAATATCAGCCTAGAATGGGTTCATCTCTCCAGCTCTGACTTCTAAAAACTAGTACAAGGATGGAGGATTACTAAAGGGAATCCAAACTTGGTGGTGAAGGCCCTGCATCAACCGACAGACCACAGCATCGCTTGGGAACATCAGGGCAACAAACATGGTTTCCTAGGTGGATTTAAACAGAAATGGAGAACAGCCCATCACTTCAGCTTTTTTGAAAAGATGACTTTGATTTTGATTTGTTCTCAACAGTGATAAAAATGTAATCATGTGGAAAACTTGCTATATAAATTGACATGCAGGTTTGTGCATGTAGTGTGGATATCGCCACCAATCAGAGAAATCAATGAAGGTGCTCAGAGGGTTAACTGGCCTCAATCAGCACCAATCTGACCCCTAAGCAGAGATCGCCAACCAATCATTTCCTCATATGGAAGTGCTGCACAGATCTTCAACCTCTACAGCTTCTCCCCTTGCGAGAAACATGATTCCAGGCCCCAGGACCAGACCAGGCGCACACGCCGCATGGCGCCGACAGTGCTGAGACAGGAGGCAGGACATGAGCGGGATGGGGCGAGAGCTAGCACTTACTCGCACACAGGATCATGCTGCTGCGCGCTCAGATCGCCTGCCCAGCAGAGCTGCCTGCACACCACACACTCGCTAGCCCCTCTCCTGCGGAGAGATGGACCCTGGATCCAGATCTCAGTGCAGCCAGACAACGTTCAGGAACCTAGTCTTGTGCAGAGTCCAAGGGAACTTGACACCTTACAGAGTCTTTTTAGCTTGGTCTAATATCGTTAACTTTTGCATTTGCCCTCAGATGACTCGACAGAGCAGTTTGGGTCAACACTGCGGCAAGTTGACCCAGGCAGTTTGGAAGAGCTCATTAGTGCTCAGCCCTACTTGCTGCTCCAACCTCTCTCTCCCTCATGCAGTTCTCAGTGAGTATGACACTGAGGCATCAGCTGCTCTGGCAGGACAGGAGCACCACACCCAGGGCTTGGCCTTGCACACACTGGGCAGCTCTGCTGGGGACGAGCAAGAGGACAGTTTCACCACGTTATTCCTTGTCCCACTAGTGTCTGCAATACTTGCACTCAGCTCTTCTGGGACAAGGTTATAATCTTGCACCTTTACAAAATGGGAAAAAAACTACCACTAGTACAGTAAATGTATATAACCCTTGCTTCTCTGGTCTTCAATATGTGCCATTAAAGTTGTAACTGTAATTAAGCCAATTTGATTCCCTATCACAAATCTATTATTAGCCAAAGGAGTTTTGCACCACAGCTTAAGCACGATCATTTTTATTCTGTGAACAGCCAGCCTAATAAACATTATGTAGAGGTTAATTGAAACTGGAGGACCTAGTTAAAGCTAGTCAGTTGAACAAGTAGCTAACACTCTAACCTGATGCCTCTCTCGGTGTACCATTCCTGCTAAAAAGGTTTGCCATCAGTATGGAGAAAAATCTCAACTCTGCAGGTATCGACAGCAAAAGCATACAAGAAAACCAACACAAATAAGCAAAAAAATCCAAGAAAAATTAAACATTTTATTTGTTCATTACTTTGTTAAATTTAACAAACAATTGCACAGTTCCAACAAAACGCTATCAGAATAAAAACACTGACACTTATATTTGCTTACAGATTACACACGCACACAAACACAGGGGTGAGCCTGTTCGTTCAGTGTCTGGTGCAGTGAAGCTGTAAACAGCAGCACACCTGGCTCTGCACAGGCTCCAGCTCCCACGTCTGCACCTCACACGGGGCTCTCAGACTCAGGTCCTGGGGGGCTGCCGCCTTTCCAACATGAGCAATGAACTAAACAATTAACTTCATTAGTTTCTAAATTAGACAACTGGGGGGATTTTCTTAAGGTCTTTTACAGTTGATCACAGACTGGCACTTCATTAAGAAAGCCGATCCCCATAAACCGCCCCAGAGCCTGGTTAGAAGTATTATATTGATGAAGATAATTACACAATCAGGCCAACTGTGTAACACTCGGACCTCCAGAACCTAAGTTTCAGACCCCTGATCTAACAGCAGCTTGACAACCCCGAAGTCCAAAACATTGAACTCAGGCTACCTTGTAAGAACATCAGACTGCAAACCTCTGCATAATGTTAAAGGAATATTTACAAAAGGGCTGATCAATATCTTAAGACTATACAGCAAGGCATGCCGTTCAATAGACCAGCCTTTCAATACAGTGTGAACTCTTTTGGGAACTCTGTGGTCCCCACAGCTCATACAGCAGGCATGCAGTTTCCGGCACAACCAGGCACAGCAGGAAAGAGGGCGAAGGGATATCATGCAATGTGGTGCATCATCAGACCAGAGGAAAGTGGATCCACAGTATTCCTTATAACTGCAATGCAAATTCTTTCCACTGTTTTCAGAGCAGAGCTGGTAGTTGTTTTTAATACATGCTTATACAGTATATATTAATTTCCCCATGATTTCATGTGCTGCATTCCTGAAGTACTGTTCACTATTTATAACCTGACATACTTCTGACATCCCACTACTGCTTATTAATGTGGGATGAGACAGTTTTGTCAGACATTATGCTGTAAGGGTCTAATAGCTTTTCAATTACAGTAAGAGCACCTGCAAGTGTCTGCTTAAACGTTGTGCATTGGAATCACATGCTGGAAGCGCAACAACTGGCTCCCACAAATGTTCTGCATCATCAGATTCACAGATAAAAAAAGATGCAACACTACGGGTAGGGAAAAAAAGGTCCAAACCTGTTTGTAGTGTGAAAGTGGGGAAAAAAAGCAGGATTACACATTTACAGAAAAACTACCTAATCACGGCCTGTCCATGAGGTCCTTCAGAAACTTTACTGCAGTGCTTCATACAGGAATGTAAAACAAATAGAAGATATCATATGGTTCCATCCAAAAACAGATTTGCAAGTTCTCTTTAAAGGTGGCTGCAGGTGCTGACATGGGGGGAGTGAAGAATTACTCCAGACATCAAAGCAGCTGTGGGAAAGCTCTGGGCCCGGGAACATGTTAAACGCGTTAAACGTGCTCCAACAAAGGCTGCCAACAGGAGATCACGTGCCCTGCCGTGCCCAGCAGTGCCCCTTGAAAGGACGTTATTTCACAAGTGCCTCGCGATCAAGAGGCTAGATTCCTATGCAGTACTCACACGAAGGATTAGTGCCAATATTTAAGGAAAATAGTAATTGCAACTGCTCCAGTAGAAAATACAGGTGCTCGGGCATCACTGCAACATGTGGAAAAAGCCACACCACCAACCACACCACTGAGAATGAAAACCTCAACACACTACAGGACCAAACACAACTGCAACAGTTAGAAGGTAAAATAAAGTTCTTTCTTCAATAAATTAATTTATAAATAAACTTTCATGTTCAAATATATTTCAAAAAGTAAATGGATTTCTCATTTGGGGCTGATGAGTCTCAGTTCTTTCCCAATCTTTGTTCTTTATAATTCAGTTGATCTAATAATACAGGGTCCAAGTCTTTTGAAAAAACGGCCATACTGGAATAGGTTTGAAGTGTGGGTTTGCAACATTAAAATGACTAAAAACTGCTTTATTTTTGTACAAAAATGGCAATGAAAGCACACGATTGATAACATCACTAATCCTCATCATTAATGTGAGTACAACTGGACAACGCCACTATAAAAAGCCAAGGCCAGCAGACTATTATACTAAAAATAATGTGCTTCCATTTGCATTCAGTTACAAGGTTCTTGTCAGTTAAAGAGTAGACCTTGACCAGATATAAAAGAAAATTTAGCTTTGCAGAAAAACATGCCAACTGAACCAGTTTCGGTTTATTTAGCGTATTGCTCCATTGCAGCTGAGCTTTGCTAAATGTCTTCCAGAGATTTCAGCTGACGTCTAAGCAAACGTAAAGGACAGGCAAAAACCTCAAACATACATCATCCAGATGGTATAAACATGACATTAACAAGAGATTGTTAATCATGTCTGCAGCCCATGTGGTTCTATGACCATGTGTTTTTCAGAGCCAATAAAGGAAGAAATGCACAAGCAGGGAGTTTAGTGTTCTACTTTAACGTGGGCAAACACCAATGCTGACCACTTCCACAGAGATAATTTTCCCTTATAGTCAGCCTTCTCATAAGAAAAAGGACACTTTCAATTCAACAGGCGAAGAATACCTTTACAAAAAAAAAGCACAGAGTGCTGCCAAATTTATATTGTCATCATCCTACATCAGAGATAATATACTTTCTCTTATGACTGAAGAACAATCACCAGTAACACAAGGCCTAAGTGTATTATAATTAAGAACTGGTTTTCAAACGGATGTCTATGAAGTCAATGCAATGGACATACAAGTCTGTCTCTCGCAGGTGGTCCTCTTCAGAGAAGATGAGGAAAGTTCAGGTGATGGCATCACCTCCCCCGTTTCCCTTTTCAGTATTTAACGCAGAGTCCTGAATGCCAATTCAGTGGCCAACTGACTTGGGGTCTGCAATGTGCGTGACTTTCCCCACAGAACGTACCATACCTTTACTGCTGAGAGGGTGAGTGGAAACAAGAGCATGGCCTGAGCAGAGGAAAGACGAAGCCTCCCCATGCGGTGTGTGTACAATGGAGTGAGCAGCCATCGCAAGACGATGCAGTCGGCGCCTCAGGAGAGGAATCACCTCTCTGTCGCTTCCCCTATGACAAAGCCTAGGTCTTCAGAGCTCAGCTGCTCCCCTGAAAAGGGAAAGAGGAATTTTAATGTGCAGATTCACTCACTGAGCACGAGAGCATTGCAGACTGCCTTTGGACTTGGCAAAACGTCAGCGGTACCTTTCTCATCCTCGCAGTCAGGGCGGCCTAGCCATCAATCTCTTGCCAAAGAGAAAAGGAGAGGGAGCTCACAAGCCACCATCTCACCTGTGACAGGCAGCGGCCTGGTGTCGTATCTGCAGTCCCCTGCCTCCAGGGCCACAGTCTCCTCTTCGTTCTCGGTGTCGCAGTCAATCTCGCTGTCGCTGCTCATCCCCGGGAGGAGGTGGATCACCTGCTTCTGGCACAGCGAGCCTGCAGAGAGACAGCCATGCAAACGCATCTTGCAGAAGTCTGCCCACCCGAACATCAGCACACAGTCTGTACCTACATCAGCTGCAGGAACAGGGAACTCAAACTGCCCAAGGAGACTGCAGAAAAAAAAATCAGAAGAGCATAGCCTACTTTCTGTGAACTGCACAGGGCTTCACCACTTTTTTTTCTTAAAATAGCTTTAGAGATCTTTCACAAAATCTCCCAAGACATTCACCTCCTCCCTAGACCTTGCAGCTTGGCATTAAATCACATTGAAACTGTTCAACTCCAAATAATAAAACTACAAAATGGCCCATTTCTCTTCTGGTGCCAAACCATTAAAACATTTTTTCAGTACATTTGTGCAAAAACAATGACACAAATGGAAACTTTTATAAGGCATAAACTAAAGTTGAGGTTAATGTTTTCTGTAAAAATATAAATGTGTGGACCCAAAAGTAAGCAGAAACATTTCGTGAATACTGAAACACTGAACACTGGAAATGTTTAACTATTATAAGATAAATCACTAACTTGTCAGTACAGTCATGAAGTTAGCTGGGTGAAGACCTACAGTAGCCAGACATGATACTGAGGACGTTCTGTGCTCAGTTTAACTCAGTCCTACAGGGCATGTGTGCCAGTATCCCATCAGCTAGCATATATCCCATCTAGAGATAAATGAAACAACTGAAGATTGAAATTAACATTTGTATATTTACTTTCTTCCAGTCTTGAGGAGCTTCCTTCAGAAAGAGCGAGCAGAGACTCTCGGATCTCACTGGTCCCCTCTGAGTCACCGTCCAGAGTACCATCTGTCAGAAGGCCGGCCCTGAGGCGACAGCAGGAAAGTCATGTCAACTCACATCCCTGAATCCTCCTCTCTGGGAAAGAGCTGCACTGGAGGAGCACTTCCTGTCAGCTGACAGCTGTCAAACGGGGTGCTGCCAGCTACTGTTAATTCGTGAAGAGCATGTGAAAGGGTTCTGAGAGACAGAGCCTCAGACGTCAACCCCCCCCCACATATTGTACAGCTGTTCAAGTATCATGCCTGTAATTTCCACAGCCTGGCAGGCTTTCAAAACGTTGGTTGCAAAAAACTGCAATTTGAATGAGCTCGCGTGGAGCTAGAAAACGAGTGCAAAAGAAATTAAGTTTGAAATCCCGACAGGACTGCTACAGAGTGGCTGCATCTGTGAAAGCACCATCTCAACTGGCAGAGCATTACTTGGGCAGAGTGCAAAGGTCCTTTTGTCTTTCTGGAGAACAGCAAGCACTATGACAGGCTGGGTGCATGCATACCTGCAGTGATTTCAGCAGGAGATGCACTGTAGCTCCTACATGTCAGAAGACAAATGGCTCTGCAGTCAAGCACATCTGCACACCTCATTCACTACCAAGCAGGACAGATGCTAAATCCATAAAGCAGTCAAACATACCGATTGCAAATTTCACAATACATTTTTTGGTGTGTGAATAACAGTTCTATAATTTTGTTGGTCATGGCAACTGGAGAAAAAGACTTGAATATAAAAGACTGTAGCTTTTGAAGCTGTGATATCTGAAAAAGTTTAATGTGCCAAGAAGCAAAGACTAAACCAATCTCAAAAGGAGAAATTCTGCAGGTGTAGGATGCCAGAGGTACTTTAGGCTGGAAGAGCATATTTTCTTACCCCATTGTGGGGACTCTGCGCATCTTGTTCATCTGAACAATCCCATTGAGGCCCGAGATCTCAAAGAAGTCTGTGCCAGTGGCTCCAAAGGCCTGGTCCTCATTTTTAGAGCTGGATGGTTTGTCAGAAGAGCAGGCGCTGCCCATCGAAGGCGGGGAGCTGTGCACAGTCCGCTGCTTCGAGGCGCCTGTAAAGCCAGAGAGTCGAAAGCCAAAATCCTGTAATGCACAATCCCAGCTAACCTCAATCCTGCATAATTCTGTGCATATAAATAAATCTGAAGTGCTTAATACATCTTTGAAAAAAACATGTCAATACTAGTTTTACAAAAGACCAGATAAGAGTTTCAAAACTGCCTGATTTCGACAGCCTGTGTATTAGATGCACTGTGCTTAGCACTATCTGAAAATGTATCGCACAAAGGAACTAAAATTAAATCAGAAATTGGCAGCTAAGGCAGTGCTCCCGGAAAAGTGGAATTCGATGGGGTGGTTGAGAGAGACCTTCGCTGCTGGTGTCCCCAGGAGCTGCCCGTGCTTCGCTGGGCGAGTCGCAATCCAACTGTCCCCGCAGCTCCTTGTCCACGCTGTCAGCTGCCCGCCGCAGAAGCAGGCCGCTCACCCCACCACCGAGCTCCTGTTTCGGGGACGCAGTCTTCTTCCCTGCCCAACCAACATGCATTTTTATACCGCAATGCATAGATATAAGACCTTTATGTTTTGTTGACAGACAGACAACAAAATATTCAACATTGCATGTGTGGAAGAGATTCAAGTACTGAATGGGCCTCTGTCTAGGATTAACAGAACTCTGAAGACCACATTCTTTAAGGTCAAGTACAACTAAACCAGTTAACGACAGTCACACTCACCACTCCGACAGTGGCGGCCGGCTACAGCGCTCTTGCTCAGGAGGTCCAGCTCACTCGGTTTCCTGCCTGGGGCATCAGGGTCTGCTCGAGCTGCGTGCTCTGCTAGACTCCCCGACAGCCCTGCCCTGGGCTCCCCCGCAACGGGCACCGCAGCCCCTCGCGCCTCCAGCTGGCACTTCACATCTGACATCTTACTGCGCACCTCGGCCATCTGAGCCTTCAGCCGGATAAGGACCCCAGAGTCCGGGGCTGACCGGCGCACTGCCTGCGGTCGCCGGTCCCGTTCCTTCCGAGAATGGGCTGGAACTGGACACACCAAACACAAACGGCACCGCAGTACCAGCAGAGCTGTGAACACCCTGCAGATATTCTGCTTGGAAGACGGATCAAAGATAATGACACTGATCAAATAGTCAGTTATGCCTTAGAAAGGGAGGATACAGAAAAACAGCTAGCATGCCATGCACACTGTGAAAACTCCCTAACCACTGCTCCTTTAAACACTTATTTAGTAAAACTACAGTAAATCGTGCATGAGCTCATTTTCAAGTTTGTATACCAAGAAGCACTAAAAACTCAACAAATGAGTTTTCGAACCAATTGGGTTTCTTGTGTATTTAATACTCTTTTGTACAGAATTACAGCAGATGGCTCAAAATCTTTTATTTTTAAGCCCCGCTTTTCTTCCCAGGTTAACTCTTTAACAAAAGAACAGTGAAACGAGTCACAAACGGGCTTAAGCTACAAGGCAGCCATGACTGATATTGGACCCTTTAGCAAAGCTTTATTGCCCCCAGCTCCCTCGGCGCAAGCGGTCCCTAACGGAGGTCGGCCTGCTGCGGACAGGGGAAAGCTCATGGGAAGAGGGTGCGGCGGCGAGCACCTGCGCTGTGCAGCACGGAGGCAGGGGGCCGAGGCTGCAGCCCCCACAGGGACTCCACACTGCTCCGGTCCTTCAGGTCCAGCAGCTGAATGAGGATGACGGGGTCGATCTCCAGCAGGCTGCTGCTGGTGGCGGCTGCCAGGCCGGCAGGTCCTCGCCGCTGGGAGCGCGCGGATGGGTTCAAGCCCCCTGCAGAGAACAGAAGGGCTGTCCATGAAACACGACTTCTATAACCCCTCCCCTCTAGCCAGTGGGACTGGAATATTTCAACACTCTTACAGAGACTGAGCTACTGTCAAGGTCTCACAACTGAGGAGAAAAAGATATTGATGAGAAAACTTAACCCCACCCTCGGATTTTTTACAAAGTTAAATCACCAGGCACACTCCTGCTTTAGTTTCAGGTCACAACATCCCCATTAGAGCTCCGTGTCCTTGCCAAGATCCAATCTTGTACAAAAGGACGGCTCTTTCACCGTCACTACCGAAAGATTTATGGAACAAAAATCCTACATGAATATCTTCCTCATTAGATTGCTTTTGACAATCCCTAAATGGATCAGAATGAAAAAAAGAAGAATGATCCAAGTATAAAAAAAATGAAAAATTAACATATCCAAAAAGACTAGGAATACAGCAGACTGCACTATGCTTTCTTTCGTAGTAAAGCAAATCTCAAAAACAGGTGCCTAAAAAGGTGCCTAAAAAATAGACTTCTCATCTACATGTGTGGATGCACCTGTGCTCCCATGGTCAGGAGAAGAGCAGGGAGATGGAGATGGGACAGCGATATTACCCCACTGCACGTGGGGAGAGAGCTCCTCAATACCTGCTGCCCCAGCCACGTCCTCGGGCAGCTCCCCCTCTTCCATCTCCAGGTTCCCGCTGTACTCCACGTCATTCTCCCCAGACCTGGGAACAGCCCCGACACTGCATGTCAGACACTACAGCAATGTCACGCTTCAACACTTCTGTTTATGAAGCCCCAGCTGGCGAGCAGTGGTTTGTAACAAACCCACAATGCACTTCTCTAATGTGTCCATTTGGATGAAAATTCTTCAAACCTGTTACGTGCCTGAAACGCGGTCACAAAACATTGCAAATAAGAGTTTGTCCATTCAACCCATCGTGCTTGTTTGATAGTTCAGTAGACAACCAAAATTAAATTTCACTCAGCCACCTCTTATGAAAGACCAGAGATTCAACTGTGATCCTGTGGCAGAACAATATGCTAATTGCTGTTAACAACCAATCAGCTGGGAGCTCTAAGCTCTAAGTGTGATGGCTGCTCACCACTGAACTACACCTGATGACAACCTGACTGCATGGTGCTGCATTGATCAAATCATAAAGACTTCATTAGCGGTCTCTCCTGCAGACTCATCCTGACGTGACATTTCAACAGGACAATGCACAGGACTCCGAGGGGAGAGCCGTGTCAGCATGTGGTGATTACAAAGGAATAAGTGAAGGTTCCTAATTCCCTGCTAACAAGTAGAAAGAAATATTTCCACTGTAAAGTCATTCTTCAAAAGCAGAAGACATGTTGCATTTCTTCTTTCTAGCTTTCAGTATGCAGTTAACATTTACTTGTTTCAATGTACAGCATTGGTCAACAGGAAAAGAAAAGACAGCTTTCTTGCAGAATAAGAATGGGACAGTTTAGCATCATCAAAACCTGTATAATGGCCTTCAGTATCCTAGTAGAAGTCAGATTGGCTTTTTACCAAGCAATCACACGTGTGATCACATTACACCATACACACACTTATAAACAAAAATTCCTGCCAACAAAATAAAGGACAAATATTGGCCTGTTTTATTGATTTTAGAAAAGCACTTGACTCAGTTTAGCAAGATAGACTAGTTTACAAATGTCTAGAAAGTGGTGTAGGAGTTAAAGTCTACGATGTAAAATCAACATACTCGAAGAGCAAGTGCACAGTAGAAATTAACAACAAAAGGACAGAGTTGCTCATGGGAATGGGGTGAGAGAGCACTGCAGCCTGAGCCCAACACAGTCCAATAGTGACAGTTCATGGAAACTGTTTACAGCTCCTGGCCTCATGCTGCCCAGTACAGAAATCATGTTCCTGCTCCACGCTGTTGATCTGGCCCTTCTGCTGTCCACAAAGCAGAGGCTGCAGCAGAGCTTGGCACTACTGGAGCAGTACTGTCAGACCCGGGCACTGACAGCCCATCTGGGCAAGACCAGAAGAGTTAGTTTTCCTGAAGAAAACCTGATCTCTGTGGGGGTTCCACTTCACACTTAACGCATTGGAACGCAGAACCAGCTAAACATACACTGGTCCAAAGATCAGCTCATCAGGGAGCCTGGCAATGAGAGCAACAAAGCACACATACCTGAAGAAAGAGGTTCTTCTATATCAAACCCTCGCAAATCCCTGGTGCTGAATAGTTTAAGGTTATAAGTTAAATATTTAGCATTTAAATGTGGGGTTCAATCACAAACTTGGATTACATAACATGGGACAAACACTCCATTGAATCGATGCACTCCTTTTGGTAAAAACATTAATCTGCTGAGAAAAACGCCAAATACTGCATGTGGGGTTGAACGAAACAGATATCCATTGCTAATTCATACACAGAAGAGAAGGGATGAAGACAATGGATAGTAAAAAATTACGGCACAGTACAAAATGTGAGATTTGTCAGTTCCTCTTTTAGGAACTGCTCTCTTCATAGTACGCAGAGAATACAAGGCAGCTGAAACCTGGAAATATAGTTCTTACCCTAAGAGACACCATGATGTGCCTCTCAAAACGTCCCGTGGGACACTCATTCATTCAAACATCCTGTGCTTCGATCCCTCCATAGTTTATTTTAAAACAGCCTTACTAAGAACAGCGAACAGGTTTAGAAAAAATATTCTCAATGGGACTTATAAGGAGGTTGCATGCCAGTTTTTAAAAAGTATGAAATTAATTTGACTTAAATGGGCCAAAAGCAAATTAAAGATCTCTCACTCAAGGTTTAGGATGTTATGATGCTTTTTGAGACTATTTTATGTCTAGAGCACAGATATGCGAGTTGCAAGAGGATTTTTGGTACTTCCTCATCTGACGTACAATGCACATGGGATACTGGCTTCACATGAAATTAGAATCTTATGCAAGAAGTCTAAGAAAAAACATTAGACACTGTACTTAGTCACTATTACTATCTTTTAGAAAGAAGCGCTCTTCTCTAGAAGAGTCACAACATCCTTGATACTCCAGGGTGACAGATAAGCTGCATGATTATCACAGTGCCTGCTGAGAGATGAGTCAGTAAACTCCCTGCAGTACCACACACTGAGTGCAGCATTTATTAATAGAAGACAACAGTTAAAGGCATCTGACTTGCAACACATCTGGAAGGATATATTGAGAACTAAAATCACCAATAGCACTGAAAACCTGTCAAAATCAGTTGCCACTCTCTGGAGTCTTTCGGGCATCTCTGACAGATGTTTCTCTGTTCAAGACCGGCCTTATTAAAGAAAGAAGTCTTTAATAAGCTTTATGCCAAGAAAGAAGGTAAAAGTAAGATAGATCTGAAAGAAGTACAGAAACCGAAGACGAAGTGGATAGCACAATCTGCCATGTGTGAACGATGAATCCAGGCAAGGGGTGAGACTGTTATTCAGGAAATAAAGAGGTGAAGCAGAGAGTGACTCAGGTCACTCCCAGCAGCCATATCACTCTGCAACTCACAGCTGGCAGCCCACTGGAGATCAGCAGGTGTGAGCCTGGTCAGTACCTGGATAAAGACCTCCTGGGCTGCTGCTGGAAGAGGTGTCAGTGGGGCCAGCAGGGGGCGCTCACCCTGCAGACCTTGTGGGTCCTAATGCCCCAGTATAGTGACGGGGACACTACTGTAAACAGGCGCCACCACTCACATGGTCTCCTCGTCGATGTCGTTTTCTTCAGTGTTGCTGGTGGCGGTGGAGCTGCCCGAGGTGCTGCTGCCATCCAGGGGGTTGAGCTCCTCGTCGCCGGTCAGGCAGTCCACCTCCAGGTCTCCGTCCGACAGCTCCTGCACAGACAGCGCAGCTCGCGTGAGAGAGCACCACACCCTGCTCCAGCCCCTGACCGGCAGGGGCCTTCGTTTTCAAACCCACTTGCATTTTCATTGATGCCACTTCAGAATTAAAATGGAAGAGAAGGATATTCATCACAAGTGAGGTCCCCATTTGTAGCCTGAATGAGCCTTTGGAGATGATGCATGGCGAGAAAATCTTTTCCTTTAATTTTATAATTTTCACATTTTATTACTCAGGCACTAGATGAAAAACTGTTCTTATTGAAGCTACGCTGCAATAAATTTCAATTTTTATTAATACAAATTACTGCATTAGGAAGGGAATGTGGAAGATTTAATGACACGATTACAGCTTTGAAGAAAATGAAAGACAAAACTGAAAATAAAGGCCTTGGATGATACAAGCACTGTTTCTAATATATTTTCAGCAGACTTAGGACAATTAAACCGTGGGGTTACAAGAACTATATTTCATTATTGTAAATTATTCTTGGTGGCAAAATGGAACGTCTCTTCTCATCTCCCACTGAGCAAATACACATGGATAACGTTAAGAGCCCATTAATCTAGAATAACATTAAATCTGGAAAAAAATAATGCTTTAATATTTTGGGAGCAGAAACAGATAGAGCTGAACTAGAATTTAAAACGCGTGTTTTCATTAAAAGTCCATGTAAACGTCTGCTGTAACCAGAGGAATTCGCACTCACATTCGAGTCGTCCTGCTGGGTCTTCTCCTCTTCCTCCTCCTCCTCCTCTTTCTCCTCCCCAGCCCCAGCCTGCGTGCACTCCTCCGTCACAGCCCCCTTTCCGGCTCGGGGGTCCCTCTCGGAGGCAGAGGGACACAGGCGGCGGTCAGGCGGGGAGGAGCTACGGGACTTCTGCCTCCGAAACAGCTCGATGGCAAGCCTCTGCAAACACAGCAAGGTTCCCAGTAATAGGAGCTTTACCCACAGGTACATTCGGACTTCATAACAAAACCAGATGTTGCACTATGAGCTGAAACAAGCCATAACTCAGTTCTTCATACCAGACGTTTCAGGCCACATACAGCACAACACCTTCCTAATTAATTCCCTGTGTGGAGTTACTCGCTTCACCCACCTCCTTCAGATTGTTTATCTGCTGAATATAGCTGGTCTGCGCGGCCTCCAGCTGGCTGATGTACCAGTACTGGTCTCGGCACTTCTGGAAGAATGTGGGAGAGCGCACCTGGTACCTGCCCAATTCAGAAGCATTCAGTTTTGCAAAAAAGTGCACCAGCCAGAGAATTTTTCAAGGTCTTTCTCTCCTAGCTTTACTCTCAAGGCTCAGGCTAACAGCTTTGAATCGTTACTGTGCTACTTGCATTTAAGTAGCAAAAAAGTGTTAGGGCTTATTCACACAAAAGTGATCCAATGGCGTTGGGTGAAATACATTTGCAGTAATATCAGGCATTCACACCAGAGGTGACACAGTAACTATGTGAAAAGGCTAGTAGCAGGTCCTTGTTGAAGCCTACATTGTTAGCAGTGAAAAAACATGTAAGAAGTCTGACACAACTATAAGTTAATTTGTATTTCACACCAGATATTCCAGAAAAACAGAGCCATTATTGCAATAGTGCATTTTTATATTTCACATTTTTAACTTCATGCTCTCACGGGTAGGAAAAATTAATACTCTCCATATCAAACCAAGTGTTCTCTTAATACCCAGACTTACATTTCAGTTGCTGTTGGTCACTACTCATCCTTATATCCTAACCAAAGGCTTTGCAACAGCACTAGAACTGCTGCAGACCAGAAAGGTTCAAACAGCAAACAGCAGAGTGACTCGGAGCTCCTGCAAGGCTGGGCTCAGAGTGGTATAAAAAGGGCAGTGTGCCCACAAACCTCAGGACGAGCGTGTCTGTCTGCATGTTGAGGTATCCCTCGCTGGCCAGCAGGTCCAGCCTGAAAAAGCGGTTGTAGCCCCAGCACTCTCCCACCTCGAAATCTGAGGCGAACTCCCGAATGATGTTTTTAGTGGGGTCACTGGAGGCCTGGTGCACCATCTCCACCCGATACTCATACCTTCAAACACAGGAAAGTGCTGCTCGGATCTCACCACAACAGATCATTCAGTCCAAGCTATTTCAATACATGCTCTACCACTAAACTACTCAGTTAGTACAGGGTTAGCAACACCAAACCGTTTTAAAAAATGACCTCAAACCAGAACTACAAGGAGGAATGAATGAAGTTTAGTATGATATACAGATGGTTCTCATTTGATCTACGAACAGGACAGCAATAGCTGAACTATTGTCAAACGTCTAGCATTTGCTGCTCAATATTTGTGTATTGGTGAGTTTTCCTGGAAAGAAAAGGCAGTTGTTCCTTTTGGAAGTGCGATGGAGGGAAAGGGGAGTGCGTACTTGGATGTCTCGGGGAGCCCTGCTGACAGCTCCAGGAAGACTGACAGGTAGTTCCCACGCACCACTCCATTGCCATCCTGCAGAAAGAAGGAGAGGAGCTGGGAAACGCCTACAGACTCGTGGCTTGTGCCGAACAGTAAGCTGTCATTCCCACGTTACTGGCTGTGAGCTGTGTGAAGTGGAGAACAAAGTTTACAAACAGGAGGTCGTTCGGCGTTTTTCTCAACGATCTCATGCTACCACTTCAACAACACTTGTTCCGCAATTCCACGACCCTCTCTGTAAAAAGAATATCTCTTGTTGTCAGTGTAAAATTGCTATGGGAATATTGGTGTACAGAAAAGATTCTATTCTTAATTGAAAGAAGATTTTTCAGAATATACAGTAGGGTCTCAACAATTGTGAATTTAATCAGCCTGCTGACGGGGTCTTGTATGGAGAAAAGTATGCAATTAAATCCAGTTAACCTCAAATTTCAGTGTTAGCAGTGCAACAGACAAGGATCGTGAGCCTCTTCCTACCCCGTGCCCAAGACCCACAACCCAGCACCCGCAAATCAGAGTGGCCTTATTTTTATCTTGTAGAAAACTCTCCCGGTTCTGTGTCCATGTGGGGGGTGACAGGCTGGTAATGATTTTACAGGCTACCCGACAGTCTTATTGTCCCTTTCATTACAGTATGTCGTGATGATCACGGAGGCAGAGGAAGACAGTGCCGGCTGGACGCAACAGATTACTGTTGATCAGTGCTTTCTAACTTACTTAGTCAACATTTAAGAACAATTCCATCATGTTCTTTACAATAATCACAGCAGTTATAAAGCACTTTATAAATACACTGTTTTGAGGAGAATAAAATAGGACAATTGCTCATTGAAAATACTTTACAGAAAATAAAACACTGCAAATGTTTAGTTCATATAAAAGAACAAAGGCCGCCCCTTACTGGATAGACCTTGAGTCTCCAACACAGCCCGGATATCTGCAGAGGCGGACTGTACACAGGGTCTGCTCTCTGCCTCAGAGTGCTGCTCCAGAACAAGAAAAACATCCATGTAAAGCAGACAAGCCATACTTTCGGAGAATACTGACATACATTCATTAGCTAATAAGTCCCTTGTTTGCCACTCTGCTTAATTGCATATGTTTCCCATGTGCCAGTTTAACCACAGCTCACATTCCCAAAAGGATATTTCAGTCCTCTCTACTCCCACAGCTGATAGACTGCAGGGCTCTGACGCCGACATCACTGTCTACCCTGTTCCTTATAATACATTTAAAGGGAGATAAAGGAAAATTTAACACCTTGGTACTATTATGTTAAATAAGGCCATTGTCAATGTGTAATGATTTATCATAAGGTAAACAAACCAGGAATTTATAATGCACCCCAATTCATTAACATAGTGACATGGGTGCCACCATCCTATAATCGCCATTTATATACAAAAACTCAAAAATGAAGTGGGCCCAGTAATGACATTAGTTCAGTCTTCCCAAGCCATGCGGCTGCTGCCCATATTGCTTGTCCAACCACATTTCCACAACGGCTTATAAGACAATCCTTTGTGATCTGACCATGAAGAGCTTCTATCAATACACAGCATATTGGCTCCTAGCCATCAATGGACTGTGCTGTATACTGTGTATTTCTGTTACAATAGCATCGCAGTTGCATCCATAGGGACGTGATACTCCTACCTCCTAAGCTCTCCAATTTTAAGAACAGCTGAACCAACACTTACATTAGGAAGGCAATGTTTTAATGCAATGATTTGAACAGGCAGGACTAAAACACTGAAAGAAATCCATATGTATACCTAATAGCTGATTAATGTGGGTCAAGGCTTAGCCTCTCTTTTTCCCGTTAACAAAATAATTTATTCTGCTCGGCTCCTATACTGGCAACTGCGTAGTCTACAAGCCTGCTTTCTCAGAAGCGCTAAAAACAGGAATGAAACATGCCACCTCCAAAAAAAAACTCACCTAAAGTTTGCCAGAACAAAAGTGCTAGAATCATACGCAGGAACCAGCTCACTGAAAAGAAAAAGAAAAAGAAATTGCAAATAAAACCCATATCCATATGCTTAAGGCATTTGTCATCACTAACATTCTGCAGAAGCTGCAAATTAGTAATAAAAGCACCTGCTCTCCAGGATTGCTTTTATGTTACAGCACAAAGACAAGCTTTCCAACCCTGCGATTGTCTCACAGCACAAGATTTTATATTTCACAGCTGAGCCATTTATCCTGCCTTTCAGGTCATCAACATCTTTCCCTGATTTATTCAAACCGTCTCAAATATCCCCTCCCTCCTCCCACAGTGCTTATGTCCAGCAATAATTTGCGATTTTGGTACAGACAATTTCCAAAAGAAATCCCTTAACCTAAAAGGGAAACAATAGCAAGCTGTCTATTACCTGCAAAAAAAGAAGAGCATAAGTTTTTACAACCAGAAAAGGTCAAAGATTTATTCTGATGCAAACACATTTGCGTAGAAGGAACAAGGAAACCGTTTAGTTAAATTCTAGTCCAAACTCAAAAAATGTATCCACTAAAAAAAGTGGACACTTGGCTCCAGTATCCTAGGACCCTCGTGAGAATTAAATGCTCTTTAACTCAGACAGCAAAAGACTTGGAGCACAGAATGAGCCCCTATATGCTGTACGTTCAGTTAGTTTTTTCTTTCACTGTATATATTACCTTTAACTTGCATTACAACTCAACTGATGGATTCCAGAAAACTTGAATTTAAAATTCTATTTGTTTAAATGTATCATTAGAATTCACGTTAAACAGTTGATTATGCACCAGAAATTTCGATCAAGAAATTCCAGGAATGAAAATGGATGAAGCCTTTCCCACTCATATTAATAATACATCAGTCTTATTTATGGAAGCAGTTCTAAAGGAGTGAGTTTATAACAAAAGCAACTGTCAACAAGGAGCGAAAATAAGAATTTTGGAATCGACCTTCTCATTTTTCCCCCCAATTAACGTTTAACATGTGGGAGCTTAGACATGCTGTAAACATACAGGTTCAACAGATAAAGACAATATAACAAAGCACAGCAACAGCACTGTCAGGTAGGTTAGCCTCAAGCACTAAAATATAACTAAAATTATATGTGGTTAGATACGTATTTCCATGTCTTATACAGATCCCTCAGATTGTTCTGTTTTTTTATAGTGTCTATAGAAAGTCTACACACCTAACCTCTAGAAATCAAGGCACATTTAACCAGAACTAATTTTATTTACACATTGTAATACACAACCTCCAAGTGAAAAATGAACAAAACGTTCTGTTAGGAGAAAAGGGCAAACCTTGGCAAATGTAGGTGAGCTATGGATGGTACAGAATCATTGGTGTAATTCAACCAAACGGCACTCTGACCACATTCGAGCTCAGGGGTGTGCTCACTTATTCAAACCACTGTTCAAGGTTCTCATTTTAATTACCTTTGAGAATGTTTCAGCACTTCTTTTTTAGTTGGAGGTTGTGCATTACACTGTAAATAAAAGGTAAAATAAATTTCATCTGTTTTGATTTGAGGCAACAAAATGTGAGTATGTTGACTTTCTAAATATACTGTATACTGTATTTTTAAAAATACACTATGTCCAAGTCTATGTCTGCTTAGCATAGACTTATCCATCTTAACTTTTAGCTTAATGACTTATCTGTCATTAACATTAGTTTCCCAAACATCTGACTGCCTGCCATACTGTAATGAAATATAATGGGCTGAATCGATTGTCTTAACAAAGGCATGAAGAAGCTGGAGTAGCGGGCATTTGTATACCACTTAATTAATTCCCAAAAAATTCACACTGGATCAATGCTACGTGCAGTGGACGTGGATATCTAGATTTTTTCTGTACACGGGTAAAAGTAGCTCACAAGATGAAGAACCTATGAAGCCCACATGCATGATTAACCTCTGTGAGGTTGCACATTTTGCAAACTAGCTGCCTGGCTACAATCTGTAGACCAGGGTGCCAGCCTGGCTTCGAGCCAGAGCTGGTGTTTCCTCTCTCTGAAATGCATTCCTTCCAGATGACAGTGGAACGATAGTAGCAGGTTTTCTACTGTTCTAATTATTCCCTGTCTAGCTCATTATGGGCTGATTGTCTCTCTGTTCCTGTCACTGTTGGTGGGGCTTCTCTAGCTATAAATTAAAAGCTTAGTCATTTGCATCACACTGATGTTTCTTTTTAATATGTTGCTGCACTAAAAAAAAATCCAATTTTAGTAATGTGTTGCTATACGATTAACAGGCAAACTGACCTACACGTTGTGAACTTCAACAAAGGTTTTTAACTCCAGACGCTTAACTGCCACCTTTGGTAAAGTCTACAAAGATGTAAAAAACTTCTAATTTTAAATTACAAATTAAAATGAATAAAAAGCACATATTCAATTCATGAAAAACATATCACTGCTTTTGAAAACAACTCATTATTGATAAATGAGATGCACAAATTAACAAACGATCCAAATATGAACTAAGTCATTCTGAGAAAGCAAAAGTCAACAATTCATTTACTGAAATTCACCTTCCTCTGAAGGTGACCTGTGGTAGACAGGCCATGCTGGAGAGGCAGTGTCGTAACAGGTTTGTCAACCTTATAAAACCCCACCTCCAGAGAAAAGGCAGGGACTTGAAAAAAAACTATACAAAGTACTGCTGGTTTGTCTTTTTCTCTGACATATAAAAATGACTAAGTCTGTAGGGGTGGAGATAATTCTGTTGTGTGAAGACTAGATTTCCCAAAGCAAGCAGTTCACAGGCACTATTTGGAAAGCTGCATCTGTAAAGCAATCTGCAGACTCTCTGGGAGAATTGAACCACCCACACAATACAATTACCTCCACCTGCTTCTCTTTAATCAACACAGTCACTAGGTCATTGCACAAGACATCAGAAAACTGGCTGTCAGATCTTCACTTCAATGATTTAAAGAGCTGTGAAAAAATACTCAGCATTACAGATTTACCACTGGCATAAGAGACACAAAGCCGTCGAGCTCCAGCAAAAACAGGGTTTTATACTCCCTCTTGAGTAAAAGGGACAAATTAAAAGCAGCTTCATATTATAGCAATTCTTTTCTAATACCTGGCAATAGGCTAGAGTCTATCTTCAGTGTTGTGAACAAAATGTGAATTAATTTACCCTGCAGCAATTGAAAAGCTCAGAAAGCTCTTCTCCACTTGTCACCTGAGAATCCCCAACAGGGGTGTAGGAGGCTGGTGCTGGGGTCAGTGCTGTCTGAACCCCGGACTGTGTGAACGCTGACCTCCAGGCCACATCATGCAACACGGACACAACACATCACCAGATTTGGTGGGTGCGTTTCAGTGGTCCGTCACTGCTCTTGGCTTGCAGAACCCCTCCGGGATCCTACGACGTGTTAGGAAGTCATCTCATTAATGGACTGCAGCCAGGATTTGACTAGCAGCTAGACCAGGGCAGGACTGGGATTAGTCTCCAGGATTTCAGCAAGAGTGAGCCTGTCTTGCCAAGTGCCTGCAAGCCGGCAGCGACAAAACACTTGGCAACTCCTGTTCGGGTGGGTTAAAAATATTTAAAAAAAAAACTCAATTTAAAAGAATCTTGCATGAAGCCTTCACTTCCACTGAAGCAAAATGGAAAAGTGAGCAAAACGATTCCCTGTTCTCCCCCCCATGATTGCCATCGGGTGCTGGCAGGGAGCGGAGCTGGTGTACCTGGTGAAGTCTGGGGGAACGGGAGTCGTGACGAAGGAGGCCATGGGCTTGCGGTGCACCTGCTGGAACATGAGCAGGATCTCGGGGCTCTTGGAGATGAGCTCACTCTTACTGCAGGAGCGCAGCTGTGGGAGAGACGACCCCGTCACACACACAAACCCTCGCAACGTTTCTCAATCCTGTCTGCAAACTGCAGCGTTATAGACAGCAGCGCACATCTTTAGGCTGAAGTATGTCTTGTGAAATGATTTTGAAAAAAAAATTAAATCCCGTTTTGCACTGCCAAATATTATGCAAGACCATAATTTTATTGGATGTGCTAATAAGTAGGTGCATCCGTCTTCAGAAGCACACAAGCTTCACTTGAGAGAAGTTAGTAGACATCACTTCTATTTTGCTGTTCTTTATTGCTCACGGACCGTGCCAACCAGTACACAAGCAAGTCTCTCTCTCAGTATCACCTTACTTAATCCTAATTCTACATATATTTATGTTAATACCTTCAAAACTGAGTTCTGAAACTACTTTGCTTCAATCACAAGGGGTTAAAACGTTAAAATTATGAGTTTGTGAAATTTGTCTTTTTAGCACAGTATTGAATCTTAATTCTAATAATTAAAAATCTTCATAACCTATCACACTTCTTTTCATTGGACTATGGTTTATTATAAAATCATGAATTTCATGCTCTTGGCCTATTTTACAAATCACAAACTTCATGCTTCTTTAAGGAAGTGAGTGTTCAGTTCCACAGTGAGTGTTAAAGCCTAACCAAACCATGACACTGTAAAGTGCACTTCTGCAAGGCGGTTTACACGCAATCCCTGGCGTTCCTCACAATTTAGGTGGTTTGAGAAGTTACTTTTAAACATACCATACAAAATAAAGTTTTTTGTAATAAGGTGCATTTAAAAAAAACCAGTCAGAAAGGCTGGGCTAGAGATTTGTAACTATAGAACATTAAACACACATCTGTATGCTTTAAGGAGGATGAACCAAAAATATATAAATCACACTTGTTTGGTTAGGCTCTGTTGTACTCTCAATAAGTGTCACCAACCTCACTGACATATAAAAATCCCAGCATGGGTGATTCAACTGATTCCCCCACAAGTGCAGCTGAACAGTCTGGTGCACACTCCTGTCATTTTGAACACTCACTTCACATTCTCCACCTAAACTGCGCATACAGTTCCCTCCACAAACCAAAGGACAACGCAGAATACCCTGCAAGAAAAGCAAAAACTTTAAAAGAACAGTCTCGGAGCTCTCCATTTCGCACATGCTGCATGGATGAGGTTACTTCTCAATATTACTGGACTGTGGAAATACTAAATTATAGCGTTTGTGGGCAAAGTAATGTTGGTTCTCTGAATGAAGCATTTAACACTAAATGGATCGCAGAAATAATGCTAACTGAAATCAGTTAGAAAATCACGGGCTTATGTGATTATGTCTCAAACTAGGTAAGTTTGAGCAAAACATTGATCATAGATGGGGAGATTAAAGACAAGGGAAGTATATACATTTTCAAACTTCTATAAATTTGAGTTTGCACAAGCACAGTCTAAGGTGCTCTTTAATAAAATTAATATAAATTACCAATAACAACCTCAGAGTTTAGAACCTTGAATGAACCAGAATTAACTATTGGAGAAGTTGATGTGGCTTTTAGGAAGTTAGCAAAGGGAAAGGCTCCAGTCAAAAATGGATGAACTGTAGAATTGTATGGATTTTTTGGAAGGATTTAAGAGGTTTTTCCCCATACATTTTATGGAAAGCATATCCAATACCCTGTGGACTGCAATAGAACAAGGTGCCATTACATTCATTCCTAAAAATGTTCATATGATAAATATGTATAACTGGAGGCCAATTTCTTTATTAAACAGAGAATACAATATTCTCCCAATTATTCAAACTGATTTAAAAAAGGGCTTGACGTAGGAAATTAGTGATACACCATTAGGATTTATAAAGTGAAGGAATGCTCAAAATCATATTTGATTTGTTAGATCATGAAAAATTAATTTTAAAACTTCAACAAGGCCTTTAAAAGATTGTAACTGCTTTATTTTTCAAAGCTTGGAAAATGTACAGCCAGACCCAAATTTATTACAGTATTAAATTGTTATAACTTTAACAGCTGTGCATCTCTGACTAATGTAACATCACCATGGTTTCTCAACAATCTGGGAGTTACAGAAATTGTCTCTACTATTTACACTGGCTGTAGATATATAAACAATCCTAACCAAAAATCATAATTAAACTGTTAAAATGTCATGGACACCTCTATTATTAGCCAAATGGCAGATGATATAATATTATTTCTAAAAGATAAAGATCAAGTATCATTGGCAACTGAAACTATAGAAGTATTTTAAAATGCTTTGGGTTTATCTTTAAAATTAAATAAATGTCAATTAATGTCAATTCAGCATAGTCTGTTTAAAGAAATTCAAAATATACCAATTAATTCAGAAGTCATGTATACAGGAATTAGCATAAAAATGTGGAAAATGTACTTTAGCTAACAGCCTCTCTAAAACTAGGCTTCAAGCTCATTAGAAAGTGAACTCATCTGGTAGAATTCCTTTGATTAAAATGTACAGATTTATTTCTATCTCCACTGTGATCATTACAAATATAAATAAACTGTTCATACAGCAAGAAAAACAAAACATAAGAAAAAGTCAAATGTTCAAATCTTATGAAGAGGGTGGTGCCAATATGAATATATACTTTAAAGATAAAACAGTTACAAAATGTGCCCGATAGACAAACTGTTATCAATATCTCTGCTTTTCATCAAGAGAAAATGTAAGGAAATCAAAAGTACTATTCCAACTGCATTACTGGCTTGGAATGTTCCATATATTATAGTAACATTAGTCCATTACCACCAGAGGTCAAGGGAATTATAGCAAATTATAATATTTTAGATACGAAATGCAATAATACAGACAGAAAAGTATAGATGAAAGTATCTTCCCTTTTACCAGGAGAAAAGAGAATTCTGAAGATACAGATGAATCTCGCTAGAGCAAGAACCAAATACATTACTCTTCCCACGTTCATTGTAAAATACTTAAATCTAAGGAAAGCTTGAGAAAAAGGTTTCACGTTGACTGTAACCTTACAAGTTTTTGCAAGTCTGATATTGACACAACCGAACATTAAATGTTCTCATGCAACAATTTTCAGTCATTGTTTGTTTTTGGTAAAATATTTGTATAATTTTAGGATATTGCTCTAGGTGTTCCAAGTTGTAAAAAAGCTTATATAACATTAAATGTTATTCTCATATTAATTTTACATATATAAATGTAGAGTGCTTTAATCTTCTGCATGCTTTAAAGAAATTCTAAGTTAACTTGGAGTCAAATTCTTTAAAAGAATGGTCTGCACAAATCATGTTACCTATAAGCTTTTTATGTGACCCCTAAGGAGCTGCCTTTGTTGTTCTGTTGATACATTTTATATTATTTCTATAGACACTGCAAAATAATATAAAAACACGTTCTTAACAGATGTATTTTCTTCTTTGTTTGATAATAAAAAGCACGTAAAGCTTTGTTTAACCCAATAATCAGCAGGTACCTGATGCTCCACTTCCTGTAGTAGAGACTCTAGCAGCTCTGTCTCCTGTGTCAGAGAGGTCTTCTGTCCTGAAGAGACAAAGACCAACACCAAAGAGGTGAAGAGATCATTCACCTCACCTATTGTATGAGGTATACGTGGCAGGGCACCGATTAGTACCACAAAACCTTCTGAAAAAGCAACTGAATAAATTAGAGTAAAAATCAAATCAAAGCCTCCCAGCAATACTAGCGTGCTGTCAGAGTTTGAACACATTGTGATTAATTTATCTGGCACAAGTCAGCTTACATTTGTACCCAATAGTAAAGCTGGGCCTTTCAGCAGAGCAATCCGAGTGCCCTGAGCAAGGTTCTGACCACAGCTCCCCAGGTCTGATCCCTTGAGCTTCAGGCCCCTAGTCCAGATCCCTCACCACTCCTCCACACTGCTGCCCAGGCACAGGCTTTTTACAAGCAAAAATCAGATCAAAACAACTGAACAATCAATGATGTGACTGATGTCAGGATTAGAGGACACGGGAATGGCTCGGGAAGAGCCTGTGCTAGGGAGGCCCCGTCTGTACCCATAAGCGTGATGAGTTTGTTCTTGAGCTGATTATCCAGCCGGGCGATCATCATCTCTACAGCGTTGCGGATCTCCCTCACGCGCTCGTCCTTCGCCCCGCGCACTGCCTCTACATTCCTCTCCTAGAAGCACAAGAACACCACATGGGAAGGCCGCGCGTACAAGGGGAAAGGGCCCCGCCCTGCCAGCACCTGCAGCGGATCTGTTCTCCTACATCTCTAATATTCCGTAAGCAATATTAGTTACTTAATAAATAATTGCATTATTTATAATAGGCACAGAGTTTGGTTTGATTTTGTCAGATGTGGTTCTTATGGAGGAGAATGTCTTGGAAAAACAAAAGGTATAAACAGGTTAGAAATCAGAGGAGGCTAACTGACCCTTAATAAGTCCTTACAAAACGACGCCCCCAGACTACAAGACCTTGAAAGCCCCAGGTCTACTGCAGCAAGAGGTCTGAGTTAATTCAAGGGAGGAGAACAAATTCACTCTAAAGTTTCTCATTTGGAAATGCTAATAACAGCCATAAAACATCATTGACTGGACAATTTAAAAAAAATTAACAGTGGAAATAAGGAATCCAATTAAAGATTAAAAATTAACCTGATTTCCCAGAAGATAGATGTGGGTGCTAATCAGTCTGCAAGGAACAAGGACCTATGACAAATTCAATATTAAACTAAATTTAAGTGAAGGGGTGCCATCTACTGGACAGATTGGCAATTGCTAATTGAAAGTAAAACTGTACATTTCTTTTACAGTAGAGGAACTGCTTGAAATGCATGCGGCAGTGCGGGACTCCAACACAACCCGCGGGACGTCCTCAGAAGCTCACCACTTCCTGCACCAGGCTGATCAGCTCCATGAGCCGGCGCCGCAGCTTGGCCACCTCCTCGTTCACTTTGGTCACGTGCTGCTCGTAGATCTCCGCCAGGGGCTTGAACGTGTGGCCACCGTGCTGGAAAAACCAAGCCAGACCGGGGCCGATTAGACAGAGCAGCAGCCGCTCACAACGCCAAATACCGGGCCTCCTGAACACACAAGCTGCGCCAGCTCGGCGAGCACCACTAATATCAACCAGGAGTGGCAAACCCACCCTGGAAGGCCTCAACACTAAAGGTCATATAGGCAGCCCTTAAACTGCAAAAACGTAAACACGTGGAACACAGGTTTCGATCATTTGCATCAACTTAGTGGGTTCAGTCACATCACAGTGGTCCTTAAGATCTAAAGAGAAAATAAGATTTTCATTTCAAATGCCTCCAAACTACTTAAATGAACAAAATGCCTACTTCACAGGTCAAAATGATGAAGCCCTAAGGTTTAAGGAACTGATTAATTTAGGGGATCTCCAGGGCCAGTTAGTCATTATTCACACTAGGTCCTCCTCAGAGCAGCTCTTTCCTTGGACTCTGGTTCACAACAGATTTCACGAAACACTATCCACTTCTACATCTAGTGGTTTTGCATTACAGAAAATAAAGCCAGAAACTTCAATATCTAAACCACTTTAATCAAGTACTACTTTTTCCACTGTAATCTAGGTTCTAGAACAATAAGGACAGATTCCTGGATCTCTTGAGAAGTGGACTAATGGGTGAGAAACTGGTCAAACTTAATATGAAGCTGCATTAAAGACAAACTGGATCATTCAGGTCAGCAGTTCTCAGCCTTAGGGTCACAATGACAAAAAGAAGGATCATATACAGTATATTGGTAGGCTCAGTAACTGCAAACATGCTCATCATACAAGGCATTGGTTCTCACTCATGGATTACACCTTATCTGCTGATCTTTGGGGCTGCCAGTTTTCCTGCTGGTCATGGGTCCACCAGGTAATCACCAGTGCAAACCACTGTCAGTAATGATCTGCTTGCTTGTTCACGACGTTCCTTCCTGAGCTCAGTAGGAACCAAACCAACAGACAGGTACGCCAGGAGCAAAACAGAGAATCGCTCCGAAGGTCTCAAACCAACAGTTTCATTGAATCTGTTCGGCACACATTCCTGGTAGGTAAAACCAGGCTATAGGGATCCAAACCCAGTGATGGAGAATTACTGGATGCTGACTAATGATGCAGATGACAACACACAATTCCCTGTTGGTGGAGAGGCAATGTAGAGGCACTTGCACAACAAAGCAGTTAGTCAGCAACGTTCTCTTTCAGGTAAAAGAAAAAAATGACAAGCAAATAAAGCAGATTCTACAACTATTGCAACATGGGTAGTTTCTCCTCACTCTTAAAACATTTTACACTTATTTTTAGCTATTTCTTCTAAAATAGAGAACGGCTCATGACCTGAGCTGAAAAACTATTATGACAAACACTGACAAGTTATTTTCTTTTCGATTGAAAAGCTAGCGAGGGATCGTACACTTGTGCCTGTGTTGTGTATAAAGTTTAGACAGAATAGGACGCTGACAGCAGCAGAGAAATAGCACCCTGCTTTTTGGCATGTTACTGAAGCGAAAAGACACCTTTTACCTGCTACCTTACGTGGTTAGCAAATTGAAAAAGTTGTGTTCTTAATCCGTGGGTGTAAACCAGCACTATATAAACATGAAAAAGGTGTGTGTCTAATTTTAAACTTATGTATAAAGTTCAGAAGAACAAGACACCACAAAAAATGAATACCTATTAAATTAATACCATTACGAATGTGATTAAATGTATACTTTTTGCACTTCAGTAATAATTAAGACAACAGGAACCTTATTTCTAGCAGTAAAACTTTTAAAATCATTACAGCAGCTGAGTTGGTGACATTGTAGTTTCCCGTTATTGCTGTGCAGCGAAAACGATTATCAATTGTTTCCACATGGTTGGCAGCCTGCATGCTGCTGCTCTGTTCTGGAACTGGTGCTCTCATGAGCACCTCAACAGAGAGGACCCCAGGAAATGGCTGTCCGTCAAGCTGCCAGCAGCCCAACGTGCCCATGTGACCACAGCCAAGACCAACATACGTAAATGAGCCAAATGCACTCTGGGCTCACTCTCTGGCTCTGACAGCACAGCAAACTCTCATCTTGAACCTATAACCCAGTTTAAGTGGATGTGTGTTTGTGATGAATACGTATTTGTTTGTGACGAATGTGTATTTGTTATGAATACTGAAGAGAGCTCATAGCCACAACACGCATATTAATTTTAATTTGATTTAGATATTAAAACTACAAATATCAAAGACATCAGTAAAATAAACATGTATTATAATGCAAATATTTGACTGGCAAATGCATAAGATGTTCTGGTCTGTGCAACATTTTGGGGTCACAACAATTAAAGGTGTCTAAATAGGGTGCTAATGAGAAAATAGTTGGGAAATTCTTGATCTACTTAATGCTGAAATGCACCTTGTCATTCTGAGTCACAGACACTGAAGGATACAGTGGAGGACAGTTCTGGTTTCCTAAATAAAGCATAAGTGTTTAAAAGTAACAAGTAAAGGCTTATTCCATGCTGAAAAGAGAAGAAGCAACGTTTCGGGTATAAAGCCTTCTTCGGGTGTGAGGAGCAGAAACTGTGTGTTTTTCTTCTCTTTCCAGCAGGGAATAAACCTTTACTTGTTCCTTGACAGCCTACGCATGCTGACGCAGCTGCCTTCTTGAAGTACTATAAGTGCTTACAGCAGAAATGGTAAATTTTAGACCTAAAGAGTTATAAACCTTCAGGTTTTACAGACTGTCTATGAATTAAGACAGTCAGCCAAATAACTGTGGTAACAGCTTAGTGTTTTGATAAAACACACCCCAACCTGACAGCCCCTCAACCAGCAAGGTCAGCTACCCCTTGCTTACAGCATGACAGCACATCAGAAACTTACCATCCCACCCCACAGAGCACACTGGTGGCAGATGCACTTCTTGCAGGTCCAGCAAAAGACACTGAGCTTCTCGTGGTGATTCTCACACCTGCAGCACACATTGCGTTCGGGAAACCAGCAGGAGCCACAGATCGCAGTGCAGGCGGGGGAAATAAAAACATGGTGTCTGAGCCTGGTTCATGTGCAAACGTGCATCTGTTACTGAACCTGGTTTTCCATAGAGACAACACTGCTCTTTACGGTTGAGAAAACTTGTGAAATACCACCAAAGTTAAATGGCCTGAAAGGGAAAGCCAAAAGTAATTAATAAATAATTTTCCCCTTTTCTATTATTTCTAACATTTGAATGTTAAGATAAATTCAAGGTAATGCATGTTCCTGGACTGAGAACTGGTTAGAAATATAGATAGAAACGTGCAGTAAAAACGCTGAAATTGGGGTAATTAGAGAAATGCCCCAGGGATCTGTATTGGGACTATTGGTCTAATTTATATCAATGGTCTAGATTTTGGTATAGTTAGCAAAGTAATCAGGATTATATAGCCCACCAAAATATGAGCAACTGCAGGAAATGAAGAGCAGCAAAATAAATTCAAAATGACTTAAATAAAACTCCAAAACACCTGGTAGGTGCCATTTAAATAAGAAAACTTCAGTGTGTTACATGCAGGTGACAGGATCTAATTTTAAATGTAGTGAGGAAAAACGAGTTTAAAGAAGCTACATATCAAAAAAGACTTAGGTGTTTAAGATATTTGTGTTTTCTAGACAATGTGTGGTAAGCTATAAGAAAGCATACCATTTGGACATACTGCATATTTAATGGTGGAGAACATATCAAGAATTTATATAAATTTTATATTTTTTTATATCATGCGATGTTGTATAAGAATTGCACAATGTCCTACTAAGATCTTAATAGATCTTGTGTACAAATATGGTCACCATGTTACATATAAGATAGGATGGATTCCAGAACAACAATAATTGGAAAACGAGTCTCCTCCTTGCAATACATTCCTGGGCTCATAGGAATGTCAATCCATGCATTTCTTCAACATCATCAATGAAACAACTCACGGGAGATAGGTGGAAACTACTGGGAAATGCATTTAAAACGGAGAACAGGAGGCAAACTGTTTACACAAAGGCTTGCCGGAGTGTGGAATATAATACCCAGCCATTCTGTCGAAGGCTGCTACCTTGGCATTATACAAGAAGCCTTTGGATAAGACCCTTGGCAGAATACACTACTAGCAACAAAACAAGTTAGTTGTGCTGGATGGACTCCCCTATATGCACCCTTTCGTACGTTCTTAAGAAAGCAAGACTGCTGAAGCAGCACTGCTATATAAGGGTCCAGCGAGAGGCGACGGGGCTCACTTGTCTTTGTCATTCTCCTCGTGCTTGGAGAGGTTGCAGAGCTGCAGGGTGTCGAGCTGCTGGGTCACCTCCTCGGCCCAGCGGCAGTTCACCAGCTCCCGCAGCTGCAGCGGCGCCCTACACACACGCACACACGGGGTCCGGGGGTCAGGCAGCACAGTGAACAACACGGCAGAACTGGAGGAACTGGTCTGCACCGATCAATGGCACTGGTGAAGTGCCGTGTCACATCAGAATGAACATTCCTGAACTGCTATATGGCAGCTTTCACCACAACTTCCATGTGCCTGTGACATATATTCCAGGCCTTTGCATATACCAAATGATGCACAAGGCCAGTCCCAGATACTGTGGTGTTTATGCTTGCTCAGTATTGATTTTCACATACAAGGCGCAGTGCTTTAAAAACTATCTGCATTCAACTTTATTATGAGTGCTTTATTTTAATCTTTTTTTTTTTACTATAGAAACACTGCAAATTGCTGCTGACCTTACAAGTGACAAAGCACAGATTCTTGGCCTTGAGTCATTTCTTCTAATGGAATTTGGTGTTTATCACACAGATGTTTCATTAAGTTTAATGAACCATCAAAACTTAAGCCTGGCTTCAAATTTGTCTCTTCATTGAACTGCAATTTATTCAACAAATCACAGTGCTGATTAAGACTCTAGAATCTCTATTCCAAGGCACTCAAACTCGGGATCATAAACGCTAAAAAATGACAAGACTAAACATTGCATTTCAGTCTGATGCCCAGTAAAAAGGACCACACTGTTGAATTCTTACCGGCAATGAGGGCACTGGGCTCTCTGCTCTGTCAGCCAGCGCTGGGAAATGGGTGAAGGAAATAAAATGGAATAAGGTTAGCACCACTGACACAAAAAGGAACTACAAATCTCTTTATGCATATGAATTAAGCATTAAATTATGTAAAAACGTATAAACCCACTAGTATTCAGCAACCTCAAAAGTGCATTAAACAAACGTGGTTTCTGGGATCTTACCATTAAGATATGTCCTGCTCCTAATCTTTGTCAGCTAAAGACTAACAGTACATGTATGGAGCTCCTGATGGATTGCAGGAGGAGGTGCACATCGGACAGCAGCACTTACTCGAATGCAGCTGAAGCAGCAGAGCTTGGAGCAGTGCGGACAAAGCCGCGCGTCCCGCAGTTTCTCCATGCAGATGAAGCAGCGAAACACTTCCGCAATACTCTGGGAACAAAAGGAAACCGTCAGACCAACTGGACATCAAGCAGCTACAGAACCTCTCTATTTTGTAATTGCTACATATTGCCTTAATGAACAATCAATCTGCTATATTGACCTCTATGAAGTAGATTTCCCTGCAATTTCCCTCACGGGATCAATAAAGTATCTATCTATTTAGAATTATTAGTAATAAAAAACTGCTACTAAATGCATTTATTTGTGGGAGCATGCTATGCTGCTGAATGACTATGCTTTTTCTTCTTTTCCACACTTCCAGGAGGGCTCCACCAGACAGGCAGCACCTAGGAGGACAGATCGAGCTCCATGCTCCGCTCTGCCACTAGTCTCTGTGTGAGCGCTGACACTGCAGGGTTAGTATTGGTGAGCTGGGCTCTCCCAGCACCAAGGGCCACACCTGCGACCTGCTGGGAGCCTGCAGGCTGGCAGTGATATGGGCTGGAGGCTGACTGCTCCTCTGAGAGGCTCAAACCTCCTGCAAGGGTCTGTGGAGCCAAAGGACAGCTGGCTCAGCTGGTGGGCTCAACAGAGGAGCAAACCCATGCATCTCATTCATTCTCCCGAGGGGGTACACGAGTCATGGCTGGAGAGTCCCGTCTTAAACACAACACACCGTTCCAAATGGGGTGGATATACATTATATGAAATGCTGGGAAATTCCCTCAATCTGATATAGCCACCACCTGGAGTGCAGGCTGGGCTCCACTGTCCCAAGGTTGTTGGCGCACATTTTACACTAACATGAACCCATAGCAAAGTAAAGATAACTGGACAAGAGGTGTTAGGTTACAAATGCACATGCACAAACTTGCACATGGTTTTGAGCTTTCTGCCATGGCAATTAACCAGCATTTCCATTAGCTTTAAGAGTTGACAGTCTGAGAAGAGCAGGTCTTCTGTGTGCAGATTTCAGAGAAGCTGTGCATGCTGTCCTGGTGTTCAGACTGGGACTGCAGCAGAGCTCTTCTGATAACAGCAAATCCAACTTTAAAATGAACAACACTATCTAACCAAGGTAAAATACTAACAAAAGGATTCTTATCATCATCTGCAAAAGGGAATGACTGACACTTAAAACAAACCCTGGCGGTACTTGTTAAGACCTTCAAATAACTCATACTAGCACAGCAAATGAAATCAATTCTCATTAAGGTCAGACCCCAATCCAGTTAAAGAGCTGGCTGAGCTCACTGTATTCAGAAGAGTGAAATGCTAGTTTGAAATAAAGCTGTCATGGGAGTGGGCAGGTTTAAAAATCACAGAACCACCAGGCTGCATACAGTCAGAAAGGGGAGTGTGGGGAGTCCATCACCTGCTTCTTCAATAACCAAGATATCCACCTAATAAGTCTACTGCAGACATGCCCTGGGGTTTGTACCTGCACCCAAACTCAGTTTAGGTTCAAACTCAGGTTTAAAGAAAATGAGAAACCCTTAAGGTAAAGGCAAGAGCTCTTCATTTTAACTCACAAAGCAGGCAGACCCAGGACTTCCTGCTACACGGACGCCCACGTTCTGACCCACCTCCACACTTTGCTCGTCCATTTCAGACGGTTTTCAACCTGCTTGGTATCCTCAGGTGGAAAACAAAAAGCCGCTCAACCCAACACCTGTGAAAAGAGCATTACTGAATAAGACTTAGAAGTCTGCCTTTAACAAACGTTAAGACAAAATAGGCTCTTTAAACTTTCCAAGCACTGGCATGCTATCCAAGCCACCATCCAAACCTCATATTGCAAAGGATTTTAAATTAGAATGAACACAAGCTATTTGATCCTTTAAACCACATTCTGAGTGTACAGTATATCTAGAAGAGTAAATACGTGACGGAAAACATTTTCAAGCTTAGTGCACTTACAAGATACACAGTGTCAGAGAGAAACAGTGAAAATGGCATCGCCTTCTGCACTTCTTTAGGGCCTTACCATAATACCTCTAGAGATTAATACCTCTGGGATACTGACAGTATACCAACCTGTTCACATTATATAATTTCTTTCTTGTCTCTAAATTACTTAGTCTCTTTTCAAAATGGTATAGTCCTTCCATGTGACTGCTTAAAAAGGCAGAGATTCTCCAGCTCCTCGATTCGCCCCTATTTTTATTTATGAGGGTTGCTTGTTGGCTCTGAGGGTTGTAATCACTCGAAAGCGCTATGGCTACAAACTGTGGTCAGAGCCCTCCGAAAGCCCAGACGTCCATTCTTCTGGGAAATGGGCAGGAGCTCAAACACCTGCCGCCAGATTTCTGGGGGGTCTGCAGGGTTTCAGACGAGATTTAGCACGTAAAGCGCATTCGGACTCAGGCACAAGGCTATTTGTAACGACAATGCGGGCAGGTCTCAGGCACCACTGAGACTGCAACCTGCCAGCTCTGCGTTAGATCACACTCATCCCTCCACAAAAATGTATTTTACCCACGGCAGCCTGAAAACGTGGCTTCAAAACACGAAGCGTGCGGATGCCTTTCGCCATTTTGGGGATTCTAATTGTGGGGGGTAAATCGGGAAATATCTAACCTGAGCGGCTTGTGTTTGGCAAACCATGAAACAGGCTTAGCAATCCTTCTCCACGCCTATGCAGAGACCCAAAATGAAGAAGACAGGGCCGTCTGCGAGCGGCCCTGAACGCTGCAGGTATGGAGTCTCGCAGGGGGTCTGTCCTGAGGTGCATCCCAGGCAGCTCCCAGACACAGCGCTCCTCCGAAACCTGCTGCGTCTGGCTTTAGCTATCCAGCAAATTACAGCCCGCCTGCCCTTCAGGGGAGACCTGCTCTCTGCAAGTTGTGCCTAACTCGTTGCTACTGAAGAAAGGACCCAAAACAAACTTCATTGAGATGTTAAACGAAGCGCAGCCCCCTCCCCTCCCGGGGGTGCCGAGAGGCTGGGCACTCGCTGGAGGACTGGCGGTGGGTTGGACGCGGCCAGGGGTGTTGGAAAACCCGGACCCCCACACTGCCCAGGACGCTGGCCGGGTCCAGAGGCGGGCTGGGCAGCATGCAGGGAGCCGGGAGAGCGGTACTTACGTCGCCGGGGCTCGGAGGTGCCCAGCCGGGCGGTCAGCCGCGGCTCTGCAGAGGTGAGGGCGGAGCGCTGAGCACCCACCCCGCCGCCTGTCTCTCACACACACACACACAACGGGCTGGTGGGAAAATAACAACGCCTAAGCGCTCGTTTTGCCGTTATTTCCTATCTTTTAAACGTTAGCTCCTGCACCCCACCTCCATTCTCCTTCCCCCTCGCCAGTCACAGCTACTGGTCACCATTGGAGACCGTTTCGCCCCCCCCACCTCTCTCTCGCGAGGCCGCCGGAAGCCGCTGAAATCCTCGCTCGCCAATGGCAGAGAGAAGAGGGGGCGGGATCTCGCGTCGCAGAAGGGCCGCGTCGCTTTTCCCCTCCCCCTGAACTCGGGGGACACGCCCCCTGGTCTGGTGGGCGTGAAGGGGGGTGTGGCTTTCGTGACACATCTCCGCTGCGATTGGTCAGGTGCCGAGAGGCTTTCAGAGTGGAGCGCAAGCCAGTCACCGACGCCTTGGTACTTTTTCAATCTGTATCCAATCACAGCGGCTTCCGCTGAAGCCACACCCCCGCGGCCTGCCCAGACAGTAATGAGGAGGCTCTCCTCAGGAATTGGGGTAGGGAAAAGAAAGACGTCAGACAGCCAAAGGGATTAGAGGCGCTTCCGTTAGCAGGAGAGGCGAGTTCGAAGCGTCCTCAAATCTTGCGCGTCACCCCAGCTGCACAGGTGGGGGTCCTGGGGTCTCCGTGTCAGCGCGCTTCATTGCATAACCACAGACAGTGCGGAGAGAGATAAACAACATGAACGGTGCTCGCATGCGAACGTCGGTTCACCTTAAATCCCTTTAGATCGGCACAACATTGCAAAAATATCAATGTCTTTATCATTTAATCTTACATGCCAACACGTGAAATTGAAGACAAGCTACCTATATTATTATAGCTGCGCCTAACTGAAGGAAGTATGCAGCAAACTGAAACGCAGTTCCATAATGGAAAATTATAGGCACCCTTAATCTTCAATATATTAATAAAATTACTAGGTGTATTCATTAAATACAGCTGAGACATATATGAGTGTCATAATTGCAATAGTTAGCAAAGCTGTCTCACAGGTCTTGGGTCTTGGCTTTGATTTGTGACCTGGTGCGCCTTCCGTGTGGAGTTTGCATGTTCTCCTGGGTTTCCTCCCGGGTACAACAGCAGGCGGATTCTCCCTGTGTGTGTCCTGGGGGTGTCCAGCCTCGAGCCTGGTGCCTGCTGGGCTCAACGTTAAGCGTTCCTTGCGAAGGGGTTAATCTAAGACAGCGGAGGTGAGATGCTCCAGGCTCGGCTCTGCCGTGACGCCCCCGCGGAGGAGCCTCGCTCTGCAACGCAGGAGGTCTCCCCTGCTCTCCAGGGCGAAGTGACCCACATGCTAAATGCGGGATGCCCGGGGGGGGCGCGCAGCCGGATCGTCCTCTCTGGCTGCGGGGAGCCTTGATCAACGAGCCGGTTCTGACGTCTCAGGTGACCGCGGGCTAATTGAAGCGTTTCGTGAGGTGAGCTCCATCGGGACCTCGGCTCTCACTCGCAGGGAGGATCCCTGTAGGCTTTCTTGGGAATGACAACTGGAATCCACCCTCCGTGCTCAACCCAATAATCACTGCTCTGCTCGCAGCTCAGTCTCTGCTCTTGGCCCTGGACTTGTCATTACTGTTTTAAAACCCACGTTTGATCAACAGCCCTCCGGCCAATAAACGCTTCTGTTGGGATACAAAAGTAACAACACCGAAAGCATATATCATATCGTATCATATCAAGCATAAAGCAAATCGGGCGGAGCAGTGGCTCTGTGACTACTCCGTTGGGCCCCGGAGCAAGGCCCTTAACCCTAACTGCTCCAGGGGCGCCGTACAATGGCAGACCCTGCGCTCTGACCCCCTGCTTCTCTCTCCCTGTCTGTGTCTCCATGGAGAAAAGCTGGGGTATGTGAAAAGACGAATTCCTAATGCAAGAAATTGTATAGGGCTAATAAAGAAACATTATTATTATTATTACATTATTATTAACAACACATATAGTTCCCAGGGATTCATTTTGGCTCATCTTCTGATCCGGAAAACTCAATTTTCCCTCCTCTTTAGGTCAGATTTCCCTTCAGTTAGGCACAGGATATCCCCATGAACACATGGGCATGTGTTTTGGCTTCATCTAAAATATCCTCACAGTCACTATGCCTCTGAGCAAAGCCAGCAGCAGGCCTTCTATTAAACAGAGCCGGGACACGTAAACCAGCAGAGCAACAGAGAGAGCAGAAGGCCAGTGGCCTGTGCATCAGAGACACACGGAGTTCAGAGTTTCCGACACCCATCTCCAGCCCCTGACTGGCACCAGCAGAGCCAGGCTCATCCTCAGGGCTACACCACACAGTACCAAGAGCTGGACAGTTGAAGAGAAATCCAAAACAAACATTAGATTAGAATCAAAGCAAGATTTTCGTTTATTGTTGTTAATGCTGTAATTCAATTTCTTTTCCTGGTTTGCCAAACACAGAGGAATGCAGAAAGGTATTTCTATTATTTTCTAATATGCGGAAATAATAATCAAAGTCTCTGACTTACTTTAAAAGGACAGACTGGCTGGTTAACAGATCTTTCCAGGTCCACTGCCTCTAGGCCTCTATGCATTGATGTTGGTTAATTGCTTCCAATTATCTTGCAAAAAAGTATGAATCACTGAAGTTGTCTGATGTACTATGTCAGTGATTGCATATTATCACTGTGCTGGTGCTGAACTCCCTCTGCAGAGTCCCTGCTGAAATAAGGGAATCTTTACAGAGTTGTATTTCCTGGGGTCATGGCCTCCCATGCTGAGGACTCTGTGAGGTTCCAGAAGCTGGACGGCGAGGTCTCTGGCGACGGGCTCTGGCTGCTGCCGGGAGAGTTCTGGGCCTGTGTGGGATCCGTGGGATGCTCTGGTCTGCTGGGCCCTGTGGACTCCAGCTCGGCCTCCTCGTCTGTGAATGAAGCACAGGTGAGCAGGAGGAGGCCGAGCGTGTCAGGCAGACCAGTACATTTTAATTTCTCATTCTCTCTGGAAATGAATTCATATTCCTGGGGGGCCACGCCTGGTGATTCGGCACCCAATCAGGCAGAGAAGTGACCTTACTGGGCCAGACTGCAGAACCCCAGCCCGGCCTCCAGGGTTAACACTCCTACTCTTCTGAAAAGGGCCGGGGGATAGTCAGGGCCCAGGCCTAGCTTCTCAACCGAGTGGGGGCACAGTGTCCTCGGACAGCACACTGGAGCGCCACCTCCTGGTCCACTGGTGCCGAGCTGCCCTGGGGACTCACCCTCGATCACCCGCACCAGCACCGGCTCGCTGCTCTTCCCCAGGCCCAGCCCGTCCACCGTCGCCCGGCACCAGTAGCGCCCCGAGTGGCGGGCGGCGGCGCTCCGCACCACGTGGCGGTCCTGGGACGAGGCCACGCCCAGCCGCTGGCCGCCCCTCTGGAAGCTGTAGCGCAGCCTCAGGCCCGGCCTGCGGGGGGTCAGCTGGGCCCGGCAGCGCAGCACCAGGTCCTGCCCCCGCTGGACAGGGGTCTCCGTCAGCACCTCCATCACCGGCTCGCTCAGCAGGTCTGGTCAGCAGACGGACAGGGTCAGAGAGGGCAGCGCGGGGCCGCAGCGCCGGGCAGCTGGGGCGGCATGAGAATGAGCCGCTGCTCTTTTCTGGAGAGCATCTGAGATCGGCCACGCGCTCACCTCTGACGGACACGCCGACCTCGGGGGACTCCGCAGTCTTCCAGCCCCACCTCTTCCCCCAGGTGGCCCGGCACCCGTAGAGCCCCTCGTCCCGGGGCGAGAGGCTGGCCAGGTGCAGCTGGGGGCCGCTCTGCCTCGCCAGCACCCGGCCGTCCTTGTGGAAGACCACCTGCTGCAGCCTGGGGTTGCCGCGGACACGGCAGGTCAGAGTGGCTCCGGCGCCGCGGAGCAGCGGCTGTGGAGGAGTCTGCAGGATCACCCAGCCGCCTGCGGGCAGGAGGCACAAGCTCAGGGCAGGCCTGACCGCTGGGCCAGCCCCACCAGCCACCACCCTGCAGCCCTGAGACGCCAACCCCCTCTCAGCGCTTCCCGGTTCTCTAATTCATCAGCTACTGCGCCACCAGCGAGCTCCTGTGGCAGGTCTGACGCCACTGTCCTCACTCATCCCGCCATCGCGCTGTGCCACGGGGTCACCCGCGCTGGGCCTGCAGCACCACACAGCGCACGCGGCACGAGACCGGGAGACAGTGCTCACAGCTGGGGAGTCTGGGAGTCTGGGGAACAGGAGCCAGCCTCCTGGCAGGAAGTACAGCTGCCAGGATGGGTACCGAGGAGAGGAAAGGGAGGAATCGTGTGTTTTCCTTGGGCGGCGCCGCCGGGCCCTGCTGGTTCTTACCGGTCACGCGGATGCTGATGGGCTCGCTCGGCAGGCTGCGCTGCGGCCAGGCCCGTGCCCGCAGGCCCTGGCAGGAGTACTGCCCACCGTGGTGAGGCAGGGTGGGCCTCAGTGTGTACCTCCCCTCCCCCACGGTGCCGAGCTGCTGCACTGGCGCCCCGTCTTTGTACCACACGAACGTCCAGCCGGAGGGCTCCCCCGGAACGCGGCACGTCAGGGTGACGGTCTCCCCGATGAAGACCTCTGGCGCCCCAGCGGACAAGTGCAGGACAGCGCTCCTGGGCCGGTCTAGAGGGAAGCAGGAAGGGGGAGTGGGCCGGGCTGGGCTGGGGGAGGCCCAGGGGAACTGGCCCATCTCTGAGAATCCAGTCCTGTACTGCAGCACCCGGCCATGTGGTGGAAGTCAATACTCTGGGTTCTTTCTAGAAGCATCTGGATGAGATCCTGGGATCAATTAACTACTCTCAGCCTGGCCCAATGGGCTGAGTGGCTCCTCTCCTGTGTTATGATGTTCAAACCAAACCCTCCAGCCTAATTCTGACTTCAGGTATGAATTTTATGGACATGCTCTAAAGTGAAGGAGCCACAGATGAGCACTCCAGGGCCCGCTGGGATGAGGCGGCCCTGTGGACATTGGCCCTTCGCAGGATGAAGGAGGTGGGAATCCCTCTCGTCCCTGCTGAGCGCCCCCTGGCGGATCTCTTTTTCACTGACATCTACATCTGCCGCTTTCCTTCTCTTACACAACGCAGAGCCAAGATAACCGCCGCCGTCCAGTTGTCACACTTGATAAAATTACACGACGAAGAACTACTGATGATCTGCACTGATATCTGGAAAAAATACATTTACCTTGAAGGACCACCGATGGAGTCACTGCAGAAACCACTGGAAAAGAAAATAATAAAAAAAACAATAAAGTTGATTTTTTCATCTTAAAATATTTGCAGAAATTAATCTGAACGTTTTCTTCGTGTATCAGCTGGATAACCACACACCTCCTCACTACCCACATCCACCTCACAATCCCTCCAAACTACTCTGCTGTGAAGCTGGAAACATCCCAGTGTCACTAGAGGCGATTCTTTTCAAAAAGCAAAATTGTCTTCTAGATTCTCACGGTAGGTTAGTGTTGCGGTTTCTGAGTTACAAAAACAAGCCGACTACAACAGTAACAACAGACATTAAGAGCCGAACCGAGCCGAACCCGCAGCTGCGCGCTGTGTGCGATAGCGGGGCAGTCCGGCTCATACGCACCGAGGAGAGACAGCAGCAGGTCCATCACCGGACCGGACCGAGCTGCGCCTGGGAGACGGGTTCCACTGGGTCTGTGGGGTCTGTGGGGGCAGTGGGACCACGCTCCGATCTTCGCTCTTTCACTTTCGATTACCAGAAATCTGTTCCTGCGCTGAAAACAGGTCCCATCCTGGGCAGATCAAGCAGTTTTCTCGGAATCGAGACTCGGATGGGGGTACGCCCCCATCTCAGAGCGCGCGTCAAGAAAATACAACAGCGCAACTCCAAAACATGCGACCCGACCGCAGGTCAGCAGGTTTTATTCCCTCTTTCCCAGCAAGAAGACTAACTGCATTCCCCGCGCACGCGTGGGCAGGAGACAACAGCTTGTTTTTCCCCCCAATTATTGTGATTTTACTGTCAAGTTCTACCAATTGAACGACCGTACAGCACACAGTCCGTGGCGTCGTTCGAAAAGAAGCATCTGCCGTGTTCGCAGCCCGCTGCCCCAGTCCAGCTCACAGCAGCTACTTACTCATGGTAAAGAAGAGGATCTGAAAGTGCATCCAACGCATTTAATTAAAAACCACAAAAAAAAGCTCAAGTCTAAAAAAAGGTGCCCCCAGATGCTGATTCTTGATGGCCTAACAGCAGCTTAAGAGCACCAGGCGCCTTGCAAAACATGCCCCCATCCACACTCTTTAAAATGAATATATTTACAAATTATTGTATTGTTTTATTGTATTATATACAAATATAAAATTATATAAATCCTCAATGCTCGAATTGAAGAATTTTATGGGTAAAACTTAAAGATCAGAAAAAATGCAAAACCTGCAAAGGATAATCCATTTGTAACCTGTTGTGGCAAGACAGGGTCGCGGGGGGGCCGGAGCCTATCCCAGCAAGCAGCAGGCACAAGGCGGGCCTGAATGGGACCCCAGCCCATCACAGGGCACACAGACACCAAGGCCAATTTTCCCACAAGCCACCTAACTTATCGCTACAGTTTGGGACTGTGGGGGAAAAAACAAAGCACCCGGAAGACACCAACACAAACACAGGGAGAACATGCAAACTCCACACAGACATGTCCAAAACTGAACCCTGGGCTCTCATGAGGTGGCAATGCTGACCACTGTGCTGCTCTACAGAGGATAATCCAATAATAAATAACTGGATTGCTTAATTATTCACCTCATTGGGTGAACATTTGGTGGAAACACCTGTGGCAGCAATTACACCTACATGTCTTTTTACCGACGTCGTACACATCTGTAATTAAAACAGGACATCATTGTTGGGGGTAAATACATTTGGAAGGCACAATATCTTTCAGGGCTCGGAGACTGAAACCTCACAGACATGCTTGGCTCCATTCTTTTGCAGAACATCATCTTAAGGAGGTGTTCTGCTGCTGGAATATCATTTGCTGGTCCAAAAACATGTTAATAGACAACGCTTTCATGTCTTAGTGCACAATTGCACTTTTTTTGGAAAAACATTGGAAGTCTGAACAAAACAGGAAAAGAATTACAGAAGCTGCCCAAGTAAACACCCGAGATGATTTTATGTTGGAAAATCATTATAAAAAACGTGTAATGCAATTCAGACAAGCAAACACTCTCTTGGAGAAACGTTGATTGTGCCAAATAACTGTTTTTCTGCAGAATATCAGGTGGCTGTGCAAGTCCATGTGAAACTGGGAAAAGGTAACACCCGGCTGCACAGAGAGCAGTGAATGTATTAGAAAAAGAGTAATTCTAACAAGTGACTCCCACACACTTTTATCAAGGCATTGATAACTTATTGAGACAAAGGATAACATTCTCCACTAGAGGGCACCACTACAGTATATATCGGGAATCTGCAGTCCTGCTCCTGGAGGGCCTCAATCCAGCAGGCTCTCTATATCGTGTTTTAGGGACCAATTTATTTGTAATAATGGATTTCAAAAGACCTGTTACAACTTAACTGTGATCAGTAAATTAGATGATTTGTTAAAGTTAATTAGAGATTACTTGAATGAAAATGCAGAACACCCTCAGCCCTTAATGATAAGACCTTCCTTCCTTGGAAGAAAATTACTGGCTCAATTAATCAATGACTGACAGGTGCTCCTTATGTTTAAAAACAAGGGGTGTAGGATGACCTATAACACTAACTGGGACCAGGCCTCGCAGGAAACCTTCAAGGTGCTGTATATCCTTACAACTGCTTTATTCTAGGGTCTGCCGATGAGTGCAAGGGTGGCCAATAATCTGGACAGAACACAACCTTATTGCAGGGCACAAACCCAATTAAGAATCACCAATGAACCCACATCTGGACAATGGCGGTAACCTGGAGAGAACATGCAAGCTCCCCACACAGGGTGCTCCAGGCTTGTACTGAACCAAGGAACCGGGAGCTGTGCAGCAGTAGTGACTGCTGTGCCACAACCTCTTCTAGAAGGTGAAAAGGAACAACTTCAACGGACAGCTTTGCTAATATTCTTTGAAATTCAGATCTGTTCCTTTGCTGGTAAAATGTCCTTATCTTGCTTCTCAAAGCTTAGTTACATAGTTGTCTGCATCAAAGTCTTTATCTGCCAACAAAATGATCAAGAGTCAAAGCAAACACTGGAAGCATGTGGGTTTATTGAAATAAACACAGTTCAGACACGATATGTAAAAAACACCACAGGTTCTATATATTACATAATAAATAGTGATGTGTTATGCAAGTTTAAAAGTCACACGGGTGAGGTCACAAATATACATTGTTCAGAGTCGTTAAAAAGACTCTCCCTCTGGCAGAGTACCTGCTCGGGGATGTGAAGAGAGGGTGAAGGTGGGAAGAGGGGGGACGCATTCCTTATTTCCACAGCTTCCGATCCTGTGCAGGCTTCTCAACCAGATCCTAAACCCGCGTCACCGGCTCCAGAGCCGCTCGGGGATCACAGCACGGGGGTCTGGGGGCACACCGAGGGCGTGGAAGCACTGGCAGGCCTGACGTCTTACTGGGCAGGCAAGATGGGTCACACAGGAGGTAAGAACACCAACTACGCCAGACTGCAAGTCAGATACTGTGATCCCTTTTCCAAAGCAGAACAGTGAAAACAGAATTCGCAACACAGCTTTATCGTGTGCTAAACTAAAATTCATAAAGGACTGAAAGTATCCAGGGACCCAGCTCTGCACAGGTTGTCAACAGGGACAGTGGACACTGGGCGTACGTCTGTGGTGGAAGAACACTACGTTACGTTGCGGCTGGAGGGAAAGGGAGTGTCTGAGGTGCAGTATTCTTCATGCAGCATCTTCCAGCACAGTGCTCCCTGCAATCAGCCTGACGTAAGATGCACCAGGTCACAACCACACAACTATCCTGTGGGTCTTTTTATATAGGTTACCCGTAAAGAACAATTTGTAAGACTTTCCGTGCAACTTAACATGGGAGTTATTTAAACCAGGAAATGACAAACTGATCCTGAAGGATGCAGGATTAGCACATTTTCATACCAAACTATCCGAATTACTAAACAACTAACTCTTCTTTTCCCACTCTTTGGAAATCTATGGTTAAACATGAGCCAAGTGTTTTAGGTCTTTGGGACTAGAGGTGGTCCACCCTCTTTACAGAAAGTTATCCATATATAAGGACTGTTTCCTGAAACTGAACAGCAAGAAGGCCACCAGACAGAATCAGTCAGGACCCTCCTCTGAGAATCATTCCCAATTAAAAAAATACAGCAATCCCATCACTCTGGTTTGTCCATTTCTATCAGCACTGATGAAACAGGACTCCAAATATACACTTCCATTTCCAAATACCTGTCCTTAAACACTCAATGCTTATTTTTTAAATAATGCTCTTTTTAAAACTGCAATATTCTAAATAAAATGCTGCTTTTCATGTTAGCAAAACTGAACACTGAAACAATACTTTCAGATGAGAATTAAATTGTGTTGTATTTTTTACAGTTCATGACCAGCAGCCAGGGGCATGTGTGGACAGGAATCATTTCCACAGGGGAGGGACCTGGTGCCTAAAAGGCCGTTATCCCAGAGAGGGACAGGCTTCTCTTACTGCTGCAGGCAGCCGAGCTGTGTCAACAGGTTCCCGATTCTGCTGGAGGTCGGCCCCTGCAGCGCTATAGGATCACACCCACAAGATACGCCTGGGTGCCATGATCTGCTTAGGCTTTAAAAGTCAAATTGTTGTTGCTGCCACTGTTGTGTTATGTTTTGGTTGTTTCCTTGATGTCCTTGTATTGGTGCACACATGCGAATTAAGCATTTCACTGCACTTGTGCACATGACAAATAAACTGAACTGAAACTGCTAAACAGAGAAATCCTAAATGTGTTTTTATAACCCATTGTGCTGTTGCAGAACACAGAGTTCTGGTTTGCAGTTTCAAAAGGATCTGTGAACGTGTGCGTGCCTGTGTGAACAAGCATCACTGCTAGAGTCATTTTGGATCTGGTCCACACGGTCAGCCAGGCAGACATGCTGTAGCCATTACATGTTCACCCTATTTAACAGAAAGGTGACACCTTTCTGGAGAAAACTAAATTCTTTAGCAGCCTTGCATAGAGGCAAGAGGAAGATCAACGACCAACAGGCCCAAGACCCGCCCTCAAACCCTCTTCGCCCAACTCCACAGAGACATGTGCAGGTGCATCAGGGCCGAAGAGGCGGATGTTTAGAGAAGCTGGCTCTCATGACTGGCACCCTCCCATTCATCTGCCCCTGAAAACTGCCCCCATCCAGGCGAAGAAGCATAATGTAAATAACGGCGTTATGGGCACATGCATTCATAAAAGACAAAGTGATCCAGAGCACTAAACAAGCCATTACTGGAAATGCTATAATTCACTACAGCACAACAAACCCATTTTACCTGTAGCTGATGAGTGGAAACTCACATGCCTCTTAAGAGTTAGTAAGAAATGATCTAACTTAACACCCACCATCCCCAAAATAAAACATTCAAAATCATATTGGGGGGGGGGGGAGATTAGGTGAACTAACCTACCTACAGTACTAAGTGAAGGTGATTGGTGACCTAATTACATTTTAGAAATGACTAAAATGAGGTTACAAGTCAAATAGCAAGAAAAACAAAACAGGGCTGTACGGTGAGATACAGTACATAAAATAATCGACCTGATTTACTTGACTTGCTACAACAGTGTCAACGAGCTTCAGTGTTTCTTGTGTTGGTGAAGCGTTCTGCTAAAATGCTGATAGTTAAGCATGAGCACTGAAGTTCTTTTCTATAGATATTGCTATGGTGCACCACTGTAAACCTGCAGGACATTATAAAGAATGCGAATGCATGGTGTAGCACACAGAATAGGATAGTAAACCAAGGCACACACAGGGGGAACTATAATGAATCATGCTAAATGAGTGGAAAAGTGAAATAACTTTAGCGTAGTGAACTATTACAAACCACACCCTTAACACAAACATTCGACACGCGTCTTTACACATCGAGACATCTGCTGAGAGGGGGAACATACATCAGGGGGTTTGTTTCCCCAATCTATCAGCACACTTAGGGAAACATCCATCATTGGCAAAGATCCCCACTGGTAGGGCAGTCCTCATGGCCAAGCTGGAGGGCGAGGGAGACGAGAGCATCAGGAAGAAACAGCACCGCCGTACTGGGACAGGGGCTCGCTGGGATTACAACAGGGCCACAGAGACAATAAATGCGCGGTATTCAAAACATTTAGCAGTTTGAGTATTTAACAACACCAAATGCAAGAGCTGGATCTTTCTGTATAATGTCTCTGAACTTCAACCTGTTTATTCTGCATATCCTTTCAAGATCACAACTCTAAGGAGAGAAGCACCAGGAGCTTGCCTGTTGTAAAAGCGAGTGCTCGGCTGGGATGCTCGAGTTGTTCAACGAGGAAAGACAGTCAGTCTGAGCACTGGGGGGCCTGGCTGGGCCCTGTCACTCCTATGATGCAGTGGGATTCCCCAAGTGGCAGCGCCGACAGGGGAGGAGCTGGGCTTAGTCAGCCAGGGCGACCCCAGCAGCTGCCCGCGGGCCTGCAGCGCGACAGCGAGGAGCGGGGAGCCCCCCCTGCTAGAGCACTGAGCCCGTCACAAACAGGAACGACTGGAGAGGCGGGAGGGTGCAATGCAAGGAAATGGAAGAACATGACACTGAAAAACAACACTGCCCCGCAGTCAGGCGCTGCGACACACTTGAGCTCGAAAACTCGCTGTGAAGACCCCAGAATAGGAGCGGGGTGTGTGGGGGACGGGAGCCAGCTGCACCAGCTGGGCTGGAACGCAGATGAACCCGGGGAGGCTTGCAGGCCGCAGCCTAGAGACTGGAGAGTTCCCAGGGAGAGCCGGCGTGTGAACGGGGGAGGGAGCCGAGCGGGAGAGGGAACGGGCCGGGCTAGCCGGAGCACTGCCCTAGCCGGCGAAGACCTGCGGCTGCAGCGGGGGCGGCAGGCGGTCGTTCTCCACGTTGTCGGAATCTATGGCCGAGGCGGGGGGCAGCCGGAGGTCCAGCGGGTGCCTGTCCAGGATGTCCTGCACCTCGCGCTCCACCCCGGCGCGCCAGTCGATCAGGTCGCCCTCCAGCCGCCGCGCCCCCTCCAGGACCCTCTCCTGCCGCGCGCCCAGCCCCGACAGCAGCTCCAGGCTCTGGTAGACCTGCGCCAGGGCGGGGCTGCCGCCCGCCGGCGGGGGCCAGGCCTCGGGCTCCTGCCTGCGGGGCGACGCCTGTCCCGACATGTAGCGCTCAAAGTCCTCCGGGCTGAGGTTGAGGGACTGGGCGTCCAGCTTCTCGATGAAAGCCACTGCGCAGCACTGCAGGGAGAGGAGGCACACGGGTCACCGGGCGGAGACAGGGGCAGCACTCGGCCCTCCCCGCCCCGAGAACCTACCTCCCGCGGGGCAACTCGTGGCTCTTATACATCATTCCGCTCAGGCCCGGAGTCTAGGAGCAATTAGAGCCGCTCGAGGACAACGGTCTCAGAACTGGAGCGGACATGGAAGTAGCACACTAACAGCAGAACTAAAATGTCAAAATCAAGCCTCGTCTTCATGGCCAAATTAAAGGTGTGCAAAAAGTAAAGAGCTTTTCTGGCCCATGGCTTTACTACAGCTTTTTAATCTAATTTACCCCTAAACCTTCTTTCCACTCTGAGCTAGATGGACGCTCCTATATGGACCCAATTCCTATCATGGCCCATCTGTACTTGGAGGCCGTGTCCTGTGTCCGGGCGGGCGGGAGCTCGCTCACCAGGTTGGTGAAGTAGTAGCCGTCCTCGCCGGTCATGAGTCGGCTGGGGTTGCAGAAGCGGGTGATGTACTGGATGTTGGACTGCAGGCGGGGCGGGTTGGCCTTCAGCACGATGTAGATGAGGGTGGGCAGGAAGTCGTCCGCAGAGGCGGGCTCGCTCTTGGTGATCTTGATGGCGTTGAAGATGTGCTTGCTGCAGCGCGTGATGCAAGCCAGCTTGTCCCTGGGCACGCGCTTGGAGTCCATCTCGATAACATCTGCAGGGGTAGAGTTAGACAGGCCCGTCTCAATCTATGACCTCTGAACGGCCTGCGACTGACAACAAGTACGGTATGTTTCCAAACAACAAAACCTCATCTTGCTTTTGATCATCTCAACTTTTTCTTCAAACAATTTTCTGGCAATGTACCATATTATACCAGGATCCCAGATGTACATATCCAAAGAAAAACGGGTTCACTAGTAAAGATGTGCAATGAGAGCTGGACTTGGGGTTGCCCATCCCTAACCTGTTATGGGCCATTTTAGCACATGTTATTTTCACACAAGCACTCACTTGCCAGTCTCACAATCACCAAGCTCACATTAACTTGTTTCTTCAATGCTCTGTGCATTAGTGTCACAGTACACCAATACCACTGAAACGCAATATCATGCTAACATCACTACCCTATGCCTGTTTACACAGCAGTAAATCTCACATTAATCCACTCACCACTTTCCACCTCTCAGTCACCCTTGGGCACAACCACACCAGAAAGAAGACCTGCTGCCTTCTGACTGACCACCAGGGAGAGCACTCCGCACAACCATCATGGTCTGCGAGTCAAAGTCCCTTTCCATCAGAACCCCTCTGAGATCCGGACACTGTGGACTACACTGTCCTCTCCATCTGCTGGTCTTTCTTTCACAAATGCATCTTGCACACACTGACAACATCTCTGATGCCTGCCGCTCCAGCGATCACAAACACAGGCACCCATCGTCCGACAGGCGGCTTCCTGCAGGACCAGGACAGACCCCTTCCAGCACAACACTCTGCTTCCAGAGAGGGATTGTGCTGCTTCTCAAGACCGTTTGAATAGGACACTGCACAGCTGAAGCTCATCACGACACCAACTCCCTGCAGCTGCTCCTTTCCAGACAAACAGCAGGTAAACAGCCTGTGACGGACAGACAGGACTCTCACCAGCTGTTTTGCAGCTGCATTCAAAGGATCAGAGAGAAACACTTGGCCGTCACATAAGCGGAGATGTAAACAGATACAAGAGGAAGGGAGCAATGCGCATTGAGCTTCCAACGGCAAGAAAACTGAATTCCCAATGAGCACCTGTGATGGCTTTCACCACATTGTCCGAGACCTCAGGGATGTCTTCATTCACCGGGACACACAACATCTGAATGGTAACCCAGTGGAGGGCCCTGTTAGGAGACACACACAGGCAGCAGGCCGTCAGACAGTGCAGGAGAAAGTGATCTCCCTCCAATCTAGCACTTAGAGAAAAGGAGGGAACAACATTGCCACTTCCCAGAGGTCCTTAGCAACAACGCAGCCATATTGTGGAAGCTGATATGTTCTCTTTGAAGAAATGGGCTGATGAGGTCCTTGGATCAATTTTCTACTAGCAACCAAATGAGCAGGACGAACCTAACGGACTCCCTTTGCTGGCGATACTTCTGCTATTCTTTTTCAAAAGTGTGCAATGGGGACGAGACAAACTCACAATTCCTGTGAAGAAGGGTCAGAGGACAGGCCTCACCTGATGCGCTTCTGCACAGCCAGATCCTTCTTCTCGTCATCAGTGGTTTCTGGACAGAAGACGTTCTTATAGAGCCGAGTCATGAGGTACTTCTCCACCTGGTCCATAACACGCTCCACGCGTTCTGTGGACCCTGCACACACAGACACAGCAGGTTACTTATGGACCCTCCGTTTTCACCGGGGTGACCTACAGTGGTCTTCGCCCTCGACAGACCCAGACCTGGATCACAGTTCAGCCCGTGCTCAGCTGAGCTGCCCTACAGGTCGAGTCATTAATGAGCAGTAGCCAACCTTTAATGTTTTGTTTTTTCACCCCCAACAACACAGAAGAAGAAACATTTCTTAAACGGTCCTCATTCTGTAGAGATTATCAAGAGCCAAGGCTACAGAATACAGTGTTTCTGTAGGAAGGAAAGAGCAAGAGACAAGGCTTAGGGCTGGGTCTTCCCTTTATCCTCACTGGGCACTGGTTACAAAGAAAGAATTTGAACGGAAAAACTAAAACTCACCTCAGCCTACTGCAGAGGGTGCCCGTAAATACAAGAATGGGAATAATAAAATTTACAACTAATTCACCCTGAGATCTGCTTTAGATGGGAAACCGTACAGCCAAGACGTCCCTGTGGAGAAACTGCCCTGGTAATTTACTGACGCAGACACATTCACAGTGGCCTTTTATTAGGTCCCTCTTTAGAAGCAGAACTTTTTCTGATGTGCTGTGAAAAGGCTTCGAGCTCAGGCAGTTGACCCACCTTTGAAGTGGGACAGCAGGCGGTCGGCCATGTTCTGGTAGAAGTCCTGGACGCACTCTGACAGTTCTTCTGCGCTGAGGTCCTGGCAGGGGAGGGGACAGACTGAGTTGTCCAAGTGACACACAGCAACACTTTATCTACATCTCTTTCATCCCTAAAACACACAGTGATATTATTGCAACACATATCACACAGTGGGTTAAAGATGCACATCACTGTTACCGTCTGACCAAATCCATTGCTCAATGCACATCTGATGGCTGGACTTAAATACACAGTCATGCAGCTCCTGGAGAATGGCAACTAAGCGAACAACAATGGACAACGATGCAGATATAACTGTTTCAGGATGACACGGGAGGAGGAACATGGTCTTCTCTCTGCAGCGTTTTCAGCTTGCTTTGGGGATTGAATGCACCCAGACGGGATGAGTACACTGCTGTGCCTGGGCTTTCTTTGAGTGTACGGCACTGGAGCAAAACCAAAACACGTCTCGGAGGAAAATAAAAAGTCAACCTTATCGGGATTTTCAGTAAGTCAGTAACATTGGAATCTCTGCCTTTTTAATTTAAAGACTGAAGATGATATACAGCATTTAAGACCAGATTGTTTCAGCTCAGGCACCTCAGGCAGCGTACCTGTGAAACCCGTGCAGTTCCTGCCTGTGACGCAGTATTACAGAACACCAGTCAAGGGATGGGGGTTAAAGTGTGAAATTCGCTGCCTGGTCCACTACACCATCTCGCTGCTGCCGCAGACACCTGCCCCTCGTACTGGAGCATCTTTCCACCCGTCATGGTTCCAGCTGCTGCACCTGCCACCCCAGACCACACTCTCCACTTCCTGCGGCGACGGCAGGCAGCTCCCCTCTGCGTGACAGATCAGCGCACTAGCAACCCCCCGCTGCACTGCTCGCACGGTTTCCTGTTCAAGCGCTGTTTAGATTTAAAATCAGATGCTTCGGGGACAGCACTGCTTTCTCGTTTCCTAACGCTCACCCAGATTGGCTCAAGTTCCCCGATCAATCACCTACTAGTGGCCAAATCGAGTCAGATGGGCTGATTGGCTGCCTTTTACTTTTTGTTAACTCTTCTAATGTTCTGCAAGATAAAACTGAACCAAAGGCATTTTCTTCAGCTCCATTTCTAACAGCCCACGCTGTTCTCTTTGTTTTCACTTACTCTCTGCCTGAAGGTGAGGAAGTACGATTGTCCTCCTCTACCACTGAGCACACGGAGATCAGGTTCCTCCTCAAGAGGAGGGGCAGTCCTGATATAACGTGCTGCTGTGCTCTTGCGTGGCCCGTGGCCGGGCGGGTGACCCGGGTCCATGCCCCGCCAGTGCTCACCTTCTTGTTGCCCATGCTCTCGACGAAGGCCCGGCACTGCTTGTGGATCTCGCGGCCCGGCTTCTGCAGGCCCTTCAGGAAGTCGATGAAGTCCCGGGACACCCGGTCCGTCTCCATGCTGGCCTGCCGGCTGATGGACGGGCTGGGCGTCTTGGTCTCCTGGCTCTCTGTAAAGACAGGCAGCGGGCAGAGAGTCAGCTCATCCAGCTCCAGGTACACGAGCAGATGCACGATCCTGCCTCAGACCACAGCCAGCCACCAGCTAACAAGCTCTACAAAGAAGGCATGCTAGAACCTGTATGTTAAAAGGTCCAAAGACCTCTTTACTTGTACTTTATTTTTAGTCAATGAAATCAATGTGTGTTTTTTTCCCCTTACAGGAAATAAACAAATTAATGCGAACCGAGCCTTGCTCATTGACTGTTTTGGATCATTAAAGTACAGCTCTAGACAAAAACAAAACACTAAACATAGCCCCCTAATTTTAGTCTGCTGTAATTTCCCCTTTTATCTGTTACTCGCAGTGATAAACAGGAAGGGTGTTAAAAGAAAAAAGGGTCAGCACACATTTTACATTCTACTTTCACCTAGATCATGTTCAAGGTTAAGTATGTTTCAAAGAACCGGCATTTCAATGAAGCAGTTACACTTTCACTGTTCTCCAGAACAACTTAAGTGCCCAGGCCCATTCCAGTAGAAAAGGTGCTAGAAAGGATTTTTAAGATTTAAGATTTAAGATTTTTAAGAATAAATAAAATTCCACGATTCTTAAAATTCCAATGCTATATGTTTAAAAAACAGTTCCGGAGGAAGGAGTTTTGCACCTTCCCAGAGTACAGATGGATATTTATAATGACATTTCCATGAAGAGTGGAGAACTTCCACATTCATAAAGCAGCAGGATCCAGGAGAATGAATTCTATACCAGCTTGCTCCAGAACACAGGCTGGGCTCTGCAGCCGCAGGTTCGAGCCTGGGTCATGTGACTAGCCCACTATGACCAATACACTCCAAGCGGGAAAGCACAATTGGCTGAGCGTCACCAAGAGAAGCGAGGGGGGGGGGCTCTCTCGGCTCTCAGGGACGACGCCCCCTGTGGCCTCCAGGACACATACAGGTAGGTGGCGCTGTTGGGCACAGACAAGGCCCTCCTGCAGTCCAGTTGAGGTGCCCGTGAGGTTCTGAAAAATGGGCCGGCTGGAAGCATCTGCCAGCCTCATTCTCTCCCTTGTGCAGTTGCAGAGTTTGTAGCCATGAGCGCAGAAGTCTATAAATATACTCTTATATACAGGTGGAATATATAAATAAATGGAGATTTTAATTCTTAAAAAAACTACAGCTCAACGTCAAACAGGTAAGGAGGAGAAAACAAAGCAACACTCACCCAGAAGATAAAACCATGTAATTTTATCATCTAAAATAGAGTAAAAGACCCGACTTTCTTGTCAGTAACCTGGCTTACATCTCCAATGACTCCACAGGTCCATGCAATACCAGTGAAAAACAGTCGCACTCTCTTTGGCCTTCTGAGTGTTGCACCACTTTCTTCATTCTAAACTCTGTTACGTCTGCACCTCCGCTCAAGAGATGCTGATCTGAGCTGTTTTTAAAAACTAAAGTGCAAACAGAGCGCAGATCTTCACAACAGACAGAGTAAATTCTAATCCTGCTGGCGGGAAGCACATCTCTGTAGATGTCCAGGCCTTGCGACATGGCTGAAGTACAGGGCAGTGCAACTGTCTGCTGACTCTGTGGAAATACTTACTCTCGGCAATCAGTTTCTTCCATCTCCACCACTTCCAAGGTTTGCACAACTTTTACTGGAATATATGAAGAAATGTGCGGAACCAGCCTTTCAAGCAGCCAGACAAGATTAACAGCCTGACTTACAGTAACCAGCCAGAGAGCAATATCCTTAGGAGAACTGGATGAAACCTTCCTTCCATCCAGGCAGAAAAGCTGATGTTATCATGAACCTGGAACAGATTAGGCGGATTCTTCACCAGCACTTGGCATCCGCTGATATGACAGTTTCCTGCCATATCAGGACGAGCTTTGAAATACAGCTGCAATGACCACCAAGAACACCAAGCATAAAATGGAGCAGACACAAGCACTAAAGTTCTGTAGGAGAACCTGATGGGAGATAGTTATGCAAATGGTATTTTAAAACAGGCAAAGACAACCTGCATGAAAAAACAACAATATTCTATCATTTTTTAGTTGCACTCATGTTGCAGCACAAATCAGTAGTTTAAATTGATGCATGTTAAGTACAGGCACTACAGTATAACCACCTCTGATCACTGTTTTCCTTAAGTTTTCAGTTGATAGAGTATGCAACAGGTATGCATATACTGTACACTGCATGGCTACACAGGTGCAACACTGTAGAAATGGTTGACTTATATGCTTCTACGAGGGCACAGGAAGTCTGCTGGGAAAAGCTACAGTAGCAGAGGACAGAGGGACGGACAGCACCCACCTCTCAGTCTGGCCACCAGCGCTGTGCCCGCAGTGAAGATAGGGGGTGAAAGCAGACAGTGTGACAGTGAGCAGGGCTGAACACACAACGGCAAATGGCATGAACCATGCAGACACACAGAACACCAGAGCACTCACCTCCCACCTCAAAACCACAGTAGCAACCATAGTTTTTCAAAGCCCGAGCAGTGCAAGGTCCCATAAGTATGAGACAACTTGCACTCAAAAGCTCAACAGTCCAGATCCATGCAGTGGAACACAGCTGTCAGCAGGTTAGGCCTTTCGCTGACGCTACATTAGCACACACTCTGCAAACAAGGCATTCCTGTCCGGTCTCAGCTGACGGCCCGAGGCCTCCCAGAAGCAGCGTGAAGATCACTCAGGGAGGAAGTCCCACACAAATCTCCTGCCTAACTGGCAGTACACTCTGGGATTTTCCCAAATTCTGCCTCTCCCCGTCGTGCCCCGCCATGCGGAGAGGCCCAGACACAGAGACCTGACTCTCTAACAGGGACTGGGGCACTTTAAGCCTCTCGTGGGGTGTAAGTGGCCTGACTTCAGCCCGGGGTAAGGAACCGTCTGGCTTTCTGGGCCGAGCTGCAGGACAGGAGGACTGGGAGGTCGGCCCCAGACCCGCTGCCTGCACCCGCGCTGCACCGTTTACCTTCAGTAGGGGACGCCAGCTCCCAGGGAGGGGTAAAAATGTCCCTCAGGTCCCTGAGAAGAGTCTCAGCATGGCGCTCCCTCCCACTCGGGGCTTTCTCGGGGGGTGCTGGAAGAAACCCATTGGGGGGGCAGGAGAAAAGTGGAGGGGGAGAGGAAGGGAGGCAGATTCACCACCCAGGGGCAGGGGGGGCAACGTGAGGATGAGCAGGATGGACAGATTGAATGAAAACGGACACAAAAAAAAAAGACAGCAGAAATGAAATTTTTGACAACCAAACAGTACAGATTGATGGGAGGGGATGAAGAGAAAAGGGAAGTGAGCAAGAGGAATGACAAAAAGAGAACTGATTGAATCCTCGTTACCCTGACTGAAAAGGAAAGGAGTGCGTGGAGGGATGACCAGAGCCAGTCTGAGAGCCGGAGAGGGCGACAGCTCAGGGCCCAGCGCCAGCCCCTACTAGGACAGAAAACTCACAATGTCGCTTTGGCTGCGAAGGGGAGATCACGGGATCCACACAGACAGAGAAACATCGGGAACAGAGTCCCAGATCCACAGCGGGGCTGCTCCGTACAGAAGTTGTGCGCTTGGGAAGGGCTGAGGGGAGGTGTGGGTCAGGGGGCTCGAGAGTGAGAGAGCGAACGAGCTGGGGGCCGCACTCCGGGGCATACGCCAGACCATCACCGAAATCTTCTACCAAGAAAATCCATCAATAAACATTTTCAGGGTATGGCTTTTGAAGATGCAGGTGAAAGCATCGACTATTCTAGGTCAATGATTAGTCTTTTTTTTTATTCTTAAGACCGGGGGAATCTGTGCTGAACACAGGAAATTCATCTCCGCAGCAAGCGACCCCAGCTCACCACGCCGGGTAAGTTACTGCACTGCGATCACCGTCAGCAGAAGGGGCTTACCACAACCCGCCTGGCCAACACTGCCTGCAGGCACTTCTCCACTTCGGGCAAAGGCTTATAAGCCTGTTCGCAAAACCAGCCAATATCTAGATTTATTCGTGAACAATCTCTCAAGTAGCTGCAACACAAAGAAACCTGATCTGGTCACTTCTCTGCTCCTCCCGGCTCATCAAGACTTGTATGAGAGTTTGAAGAAAATCAGGCTGATTTTTCTGTATGGGGCAGAACCCCCAAAGACCTGTCCCAGTACGATAACACGAGCACCATGTGGTTACAGGAGCTGTCTCTTACATGAAACCTTGAGCTAAAGTTCCTGTGCCCTCAGGAGACATTAAAGATCCCAAGGCGCTCCTCACAAGAGCGGAGCTCCTAACTTCAGGGCCAGGGCCCCAGCACAAAAACAAGCGAAAAAATCGGATCTGGCAAATATCACCCGTATTACCAAATATCTCTGCTGAGGCTTACTTCCTGTCCTCTTCTCACCCTACAGGTTGCTGATGCAGGCATAACCTTCTTTTCTACTGGCACTTCCTTCACATGTTGCACATGTGAAATAAAAAAACAACTCAAATGACTCCCCATGGCAGGGTAACATCAGCTTGTGAAACAATACTGGCTGTTGTTTTGGGCAAATCACCCCCAATGATCACCAAAGCACGTATGATCCACAAGGCTTGAGTATTACAAGTTATGAAAGCTGGACCTTTGGAGTTAGATTACACAGTTTGTAAAGAAGATGGGGCTGCAAGTCAAACAGAGTTAAGATAAGAGTCCTCACATCCTCCCCTCCCGGTTCTCATCCATACCTTTCTTGCTAGCAGTGCGCGATGAAGGGCTGAAGAATTTCTTCACCGTTGTGACCTTGCGCGTCTTCTCATTTGACTTCTTCTCTTCAAATTTGGAGAAGGGTGCTAGAGAGGGCTGGGACTGCGCCCCCTGGCTGCTGGCATAGGCTGCCTCCTCCTCTCTCTGCAGCCTGACCCGAGAGACAGACACAGAACAGGATGAGTTACAATGAAACAACTTATTTTCAAATTAGCCACAGAACACTATCCATCATCCCCCTTCAGGCCGTAGTGCAGACGGGGTTACCTCTCAGCCAGAGCCCAGTCCTCCTGGATCTGTTTCTGCCTGGCCCGCTGGTATTCCTCTCGCCAGCACTTTGAACAGAAGCCTTGCCAGGCAGGGTTGCCATAGTAACCGCATCCTTTCTTACACAGCAACTCTGACTGGTCCACATGGATCCCTCGGCGTTCAGACTTCTGGCTCATCTTTCTGTTGGGGGAATGCTAGCATATAAAGTCCCGCCATCACTAAATTTAACTTAATCATTTTCATAGGCAGAGATATTACAAAAATCTGCTAGCAGTCTTTTTCAGTTTTCAGAAATTACATCTACTGAGCAAAGGACTGTCGCAGTTCATATTTGTAAGCCAAACTATGTTCATCTGGAATCTAAAATATAATTATTTTATAAAAGCAGGAATAATACAAGAACCAAAACCTTAAGAGAAGTCATACCGATGTACCAATTCTTTGCACAGTGTGCTCTTACTATGAAGTTTATTTATAGGATCTGAAACTTACACTACACTTTTGTGCAAAACTAAAAAAAAATGTTAAAGGCATATAAAACAGTTGATTCTGTTGCTTCTCCATCATATCCATGAGAAAAATCCAAACAGTTTTACAGTTTCCCACATGGTTATCAAACAAAGACACTGTTTTGTTAAATGCCACACCCTGCTCAGAGTGCCAGGCAGGGAGGCAGTAAACAGGAGCTACTTGCGCTGTGCTGGTAAAAATGTACTGCACTTCAGACAAGATGGAGCTAGTCTTTTGTGAACAAAGACAAAAGCACTGATTTACAGATCCGGAGTTTCATTTTCACTTAAAATCCAGCACAGAAAAAGAACTTGAATGTTTCCTCAACACTGTTACTGACATACGTAGGAGGAAAATTAGTGACTATTAACATCATGACTGTCAAACCACAAAAGACAATCTGGCATAAACAACACAATTTTAGCTCTTTAGAATTACTTTCTCTTTCCTTTTTCCATTCACAGCATACAAGCCCAATAATAACACCACAGCATGTAACTCTAGATATCTGGACCTTGTGTTACCTCACCCTTACATTGACGTATGCATAAACCACAGTGGAACATGTAGGAGAAAACTACTTCAAGGAAGCAACTGTAAAGTACACTGCAGAACAGAGCTCTAAATCAGGCTCCTTGCTACACAAACAGGACTCCAGGGATCTGTGGAAAGATCTCATAATAGGTGTGACCGGGAACTCTGCAAGCCAGTTTCTCAATGAGTCACTCCAGGCCCGGCAGCAACTGTGAGGCCCTGCGGTGCCTCTGCTGACGAGCACGAAACTGAACTCTGTCCCATTAGCAACCCTACTCCAGGAAGGAAGCCTTCACCTCCAGCATTAATATTTCAGCAGGCTGACTTAGTCGTGCCCTCAGCAGAGCCCTGGACGAGACGCGCTGACCCTGAGCAGCAGTGCAGTGGCACACAAGGGCACAACAGTTAGTTCACAAGTGAAACCAGGAGACATTGCTTCACCCAAGAGCTTGAGGGTTTTCGACCGCAAGATTCCCAGCCATGTTGTTGAAGCTGATAACGTGGGATCCTCCTATAAACGAAAAGCCCACCCCATCATTGTAATCTTTATGTGCTTACTGTACGTTCTTAAATGCATAGAGGAGAAACTAACACACGCAATTAACGACGGTAGTGTCACACTTCCACAGCTTGAGGAAAGCTTAACTGCTCTAACCACTGCACCATAAAACGTCAACATCTCTGTTCACGCCTAAAATGTGATATAGTGTGGCCAGTCAGGGAAGGGTGAGAGAAGAGCATCACACTGAGAATGCAGGGAGAGGTAGGGAAAATGTGCGAGAGGAAGAAACGGATGCATTCTCACAAGTGAGCTAAACCACGAGCTTCGCACATGTGAAACGGCATGATCGAGACCGAGATCGAGAAAATGAGCGTGCAAGAAACGTACAAACACGCATTTTTCGCATGAGAGCCATGCAACACACTTTACAAATACGAGATAATATTTGGGGAGTTAGGGAAGCGTGTGTGAGCAGCTACAGAAAACACCTTCTCACGGGAAAGCGGATTAAGGTCAGCTCATTACCTAATGGGGATATAAGAAGGGCATGTAAACAGCGAGAGGAGAACATTAAGGACCTGGGGGAGAGAACACCTGACTATACCATGTCTCGGGCAATGAGAACAGCACTGTTTAAAAACAGGCCGGATTCACAGAGCTGGGAGGGTCTCAGTGCAGGAAGTTAGACAAGGGAGGAGCAAAAGTTAGCTCTCTTCTCACAGAGCATCGGTAGGAGCTCCTGTCATTGCTTGACTTTAAGGGAACCGAAGCTTCCAGAGGAAAGCTGTCCTAGCTCTGGTGGGCTAGGAGCTGGAATTCTGTTAAGACCAAGACACAGGAAAAACGAAGTGAGCAGCAGACTCGGTAGCTGCCATGTCAGGCCCACCTGTAAGATAAGACCTATGGCAGAGTGGACCTGGGGAAATAGGATCAAGCGGGAGAGCGTTTACAACTGCTACTAAGGGAGCCACTAGGGGTTAGGATTCTCTATACCCCCAAAAAGGCAGTCGTTTAAGATTAGCTGGCTAAATCCCAGAGGATATTTAAAGGTTTCCTGATAGAGGAAAGCAGATCAAGCAGTTGGGTTGCTCTGGAAAGCCCAACCAGGACCGGCAGGGGGAGAAGGGAAAGGTAGCTGTCCCCAGGGGTTGGACCCGGAGCTTAGGAGCCCCTGTCAGCCTCACGGGACTGGATCTAAGGTAGGCTGAGGAAGGGAGCAGGACCCCCCCGGTTGTAATTCCGCTGTTCTCCAGATTCGGGCTGCTGCAGTGTGCAAGTCCTTCTGTAGAGTGAGGCGGTTGCTAGGGAACTCACCCATAATCGGGTACCGCCGATACTGGTTAACATTTCCCTGGTTGACCATGCGGCTACTTGGACTCCTGTCCCGAGCAGATATCCGAGAGGTCTCCGCGGAGTGGAAATGTAAACACCTAACAATCCCGGAGGAGATTAGGTTCTGGAACACAGGGTTCAGGTTTTCACTCAAGCTGGGTCTCTGGTCCTGGACCACACAGGCTTTGGGAAAGGGTTAGTGACTTAGACTGAGATGCATCTGAGATGCATCAGCACAGCCAAATAGAAAACAAAACCCAACTACAGGCCACAGAGAAGTCACGTGCCTCACAATTTGCATCAGAGGGTGGCAAACCGTTCCAGTCGAAAAGCAGTGCTGGATTGGAGCTGCTCTGTTAGAATTGTCACAAAAAATAAGGAAGAGTATCTCTGAGTGTGGATTGCCCATTTATGAAATCAGAACGCACACCTTTCGAACAAAGAGAAACATTATTCTCTTCTACCAGGAAGGACGATCTGGAACAATGAGCTTAGAGTCATGTCACTTGACACTCGGTACAAACCTTAAAGACCTCAGCCTCAAAACTGCTTTTTGGCACAAGTCATACTTACAATCTTAGATACCAGGTGAATACCTGGACTGCATAACAGCCCGCTGAAAAAAAAGGCTAACCTATAACCTTGAATCAAGATATGCTTCACTGACTCTGAAAGCAAACAGTGCACTGTTAATAGAAGCTTGTGTTTTCTTCTTGCAGACTACAACAGAAAATCCTGGCATTAAAGTTCACACACAACAGAAATGAACAAAGGAGCTCTAACTGAACCTGGAAAGGTGAGGGTACTAGTTATTCAAGGGTTAGAAAGCTGGTACTCTGACGAAAATGAACAAGGTCACCTTTGTGCTGAAGGAAGAAAAAACTCAAAGCCAGTGGTCACCATTGAGCACACCCTGAAACGGGCAATACAAAAAGAGGTGTGGTCTAGACACACAAAAACACAGGGCTTACCAATTCAGACCTCACAACCCGACTTCCCCTTAGTCCAAGCTGACTACTGACGAAGCATACTGCCTGCTCCTGTCGCAACTACATCACATCACTTTCAAGAGCCACGAACCCAAGTCAAGATCACCGTAGCCCAGAGCCTATGCTGGGGAGCACTGGGTTCAAGGCAGGACACACCAGTCCATCGCAGGAAACACACAGACACTCACATTAGGGCTGATTTTACTGGAAGTCAATCAACATACTAGTATTAGTTCAGGTGGGTAGCTGCATCAGCATGCAGGCTCCACGGCCAAAACGTTGTGTTTTCTTTCGTCTCTTATCAGAATGGAATAAACATATTCCCTGTTCCTTTGCAACATACTAGTACGTCAATGGACTGTGGTAGGAAAATGGCGCACCTAGAAAACCAAGTGAACACAAGGAGAACATACAAACTCCACACAGACAAGACCCCAGGAACTGAAGCCAAGGTGTCACTGCTACGAGACAGCAATGCTAACCACTGCCAATATAACAGCATGGCACATGTCTTAGGAAAACAAACCCTACACACTGTAACAAGCATGAGAAATTCAGGATATGCGTTTGTGTCTGACCTTAGACACTGCAGCTTTTATAACCAGACATGGAGCAAAAAGCTACGCAATGGTAAACTAACCTCTCTTCCTACACTACAGCCAACAGTTTTGCAAAGGCTCGGGGTTTATTGAGAGTGGGAAAATGTTTTTTTACAAAGGCAGCAGACTCTGACTTCTTTCTGATCACTCCGCAGCTGCTGTCCTCCCCACACAAGGCACACATGAGCACTGTATACATCTGTACACTTTAGATATTAAGTAGATCTTACCTTACTGTTTGCTAAAACAAAAGTACTTTACTTTGATCTTTGGCTTATTCTCTGCGTTCATTTTACATGTGGGATTATTGAGCAAGATCCATTTTGTGGTCATTAAGTGTACATTTAATTATGGCACACTGTTGACACGACAGTCCTGTGACTGCACAGGAGTGTGGGGAGAGTGGGAGAGGGCGGCACAACCTTCAGGGCTCTGTAAACATGTACCTGAACAGTGTGTCGTTCTGGACCAGCGAGAGGTAAGAATCCCTCAGTCCCACAGATACAGCACACCTTACAGTCTCATGACTTACACTCTCGGCTTGCTTCATAGTGTCAAGAAACAATCAATTTCCATATCAATTAAATAAATCAAACAGCAAACTAAATTCCTTGCAGTTGGTGGTTTCTGAACCTTGAACCACTGCTCCAACACGGCCTCAATACAGACAGAGCGGCTCGTCGGAGACAGACCGACCACTTCAAACAGAGATATCAAGCTGCGTTGATAATACACAAGCAGCAGAACAGTGTGAGAAAGGACCTATTTTTCAACAAAGAGGTAAGTTGTTATGGAAATATATTAAGCGACAACTGAGTTAAATTGAGTCAAAGTCCAGACATATTTCAAGTTTTAATACCTGCTTTACTAAATCTACTAAGTAGCTACTTGGGCACTATGTTTTTTTCTTTACTTATAGCACCACAAAGCTAAACAATTGCGATGCAAAGACTCTATATATAAACACTGTTACCCTGTTGCCGATTAGGACACAGAGGCTGAGGATCAATCTAAGTGCAACAGTGCTAACAGAGCATTTAACAGACTTCTTACAGTGACACTGTTCCCAGTGGGTTCACAGACGTGGCCATCCACAGACTGAAAGCTGGGATCTGACTGCAGGTGCTGCTGTATGTTGTTTTATAGATCACATTTGTTCCACCAGCCTAGAGAAAACCCAGCTCTCTCACATGCAATGTTAATGATTGGGATTGAACAGCAGGAGTACAAAACAAAGTCCACCTTCAGGCTTTGGTATCTTACCCACTTAAAGCCAGAAAACAGAATATAATCAGAAAGTGGATGGAGAGAAAGCTTTCTGTTTGGTCATCGTCATGTAACCCTGCTCTTTCCCACAGCTGATGCCAGCAAAAGCTTAAATATAGCAGCTCTGTGTAACCGATAAGCTTTACTGTATAATCTTGGACGCGCCCGACGTCACCACCTTCTCTTCCCAACCTTGAGGCTCATCCCCAGATTAACAGTGTCCTGGAGCTAGTTCCTTCCTCTGCCAGGTCGGTGGCACCCCTCACTGAATCAGGGGCTTGCCCAACTATAGAAAACCACCTGCTGCTTTTCAGGCTGTCAAGGAACAGGTAAGCGTTCCCTGGACGTACCTTGAAAGGCAAAGAAAAGACATTTTTACGCTGTGGCACCTTGTTCAGGTGACCTCTTTGATACATGAAGAAAGCTCCACTGCCAAAGTGTTCCATTCCACTTCCTGACCTTTCAGCTTGGAATGAACCTTTACCTGTTCCTCTGCAGCTGGGACACGCTGATGCATCTCCCTGCTCGCACGTCTGCAAGCTATCTGTGGCTTACCATTTTTTCCCATCAGCATGAGAATAATACAATTTGAAGAATGCAGGCTAACAAGCAGGCTTTCTTTAGCACAAGAGACTGCGATGACTCAAAATAACGTTTCCTCCTTCAAGTTCGACACCCAATATTGACTGAATTGACTGGAACCAGGGCCAGATCTCCACCTGCATGTACACTGAGCTCTGCTCCTCTGTTGAATGGGGAGGAAAGAAAAAGGAACAGAACACCTCCAAAGAAGGATTCCTCCCAATAAAGATGTTTTGGTTTAAGGAGGAGGGTGACACCTCCAGCTATACAGATAGCGTATCTGTCTCTTTTTGGAGTGTCCCAGAGGGGACCCCAATTGGTGTCACCCCTCCCTGCACAGGAAGCGTTAGGATCTGGTTTACGTGCATCACTGAAATACGTCCTCCTTACCTTTTACAATCCACCAGTCAAGTGTACTGTTCTCTACTTCTCATCGGGAGACTACAGCACAGTCTACCTCGAAACCCCCGGCCCGTTCTCACTGCAGAAGGGCCGCCGTCCCAGCGAAACAATTCCCTTCCTTCAGCAAGATCTGAAAACTTGCAACATGACTAAACTGAGTATTTAGCGAGCCGTGCCATCCGAGAGGGGGGGGCGCAGGGAGAGGATGAGCCCCCGGTCAGGTCCCGCCACCCGCAGCCTGGACCCCATCAGCTCGCTTGTGTAAGAACAGCACCGAGAGCCCCTCCTGCTTCACACGGGTTACACGCGGAATTCAGGGGATGCCCTGCACTTGTGAGAGCAAACGCCGCTGTGAAAGAGAACTTTTCTAAATGGCGACGTCAGCAACCGGTCCTTATTTGCCCAGGGACTGCCTGCCACCAGCTCACCCGGGGGCACCTGTGCGCTTTCCCGGGCCCTCTTCTCGTCCCGACGCTGCGCCCGATGTGACTAGAGAGCACAATGGTTACAAAGTGCAGCCAGGACCGCAGCAGAAACGGCGCGCCTGGGGTACGAGTACACCCCGTAACTGGCCACCGCGGGCAAGCACTAGCGCCGAACTCCCCGGCGAGAAAGGACACACCCCGGAGCACACAGCCAGACACCGGTGCTCCCGGAGCCGAGGGCGAACAGCGGAGAAGACGGCGTCCCGGCTGGACAAGGACGTGCTGTCCAAACCCGGGTCTGTCTCCCGGCTCCCCCGGGCGGCTGCCTCGCCCCAGCCCGCCTCGCCCCCCTGTCCAGCCGCCCTCCCGCCTGCCCTCGGCCCGTCTCCGCCCGGAGTGCTCACCCGGTCGGTGTCGGTGGGTAGGGAGGCTCCCGGTCCCCAGCTCGTCGCCTGTCCGCCGTTACTCCTGCTGCATTGACAGCGCAGCCGACACTGTTTACCGACCCGCCCCCGCTGCTCTGCGCGCCGACGTCACCGCGCCGCCGTGCCGTGCGTACGTGCGTACCGCCCCCACCCGTATGCGCCGTAAGAAAGGCGACACCGTTTATTAGAAAATCTACGACATTTTTAGTGATTCGTTAATTTATTTCCTTATTCAACCCACAATACCAGGAGCTGTTCAACATAACCAACTTAAACGTGGAAGTGCATTTAAAACCGGGATTGTGGGAGTAGGAAACAAGCTCCCTACGTATTCTTGGTCTCTTTCATTTAGGCTGCATGTCAAATTCAGTCACAGTTAAAAGTACAAAAACAAAGATCGCAATGACCCCATAGATAAATATCAAAACAACCCCTTAGCTTCCATTGTTCTAGATTTTATCGTTGATTTTGCTCAATTCAATGTTTATTCAATTCAACATTTCTTGTTTCACTGTTAATCCGTTTTGAAGGCCGGCAGCGGGAATGTGGTGTTCTCACGCAAATTCGTAAGCTCTCCCCCGAGCTGTTGTGCCCCCATGAGGTCTCTAGCGTTGCCACTATACAGGTGCGCGTATGTTAGGTGCTGGCGGTAAGAGCAGCCGAGCCCCGGCAGCCGCGTGCGCCTCCGCGTGGCGCGGGCATGTTCGTGTCATCGGGCACCACGTGTGCAGTGCTGGCCCGCCGGTGCTTACACAATAGGCCTAAATCCCAGAAAACGCAAGAACGGAGCGCAGATCGTTCATTCTGAGGTCAAGCGCAAAGAGCTTTTATAAACGACTTGATACTTACATCTAATCTGACTACACCTTGCAAGGAAAAAAACCCTTCAAACTCCTCCACCCAGGAGGTTTTTACTGATCTTTTTAATCCGTGATGGAAGAGGGGAAGAGCTATCAACAAGCTCCAATTAAGCTGATAATTAGTTCAAATGGAGCATTAAGAGCTGAGCTGAGGAGAAAACCAGGAGCCCTGGAACTGGAGTTGGGCATCGCTGCTCTGAATAAGACGTTCAGCTCCGGTCCACAAGGGCTGCTGTCCACCAGGTCTCACAGGTCTCCTTCGATCTCCAGCTTCTGATGAACAAGGAAAGGCTTCAATGAGTCCAATGAGGTCATTAAGGGGTCAGGTCGAAACAAAACCAGAAACATTCTGACACTCCAGGACACTCCATCCAGGAGCTGTGCAGCTCGGATGGAAATGAGTTTTTAGAGGTTATTCATATTTGTGCACAACCACAAATGCTGGTTTAGGAAATTTGCAAATAAATATTTTTATTGGCTGCAAACTGACATATGGAGGCATGTAAGAGCTTGAGAAAGGTTAGGACCAGGAGGATCCCATGAGTAAACTTTGCACATTTCAAAATTTAGAGAGAGGCTGCAAATGAGAGGGGTCTCATAAGAACTACATGTACATACTATTCATGAACAGGATACAATCTAAGAAATAATAGGTTTTGTAGAAAATTATGCATCCCATCTCCATTCCATCCACTTTCTTTCCACATCTTACAATTCAGGGTCACAGGGGAGCTGGAGCCTATCCCAGCAAGCAATGGGCACAAGGCAGGTTACACCCTGGACAGGACACCTGTCCATCACAGGACACACACTCACACACCCAGGACAGGACAGCTGTCCAACACAGGACACACACAACCGTTTCCCCAGAAGCCAGTTAACCATCCAGCATGTCTTTGGAGTGTGGGAGGAAACCAGATCGCCCACAGGAACCCACACAAACCCAGGGAGAACATGCAAACTCCACACAGACAGTACCCCAGGTCCAGAATTGAACCCAGGGCCCCAGTGCTGATCACTGCACCACCCACATGGCATCTCCTCTTGGTGAAAGACAGTGCAGCGGTCTGAGCCCAGGACCAGGACCGGAGACCTGCTGGGCTGAACTGGGTTTTTCCTCTTCAGCTCTGCTCGGAAAACTAGAACCTTCACTGCAGGGTTGAGCTGTTTAAGCCCGAGATTCAGCAGGCACCAGGGGGTGTCCTCCCTGCAAGAGCTACTATTGACAACACCAGACTGCTTAAACCCAGCCTATTTCTTATATTTTTAATGAATTATTTTGAAATTTATATTTTATCCCACGTTTTCTTCCAAGTAAGGGGAGGAAATGACGTTTCCTAGTTTCCCAGTTTTCCCAGACTGTACTCTGACATGAGGGACATTACTGGGATCAGGATTCTGCTGCAGAAGCAGTTCAGCATTACTGAGGCTCCTAGGTCACATTCACTTCTATTGGTGCCTCCTATCTGGGGGCTCCTGTAGCTGCTTCTTATGAATGAAAGCACAATTTAAGCAGTAAATGGTTAAAACAGCAAGAGTGCAGTAGGTTCTGTTAGCCTAGTATTGCTTCGAGAGAAGGCTGCTGCCCACACACTTTACTCAGTTCTAAAATCTCTCATTTTATCCTCATCTCAGGAATCCCTTCTCTTTGTGTCCCTTGGTGTTTCTTATCCATTCCGAGTTCCATTCATTCTTATCTGTTTCGCCTTTATCCTTGCAGTGACTACAGACTTAAATAAACACTTACATTAAAAAGTCAATCAAATTACAACATAAACAACTAACAAAACCACCATTTGTATGACATGACAGAGTTCCCTCTCCTTACTCGCGGTCAGGATGGGATTTCGGATCAGATGTGTGAGATAATCACATGATCACAGTGAGCCTTAGAGGAAACACTGCCTCCTGCTGCTCAGGAGGTCTTCAACAACCAGAACCAAACTTCACATTGGCTCCTGACCACCCTCCCGGAGCAGCCGATTGGCTAGTTGCATATAAGTCGTTGGTTCTGATTGGTGGAGATGGATGGCAAGGGTATGCCAGGAGATCAGTTCTGTCCACTTTGCTTCTACAAACATCAACAAATAAAGGTCTGTGTAAAAAGCACAAGAGAACAACTTACCAAAAATATAACCTATGAGAACATTTGGATCAGTTGCCTTTTTGCATCCAGCTAATATAAGCACAACTCTTCACAGGTTAGCTTTACAGCTTTACAGAATGATGCTCTACTGATAGGAAAAAAGGAGAGAGGACCATGGCATTAAGGAAGGACAGTGCTGCAGGCTTCTGTTCTGCAATATCTAATACCTTTTTACAGTTTATGAGCTCAGGCCCGGGTGTCTTCACAAATGCTCATAATTCAAGAGAACAGAGCCAAAAAGCAATAAATAAATAAATAAGAATTTCTTAAAAGCTACAAGGTGTGGAGGCCGCACCCCCCCCAAACAGATAAATTACAGACAGAGAAATAGAAGACTCAGAGTTCTGTCTTAGCGCCGAGTCCCATTACACACTGCCTGACCGCTGCTGTGTCGTGTCCTTGGACGCCCTGTGGCTTCTGCAGATGAGTTCAGTCGCCTTGCAAAGCTTTAAACGTGCAGCACTTGGAGAGGTCAACCCTTCCCCAGCCAGCCTCTACAGATGGCACCGAGGCAGCAGGGCGCTGGCTGCAGTCACGCCTGCCCACCCACTGTCGGCCGGGAGCCGGGACTCGAGAGGCGGGCCGGCTTCACCACCAGGTGATCTTGAACTCGTAGATGGGCCTCTTGCAGTAGTAGTGGTTGATGAGGTGCTTGTCGCACACGCCGATGCACTGGTGCTCGGCCGTGATGCCGCGCTGCGCCAGGTCGCTCACGATGCAGTGCAGAAGGTCGTACACGTCGGCCACGGCCTCCCAGGGCCCGAAGGACACGTCCACCTCGCAGTGGTGCTCGAACAGCTTGGCCTCGCTCTCGCTCCGCTCGAAGCGCAGCGAGTTGAAGAGCGGCCGCTCGTAGGGCGTGACGGGCATCTCCTCCTTGTACACGCAGATCTTCAGCTTGGCGAAGCGCGCCTTCCGCTGCATGGCCCGCAGCTTGGCGATCTCCACGATGCGCTCCAGGTTCTCTGCCAAGGGGGGGATCACAGGAAGGGAAGACAGTCAATCCAGCTGAACTGGGAAACAGCACGTTCCTCACTAACAGCACCCTGGGAGAGGAGATGCTGTTGCCCCGAGAGCTGATCCCTGCCTGCCCTGGGTAATCTCGAACCCTTGATGGCCGAGTTCAGCCACCAGTGAGGGCTGTTTTTTCGGAGAGTCAGCTCTTTTGAGAACAACGCCAAGCGTGTTGCTGCCGAGAGGAGTCGTCAGACTCTTAGTCCATCACTCCCTGCACTGCCAGTGAGCAGCACCAGCGTACATCTGCCTCAGCCCTGAGGCAGCAGTGGTGTCTTCTGTGATTCTACTGTATCCTTTTATTGTTAATTAGCACTAATTCATGTAATTACACAAGAAGAGAGAGCAGACGTGGAATAGTGCGCAGCACATTTTTGTTGAGATGAAATGGGGAGATCTCAAACTCTGAAGTCACATAGTGCCTCTAAGAGAGACAATGCTGCGACTGAATAGTTCACCACAGCAGGGCTTGTATGTGGTTTTGTGTTCTGTTTTTTGGGATTGTGCCCTCGTCTTTACAGTTTCCAGCTCCGGGCCAGCGGGCCGGCGGCTCACCCTTGTAGTAGGGCAGCAGGTCGAGGAAGGCCTGCCGAACCGTCTCCCCGGTCAGGGGCTGGACCTGCTCCAGGCTCTCCAGCAAGGGCCCGATGGAGTAGTACTGTGCCTCTCTGTGCACAGACCTCACGCGGTCCCGCTGGGGCAGCTCTCCTGCCCGCAAGAAATTCAAGATATCGCTGAAAATCACAACACAGGTTTTCTCAATCAATCACTGGTATTGTTCTGCGCAATTGTCATGGGCTCTTGAACACAAAAAAAGGCAGAATCATTCTGTTCCTCCCCCCACCTCATCCAATCAGGCTCTAGGGCTCCTCTGCAGCCCTGTCCCGGTATGAAACAGGCGGAAGGCGGGGTACACCCTGGACAGGACACCAGTCCACCACAGCACAGACAGACACACAGTCACAGCAGGTACAATCTACCCACCAACCAATTAACCTACAAACGTATCCTTGGGCTGTGGGAGGAAACCAGAGCACCCAGAGGAAACCCAGGCGAACACAGAGAGAACATGCGAACTCCACACAGACAGCACCCAGATCAGGAACTGAACCCAGAGCCCCAGGACTGCAAGCCAGCAATGCTGACCACTACTTATTTAATAAAGGGCTAGAGTCCCCATGTAATGTCATTCAATCGGTGATTAACAATCATATTAAGATTGATTAATTAAGGAAATAATTGGGTCAAGATCAGGAAGTCAGAAAAGTCCCAGATGAGGGGAGGCCAGCTGGTTCATCGGGTCCATTCAATTTTATTTCTCTCTATTCAGCTAGTCAGAAATACTTGTACTGGAATCATTATTATAAATACTGGAATCAAACCCCTACAGTATGAAATCCCCCTGAAACTTCCAGCCACAAGCCCCAGAATCCTCAGCCACAAGCCCCAGAATCCTCAGCCACAAGCCCCAGAATCCCCAGCAGGCCAGAGAGGAAAGGGACACGCCAGTGAAGGCATGAAAGGGCCTCACCCGAAGTAGGCGCCGTCGCGATCGATGAAGAAACGCCCCTCGGCATCGCGGGGGATGTGGTGGCGCCCACTGAACATGGCCGCCAGCATGGTGTCGTCGTAGCGGCGCAGCGTGGACAGCCGTGTGGTGAAGTAGGTGCCGCCCACGTTCAGGGGCACGACCTCTGGGAACTGGAGAGGGCGGGCGAGAGGGGAGGACCGTCAGAGCCCAGCTACACCGAACTTCACTATACACCCATCGGGAGGATCGTCTGCCCTGACAGCTACAGGTGGACAGTTAGGGATTTCACAGGACCTGCTGGAGCCTGCTGCAGGGCTCTGACAGGCCCGAGCCACAGGCCTCCTGCTCCAGGTGCACAGAGCCACACTGCTGGCTCTCTCAATAGACTGGGGGCCATACCTGTACGTACGCTACATTTAGTAAAAACTGGATTAAATGACATTCTGTTCTTCACCGCGTGTTCCCGAGTGACTTAATCCAGCCGCACTGCAGTGCAGTTATAGTTGAAAGATTACTGCCGTCAGCAATAAGTTTAAAATAACTGTTCAGAACCTCCTAAAAGTGTGATTACACAGCAAAGGTTTCTCTGCAATTGCTGACTACATTTACCATCGTGACTTTAGTAAACTGAGCTGGTAAATCCCTGAAGCGAGTCTTTAACCTATGGAAGTTAAATCTTAAGTGTAAACTACTTTTATTGATGTCAGCACTGACGTTTTCTTTAACTGGTCAGTGGATCTGCTTTGTCTGGCTCCAGTGGGGATTATTCCTTAACTGCTAAGCCTAACTCGTCAAACTGACCCGGTGTAACTGGCTGTGTCTTTTGCAAAACTGCTCTGAGGTTCTTACGAGTGCAGTTGGGTGTCTGTGTGGTCCTGTGCAGTACTTTCAGAAAGAGCGCACTGTCCTCTGATTATTGACAGGGATTAATCCTCCCTGTCTGTCCTGCTTGCTGTAAGGGGAGGTGATGCTCTCTGGAAATGACCACTTTGGCACAGGGTCTTGGAGAAAGCAGGCTGGGCTCTCCCAGACACAAGCAGGATCAGGTGTATCAAACTTATTTTCTTAAACTTTTCTGTATACCCCTCCAGTCCTATATAATTCTAAACGTTTTCCTGTTTTTTTGGGGGGGGCTTTGTCTCGGCTCTTTCAGAATGTTGCTTTGTCATAGTGCAATGATTTCTGCAGGCTGCATCATCGTTCGCTCTGATCCCAGCACTGTCGTGATGCAATCGCAGGGCCAGGACAGCAACAAGCACTTCCAGCTGCACGGCGCAGGGTGATTGTGCTGAGTCAGATGTCTCACTGGATGCCCTTGCACATTCTGTACACTATAAGAGGCCTGTTATGATTAAGCCTCCCTGACCCCACCCACTAAGTTTGTAATAAGATTTTCCCTACAGAACCTAATGATACAGGAGTCACAGTCCAGGGTCGGTTAAGAAGGTCGAGATTCTCCTGTCAGCCAATTAGAGCAGCAGCCAGTTTTCCACGGAACATCAACGGCCAATCAGATCACTGGAGATGGAGGAAGAGACTTCACCGGTTGCCCATAGAGACAAATCCATAGAGAGGGGGGGCGGTGGAAAAACTGCGGGAGATAGCGCCTGCAGATACAGGCATCCCTGAGGGAGCTAAGCCGACATGCAAACTCACTCATGCCAAATAGAAACGCACACTAATCCCACACGCAAAGCAGCCCTTACCTCCTGCAGACCGCTGTACGTGCAGAGTGGCTTGCCCAGGTACCGGCTGGGCATCGGGGAGGCTGGTTTTCTGAAGTCCTCATCGGCGGAGTCCGAGCTCGACATGGCATCGGCTGGTTCGTCAGTCTCGTCGCGGCCCGCAAGCACCACCATCACTCTGGGCTGGGGCAGGGCTCGCTTCTCCGCTGCGAACCTCCTCAGCCGAGCCGCAGCCGGAGCCGGAGCCGGAGCCGGAGCCGCAGGGAGCGGGCGTGCTCGGCTCTCCGCCTCGCCTCCGCCTCCTCCATGCTGCTGCATGCACTCCGCTTGCGACGAGCCGGAATCCGCTGGTAACGAGCAAAGGGATTCCCCGTTCGGATGTGCGGATTGAGAGAATAATCCTGACATCAGGCTAGGGGGTGGGACTTGGCGACAGCTCAAGTGGGCAATTATTAATATGCCCAGTGTCTTTCGGCATCTCCTCTCCCGGCGGCCCCCGACACAGCGCCACGGCGCAGCCCCCTCCGGGCCTCGGCGCTTGCGTGAGGCTCCTGCTCGCAGTTTCCAGCGCAGGGACCGCTGGTCCTCGTGTTGTCAGCGCAGCGCATCAGCGTCAACAATTCGTGCTCCCTTGCACGGAGTTTAACAGGGGTGGTACTGCATGCACTCCTAGCTCCTATGCCACCCGGGCTACCAGCGATTCGTGAGTACTGTGCACTGAAGAACAATCTCTGAAGGAAAATAAAATAACAGACTAAAATCGTCACCGCAAGTCCGTAGCTGCAGTTGTATGAAACGTACGCTGCGATAGGTGGGGGGTTGGGGCCCTTCAGGGAGCATTATTAAACTATCGAAATGAAATCTTTGCCACTTCTGGGGAACTGCAAATACCCTGATCCCGAGGTGCTTCCAATCACAAACCTTTCCAAAAAAGCAAAACAGCAATTTCATTGGAAATAACTTTTAAAAGGTGGACCTTACTACAAATGTAAGCTTTACTAGCTTAGTGGTAAAGAGTAAACAAAGGAACAGGTAAAGGTGTATTCCCTGCTAACAAAAGAAGAAAAGAAACACAATGTTTTGGCTGTGAAGCCTTCTTCAGGTGTGTAGAGTAAACAACAACACAGACACAAAAAAACAGCTCCTTGAGTGGTCTGCTCTGGAAACTGGAATTTTATTACAAAACAAATGCTGGAAAACTGGCATGTGAAATCCCTGACTGCTCAGGCACCTCGTGGTGGCTGGTACCTGTGAGGTAAGGGTCAAACTGACGCCCGTCCCAGAGTCCGCTGTGCTTGAAGGGGGGGGGACACAGAGGTGCTGGGTGTGGGGGGGGACCACCACCCCCCACCCCCAGCTGTTTCTGGGATCTGCAAGACAAAATTGCACATTACTGGCACTGGCACAACTATGCACAAAATACAAGTCATTACAAAGAACAGGAAAAAGCAGACATTATTCAGAACATCTATGTCCTGAGCATCAAAAATAATCAGTGAGAAAGACGATGGATTTACTATCTGGAACATCAGTCTTTCTGTAGCAGGTGCACCGACACTTTATTGAACAGTCGTGACGAGGGCAGGTTACAAACTGATGCAGATTTGTCTCCAACAGGGTCTATCATGCAGGGGCCCTGCTGAAGCCACACAGGCTGTACAGGTTCAACCCCCAGGACCTTGATGAAAGACCTGGGACCTGGATCTCTCCCTGCTGCTATTTATTGGTATTGATCCACCATGCTTTACAGTAGCTGCTGTACAGAGATGCTCTCCAGTCTGCCTTCTGACAAACTGCTACTGACTGATGGTTCAAACCTGGACTCCTGCCGCGTCCATATACAGTAAAGCAACTGCTGTTGCTGACCCCACCTGTTTCACAAGCTCTCTGATGTAACTTGCTTGGTTGAACTGATCTGACAATTGCAAAGGCCTGACAGCCTGAGCCCCCTGCAGCCTGATCTCGGCAGCTGAGCAAGGCCGCCACTCCTGGACTGGGAGATTCTGTATGTGAGTGGCTGTACCTCGGCCTCAGAGCTCCAGGCTGGTGCACAGCTCCTGGTCTAACCCATGCAGGAAGGAGAGGAAGGTGTGGCAGGCCCGGGGTCCTTTCTTTATCAGCATGTCCAGGAGGCAGCGCGACTTTTCCTTGGTGGTGCTGTTCCCCTCTAGCACCTCCTCCACCTCCCCGGTGTTCAAGACCTCCTCCTCCTGGAGGAGATCCAGCAGGTCCTTCACCACGGCCTGGTTCAGCCTCTGAATGAGCTGGACCCGTGCAGCCTTCACCATCTGATCTGGAACACAAGGTCATATGCTGGAGGGCCCAGTACAACCAGAGAACCGCAGAGAGGACCTGGAGGCTCTTCTTACACAAAGAGTTGTGGGAGTATGGAACAGGTTACCTACCCATGATGGAGGGTCCTACCGTGGGTCCTCTCAAGTCCCAGCTGGGTGAGACTTTCAGATCCATAAACTACTGACAAGCAAAAGCATCAACAAGCTGAAAATATCAGCTTATTTCAGTACTTGCCCACACTTTTACACAAATTAATCTAAGAGTAGGATTAATTTAAACTTTTAAGCTTCAATTTAAGAACAGAACCAGGCCTCTGCTATGTTCTGCTGCAGACATAAGGGGAGACAATTCCAGGTGGAAATTGGCTCTGGGAGCTACTATCACTATATTAAACTTACTAATCACAAAGGAGGCTGCATTTCATAAGAAACTTAAGATCTCTATCTTTTGAGTTGTAAAAATGTATTGCAAGGGTTCCAATCCAGCTACTGGTTCAAGTCAAGAGCTCAAGTATTTGGGCTCCAGGCCTGACAAACCCAGGCTTCATTAAGGGCACCATGTTTTATAAATCTCTGGGCCTGGGGCCCCACTGACAGCTCAGGTTTGGGGTTTCGCAGGGCACTTTAGTCATTGCAGTCTGGTGAGAGACAGTTTCCTATAACTGGATTTCTTCGCTGCTACACAATTCCTGGAGGGGGAAGGATGAAGGAGTCCACACTCTCCACCCCCAAAACAAAAAACGGCCCACATATCCCGTTAATTCACAGATGCTGCTGCCTTTGTCTCCGTTCAAAGTGGGGAAATAAATTGTAAGTGAGGACCTGGAGTGACATGACCAGGCCGAGGTGAACTTATCTATCTGCACCACACAGGAGTGCCTTTTCTTATTCATGTGCTGTATGACTAAAGGCAGGCTGGCACAATGTCAGCATTGCCACCTCGCAGTGCTGGCTTCAATCTTGGACCTGGGGTGCTGTCTGTGTGGAGTCTGTATGTTCTCCCTGAGTTCACATGGGTTTCCTCTGGGTGCTCCAGTTTCCTTCCACAGTCCAAAGACATGTTGGTAGTTTAACTGGCTCCTGGGAAAAGTGGCCCTGGTGTGAGTGTGAGTGTGTGTTTGTGTGTGTGTGCATCCCGTCCAGGGTGTACCCTGTCTTGTGCGTCCTGGCCAGGGTGTACCCTGCCTTGTGCCCAGTGCTTCCAGGAACAGGCTCTTACTCCCCAGTGACCCTGAATCGACGTAGTGGCAGGTTGGCTTCACAAGAGGATCTGAGATCTGACTTTTCCTGCAGTACAATCTGTTTCAAACCAGCTCTGCACCCCTTCCAGCACAGGACAAAGGGCTAGGGCACAGGTAAGCACAATATTCCTCTTGAATACTTTAAACAGAATCATTTACATTCTATTATAAAACTTTATTTTCAAGAATATGTATAAAAGTCCATTTAAAAGCACATTTATTAAAAATATCCAATATATCCACGCTCTTTCAATTTAAATTAAAGGAAACGAGTAAACAGAAGTCAAGAATATTAAAGTATTCGTGTATTTTGCTATAGTGCAGCTTGAACCTGTCACCTTATACAACCGAGGGGTCAGAAAGTCCGTATTTTAACTTTTAATTTCTTATAAAAAGTTACAGTATTTCAATATTCTACGTGCTGTATACACGTTTAAACTCTTAATTTTAAAAAAAAAGAGTACTGGTATTCACTAATGGGAATAATTAGTATGCTCATGCCTATTGTTACTACATGAGGTACAGTCTATACTGTACAAGACTTACCTGCCATCTCTCAGACTACTGCTCCTGTGAAATCTGCAGCCGCCCGGCTATATTGAAGAGGATGACGTGAGGTATTCGGGTTAAGTAACTTTTCTTTAACGAAAAACGAAGTGATTTCACCTTCTTCCTTCTGCTGAATTCAGGAAGTATTTTTTTCCTTCTTAAACTGAAAGTATCGGACCCGGCAGAGACTAACGCCCCTTTCTCTCAGGTAGAAACAGAGTCGCCACCTAGTGGACTAATATTAAATATGAATGGGTTTTTCGTCTTACTGCTTTGCATTAAGGCAAAATTTTAAATCAAATACTTTGGGGATTTTAAAATCATTTTATGAATGGGCGCGACAACGGCTAGTTAATTGAATTATCTTGTGCAAACTTCCTCAGTTTCTCAAACCCTAAACCCTAAACCAGGGTGGCCACCTTGTTATGAATTGATCCTGAACAGACATCGCGCAGGCATTTTTGAGCCAGCAGTGGTATCCCATCCCTATCTTCAGTTTCACTTCCACGCAAAAGTTAGTGCGTGGAGGGGCAACGTCGGGTCGTGAAGCCCTCGAAACGGGCTCTGCTCGGTCAGATACAGCTGTGAGCGGCACTTCCACGGGCATGACGTCACGGGGTCGTGTTCAGGAAACGTGCCTGCCCGCTGGTCACGATTTCAGTGGGCTGGTTGGGAAGATCATTTTTAGATAGTTTTGAAGTTGTATCGAAGCGTGCAAGAAGGAAACTTTTTGTAATGCAAGATTAAACATGCCCTTTTTGTTTAAGTTTAAGTTCAACACTAAACTCGCGCCTTCTTAAATAACGTAGCGGGGTTCTTCGGTCATTTTCTCTTTCATTTCGAGAGTGCTGTTTTAAATAATGGCAGGTAAGCGGCGTTCAGATTCGTATCTGTGTTGTACGTTTGTTTTCTGAAGTGCTGCCGGGCCGGGGTTTACTGTATGTCGACTGTATTAAGAGAAGGTAGGACGAAAAATGTCTGAAAAATTATAAGTACAAACTTAAAAAAATGCTGATGGTTATCAATATTTATGTCACTTCCTTCTACTTTGGGTCGCTGCTTAAGACCGCAGCTGCGTTCCACCGAAGTCCTTCAGGATATTTAAATCCTCTTATAGTTCAAGGAAAAATTAAGTGTATCAGTTAAAAATTAATTAAATCAATTTGGGACGGATGTATTAAACTATCCTCAGCGTCGCGCGTAGATGTTACAAAGGTAACGAGCCTGGGGTAGAAGCGAGCTTTGCGTGTGCACTGGAATAAGCACCTCCTTCCGTTTCCATTGACTTGGTTGACGATTTTTATCCAAATCGCTCCTTGCTCAAAGGTGTAATAGCAGTGTTTCTCGTGGGGTCTGAGCCTTCTACACACTGTTGTGCAGAAGTGACACGGGACATGAAAGCCAACGGAATCTGCTATAAAAGAGTTTTCTCCAGATTGTAACGCATACACGGCCACCACTGCGGGTGGTTCGAGCCGGCTTACCAGCGCGGTGACGTCACCGCCCGTCCCTGTGACGCGGGTTTTCCCTTTAGCTCAGCTGGCTGGGTCCCCGTTGAGTGACGCCGGAGGGCCCGGGTTCGAGTCCCCGACGGTGGGGGGCCGGCCTGAGGCGGCAGAGGCGTGAACCCGAGAGCGCTACACTATAATCTACCAGAAAAGTGTTCTGGCTGTTTCATGTTGTGGCTGCTAGTTGTCCCTTCCTGCTCCCCGGCCGGCAGAGATATCCAGCAGGACAGCGCCAGTTCTGATGCAAGATTAGAGCTGCGTGCGCTCACCTGTCAGGCGAAACAGCCTGGGTTCACTTCTGGACCCGGGGTTCTATCTGTGTGGAATAGGAAACGCTATTTTCTGTCTTAATTCTAGACTGAAAAACCTGTAATGTGCTTCCAGCTGAAAACCCTGTACTGCTTTTTAGCAGCCGTAGGACTGGAAGCTGACTGTGAGCTCTAAATGTGGCAGGAATTCCCACCTTTCACCGACGCTGTAGGCCTTCGGGAAGCCGTGCTGGCAGGAAGGGGCACCAAGATGGCCGTCACACCTGTGAGCCCTCTCCCACTGCCGCTGTCTGCTGCCTCGGCCCGGTCTGAGTGCGCTGCTCTCTCTGTCCCCCTGCGCAGACAAGAAGCTGTTGAGCGTGCGGACCCGGCTCGTCGATGGGCTCAACCACGCGGTCATCAGGGACCTGCTGGACGACCTGAATTCGGACGGGGTGCTGAACGATGGAGAGGTGGAGGAGGTGACCGAGGGGCAGTCTCGCACCCGGGACAAGGCGCGCTGCCTCGTCGATATGGTCCGGAAGAAGGGCAGCAGGGCCAGCGAGAAGCTGCTGAGCAGGCTGCAGGAGCGGGACGGCAGCCTGCACGGACAGCTGGAGCTGGACGCCCAGCCAGCGCAGGGCGGTGAGTGCAGACAGGCTGCTTCTCTGGAAGGTAGAGAGCCCAGACTGGATTCTGCACACACCTTGGAACATCTCAGCACAGCTCGGATTCCTACATGAATTCCTGCCACCGGCCGCCCACGGCTTTCCCTTTGCTTACCTTTATATCTGCCTTCCAAGACGAGCTCAACCTTGTCTTAAAAGAATATTTACTTTCCTGGCCAAACAGTGCGTTTGAGCAGCCTGCCCGAAAGTGGAGATTTCTAGGTGTAAGTCCTGTGTACAAGTAGACGGTCCCAGACTCCGGCCCAGCCTCAGTCCTGAGGCTGTGAAGGCCTCCCCTACAAACAGGTCCGGCGCCTGGCAGTTCTCTGCTGAATCTCTGCCTCAGCTCTGCTGTGAATATGGCCAGAGTCACTGTCCTGCCTCAGGCTTGTCATTTTAATCATCGCTTTCTCATCTGCAGCCCCTGTGCCCATCATATCCCAGCAGGAGACGCACCCCCCTGGTGTCCTCGTCCCCTGCACTCAACAGTTCTACTCCCGCATCTTTGCGGAAGAAGCTGATTCGGTACTGTACCGGTTTGATCACTTCTGTGTTTGTCTTGCCCCTGTAGTGGTAAAGCCCCAGAATTTAAGAGAGAACAGACACTGAACCTTAGTTTTGAAGGGTTCAAAGAAATCAGGCACATTTTTACCTTTTTTCCCTCTCTTATCAAATCACAAGAGCGTACATCTAACATTGTTACATTGTTAGGAAGGTGTGGTGGGATTTATTTTCTAGTTATAAATGCTATTTTTAGCAGCGCTGTCCGGAATTGCCCCAGCTGTCTGATGGCACATCCGGAGAGGCCGAAGGGGCTGTAGGGCCTGGTGTCAAATTCCGGGTGAAACGGCAGGATTCTCCGGCTGTCTCCCAGGCTTTGGTGTTTTCAGCAATCCCACCCTGCCTTTCTGTGAACTTGGTGTCCCATGTCAACAGGTTTATCCGATAAAAGAGAAGTCTGGTCGGAAACGCCTGGCCCTGATCATCAACAACATCCTGTTCGATCGCCCAGACATGGAGAGGAAAGGGGCATCCAAGGATGAGGAGAACATGGAGAAACTGCTGAAGGACCTGGGCTACACCCCGGAAACCAGCAACAACCTCTCTGCTGAGGTACCCCCCAAACCAGGACACAACCAACAGCCAGGGAAATGAGAACAGGCCTGATCTGACAGAAAGACTAGGAATACAAGCGACGTCCAGAATTCCTTCCCAACTGTGGTGGTGTGGGAGTCTGTACTTAATTTGACCATCTCGCTGCTTGATGGAAACACCACAGGTCTATCACACGCTCCAAACAGGGAACTGTGCACTACTGCAAGGATTGTAATTTACCAGCAGTGTGTGATCATGATGAAAAGTAATTGCAGTCCTTACTGACTGATAATACTAATATTTGGTGCAATAATGATATTTGTGCTTCTTCACTTTACCTGTGTTATCTGCCCTGGTGGCCTGTACTCCATCACCGCTGTGTGTCCACACTGCAGGCTGGCTGGGTTTTGGTTGTCCAGCCCCTGTGTGACTCTTCCAGTTTGTGCGAGCTTGTCCGCTAAGCAGTGTGCTGCCTTGGGGGTGTATTTGCAGGACATGGAGAAGACTCTGAGGGCCTTCGCCAAGCGTGAGGAGCACAAGGAGTCGGACAGCACCTTCGTGGTGATCATGTCCCACGGGGTCCGGGATGGGATCTGTGGGGTCCACTACCAAAACGAGGAGAGCAAAGATGTGTTTCCGAACGACAAGATCTTTGAGATCCTCAACACCCAGAACTGCCCCGGGCTGAGGAACAAGCCCAAAGTCATCCTCATCCAGGCCTGCCGAGGAGGTGAGATGGAGAGAGAGCTCTGTGACTGCAGTGTCCTTTCATTATCATCAGCCCTCTAAAAAGAACCATTTAAGGGTCACAGGGGTTATTGTGATATGTTGTCTTCCTGAGTTCAGTTATTCTGCTGATAGCGTAGAGCACGTCTTCGAACTACAGAGTCAGTGGATTAACTGCACTGGCAACGTCCTCTTGATACTCTGTGTGTCACACGTTTGAGCAATAAAGTACTTTTTTACAGCAACGTAATGGAACAGTAATAGATTACTGCTTTGCCCAGTCTTTCTGTGCGCATCTATAATTAGAGCCCTGCTTTTCTCAAAACTGAGCTCCTTTGACATCCCTGATGCTGGGACAGTTTAAAAACCAGCTGGGATGAAAACATAAAAAAAACTGCTGAGTCCCCTTTCTTTCAGAACTGATCGGCAGCATGAGAAAACGAACCTTGTGAAGGAACCTTGTGAAGTGCCTGTAATGTGCTGCTGCTGGAGATGATAAAGCAGCAACAGGTCTCTGTATAAATAATCCCAATGGCAGGCAGGTGGCAGGGCAAGCAGCTGCGTGAGCACACAGCAGGCAGCAGAGACAGGCTGGCACAGTGAAGGCAAGTGTGGTCCAGGCAAACACAGTCCAGAGTCATAAACTGGGACAAGCAAAGTTCAAAACCAACAGAAAAAACCTGAATTCTGACAGATTAAGTAGTCTTGAACCACCTGAGGCGTGAGTGGTGGATAATTGCCTCCAGGTGGAACAAGACTCCAGTCAAATAACGCACCATGGTATATGGCAAAGAATAGACAGGTGTCCAGCTACCATGTAAATACCAGTTCATCCGCTGCAACCAGCATGACAATAGCCCCAGACAGACCAGTGCCAGTTCCATCACGACCCAGCCTTTCTTAGGAAAGGGCGAGGTCAAAGGTCATGGTGTGTGTCATTGCAGAGGGGGGCGGCTATGCCTTTGTGAGCGACTCTGTACCTGTGGATCCCATGGAGTACGAGGATGATGCCCTGAGGAAGGAGCACAAGGAGAAAGACTTCATCTGCCTGTGCTCCAGCACTCCAGGTCAGGACAGCAGTGCCAAAGAGCCAAGGATTTGTCTCATCAGGGCCAGAAAGGCACAGTACTGCCCTGGGAGAAGTCTAGACTGCAGGCCTCTTGTGTGACTATAGTATGATGGGAGCTGTTTCTTGGAGACCGTGTGCATCGGCTCAGTAAAAAGCCCTGATGTGTAAAAACACATGAAGAGGTTTACTAATGAGGCAAACCAGCTCAATTTTTACTCTGCTCCAGATTAAGTTGAGTTACAGTATTTGACAAATTAAGTGTGAAATTAATTCGTGAACTTTAATTGTTCATGATGAAAGTCATGACTTTTTTTAGACTTGGTGTGTCCAGCCAGTTATGGGTTTGTTCTAAAGCCTCTGGCTGCAGTCATGGCTTGTGTATGGAAGTCCCTGCCTGGAGCTACGTCTCAGGTGCTCATGCAGGGAGATTGGGGAAGTGCAGGTGGGCTCTGTGACCTGACCGCAAATCGAGATGCATCGAGCCAGGTGATGATGATGATGAGGCTGTTTAGCTCTCTGATGTGCTGTGGGTCTTGACCCTGTCGCCTTGTTTCTCTCAGACAACAAGTCCTACAGGCACTGTGTGTTGGGGACGATATTCTTCCAGCGCATAGTCGAACAATTCCATGCCAACGCCCACAAGGACCACATCGACGAGCTGTTCAGGAAGGTGAGTGCTGCAGCCCGTCTGTCTGACTGACCAGTGAAGAGCAGCCGGAGGTGCTTTTGTTACCTTCGTGATGTTATCTGTTCAAGCCCTTGATTGATCCAGGCAGACGCTGCCCAGGGGTCTGCGCTGCTTTACTAACACGACCGATCCTGAGACCACGTGGACTCTTGTCTGGCGTCTAAAAACATTAAAACATTAAAAAGTACCACAATCCAATTCAGCGCAGCTTATATAAAAAGAAAAAGGAAGTTAGCTAGGCAGCAATAACTTTCCCACAATATTTCCTCACAGGTGCAAAATGCTTTCAAGGATTTCCCCATGCAAATGCCTAGTAAGGAGAGGACCACTTTGCTGAAGAAATTCTACCTCTTCCCTGGGCTGTGAGCTGTACACTCAGCCTTGCTGCCACCCCTCCGATGGGTTACTGCTGAATGGAAGGGAGCCACTATAAGAGTCCCAGATCTGCAATCTACAGAGCTTTTAATGTTTTTATTTTCTTACTGAAGCACTTGTAACCAGACGGCAGGAAGCCACGAACTCTCTGGTAATCAGCTTTTACTTCCCCAGTCATCCTCTGTCGTCTGCTGTAGCACAGCGCCCGTGCTTCATTGAACAAAACCTAACCAGATCTTTAAGAATTTAATTATTCTGCTACTCGCTTCTCAACTTCAGCTTCTTATCTCTCTGGACATTGTCTTATATACCAGACAAGACGGAGAGACCGACATTACGGTTTGATCTCCATTCTTGTCTGCAGAACCTCCTCGATTCTCAGTTACCTGCAAGGACTCACATTAATAGAAGCAATCTCTGTCAGGCCAGTGGACAGTGTCTACTGATGATAAATTCAAATGAACAAAGTTTCCTTCAATGCAAATGTAATGGATTTTTAATGGAAATACAGTGCCATACCTGCTACATCATTTCAAAGTGTGCTTCTTGATGAAACAAAAGAGGTAAACATAAAATAAACTGAATGCTAAACTACTAAAATTAGTTTTCCAACAGGATTTCAAAGTCTCGTAAGGGCTGCTTCAGCAGTCTTGGAGAAATGGAACAGATAGCAGAGACTGGGACCTGGAAGAGTTCAAAGAGCACCAAGGAGGTGTAGGAGTGTGCAGTGGGCTACCCACTGTGCTGGGTAGGACAGATCAATCCTACAGGACGTATCATTCTCTAATATTTTGGCAGGCCAGTATAGGTGTTTTTCTTTGCAATTCCAAAGCTCTACCTTAACCAAAGAGTGTTCAAATTCCTTTCAGTTTTTATTCCAGGTTTCAGTTGCACTCACTGCAATTATGCAATTACTAAATGGGCAGATTTAATGTTTTTTTTCAAGGTCATTTAAAAGCAATATGAACAATATGCTTGATTTAAGGTGTGGTTGCTATGAAGTCTAAATATTTCTATATGATAAACTAACTGGACTCTGGAGCCTGTTGCACTTCCAGAGGTGGAGTCTGGTCTCCCTGTCCTGTCTATCTAGGGAACAGGCATCAGTCACACAAGAAGAAAAGTATTAGACAGACAGACTCATCAGGTAAATCTTTCCACCTTTATTTTCTTCAACAACATTTCAGTGTTTTTTTTACAGATATATTTGACTGTTTAAAATTGCATAAGCTTTTATTCATTGAAATACTCAGCCCATATGAAAAATAAGAATAATTATAATAACAAAGAGTTACACTTGAAAGGACCAAAAACTATAATCTTATTGTATTAAAAAAAATAACCCAAGTATGACCTGCGAGATTTGGCACGTCCTACAGTAAGCCACCATGATGCATGTTCATTATGGGACAACTTCAAAAGCACACTTTGTTTTTCCAGTTTTGTGAGTTTCAGTCTGGCTGGTCAGGAGAACAGAGTCAATTCAGTAATCTGTGTGACAGCTAACAGGATGAATGGCTCTGAAAGTCTTGTACATTAATACATCAATTACTGCACTTTTTTAAACTTTTTTTTTTTGCAAATATCTTTGGTTTGGGTGACATCCCAGATAGCATCTTATTTTGGGCCCATGCATGCATTCAGTGTGCTGGGTTGCAGGTAAGTCGGGGGTGACAGAGTTTCATGCTGATATCACATGACTTCTGATCTGCCTATACTGGATATCTGCTACAAGCGGAGTGTCAGTCACATAGCAGGAAACTGAACCCTCTTTCTGTTTGAGGTTTGGGTTTGGATGCTAAACAGGTGTTTCCACAGTCCAAAAGAACCAAGAAGGTTCCTGAAGCAACCTTCACCAACAACCAACAGAGAACAGACACTAGGATGGAGGTGTAAACACTGAAACATAAACTTAAAAAAAAATAGACCAGAATAAAACCAGCAGGCACTTTCGACAGCATCCTTGACTTACGAGACTGATGCGTTCCTTGAAAGTCATCTGTAAAGAACAAATTCTTGAAACGAAAATGACTTAATTTATATATTAATAACAGCAAAAGAAAATAAATATGCAGTACATGTATAAGCAATTATTATAATAAACGAATGTAAATTAAACCTACAGTAAAACAGATAAAAAAAATAAAGCTGAATAAAAATGGAGTGGGCTGTGCAACACCGACAGGCCATCGAGGCGAGCTGGTGCCCGATGAGAGAGAAGAGCTGGCCGATTAGTGTCACTGTTTCTCCACCAGGGCTCCATCTCAGACTGCATGGAGCTCAGTCACGCTTCTCTCCGACTGGAAACTGGTTTAACATTCCTCAAAAATATAAACCGTTTCTTAATTCAGGCTGAAACAGTTCTCTCCTTAACATGCTTGGTTACAGTCAGTAACAAGCGACCAGGAGTGTTGCAGACAATACTCTGTAAAAACAGTGGAACGCAGGTACAGAATGAGTGGAACTCCCACAGGATTCGGCTCTATTCCCTACTCCTTGTGTGATGATCCCTCGAGGACAATTTGGGCTGAATTTTTATGGCTTTCGGGTAATTTGTTGACTCGAGGTGGAGTTACTGTGCTCTTTTACAGCCACCTGATCATAGTTTATATAGTATTAAATCAATAAAGCTCTAAAAGAGTAAGCTACTGCAGTACATGAAACAAATATTCAAAACAAGATTCAATACAGTGTATCTGTAAATAAAACCTTGCTCATTTAACATTTAAATTTAAAATTAGATAAAACAATTAAAGTCTAGCGTTAATCAGATAAAACACCAAGGAAAACTATAACTAACTATATAAGACTTTTTAAACATTATAGGACAGGTGACCAGTCCAGAGCCGTCTCTGGGCTCCTGACTCCAGTATTTCCCATCCACTACTGACACTCTTCCCCTCTCCTTTACAGGAAATTCTTCTTTCATTTTAAAAATGATTTTTTTAATAGAAGTATATAAACATCTTACGTTAATATGTGTAACTGCTTTCATCTGGGAGTCCAGCCCTCTAGTGGGACGTGGTCCCAGGCCATAAGCCCCTCTGTGGACGTGCACGCCCGCAGGGAATGCGGTTCGAAGTCACTGGGGAATTGCGTGACAGAACATCTGGAATGTAAGGATTTTTCAGGAACGCATCTGCCGTGTAAATCAAGAACGACTCGGAGACTCAAGATGTCCTGCCCATAGTACCAGCATGCTGATGGGCGCTTGGAAGGTTCGATGTCGAGCAGAGTCTGACGTGACTACTGGCTGTACAAGGCATGATGGGAAGGGCTGAAGATATAAACGAAATACAGCGAGAACTACAGACCCTGCTTGAAGGATGCTAACGTTTCACTTCACCTTTCTGTTTTCAGGTGACAGTCCAATCATAGAATTTTTGTAAAGGAGAAGTTAGTGTGTTTAAAAGGGTTGTCCATGTTGGAACTTGGATGAAGACCTCTTGGGCTGTTAAAAATGTTTTAAAAAATCTGTGGCAGAACTGACAAGCCCAGGAGGTTAGGAATGTTCATTAAGTACAAACCAAATTGCCATGTGAGTGATTGCAATTTTGTTAGATATAAACTAACAAGTGCAGAACAGAAAAATTAATAGTGATTGCATACGATTAAGTAATGTGATGGCGGGCATTTCTAATCATGAAACTGCGCTAATGCAGCGATCCTCCTGTGACCCCAACTTAGTTGTGACCAGTACTGCAGGGCCTAGTGATATCCACTGTGTGCATCGTGAATCCCTGTTTTGAAAAGCAAAACTGAAGTGCTGTTGCAAGTGGAGCCGATGCTCTTGTGCTGATGTTGTTCCATCATTCCGGTGGACTCGTATAACGAGAACAACCTGGATGTGGTTTTGGACCTCAAGTCCAGAAAAATGGATTATTATGGAGCCCGACAAGATTGGATTATCTGGGATATCATTGCTTGCGAAAGAACAAAAATTCTACATTGAAACACTGCGGCCATGTTTGCTTAGTTACCAACCTGCACAGACTAATGAGGATTCGAGCCCCTTTTCAAACTGACCGGAACTGTACACAGAATTTGCACCTGATGACTGATGTGAACAGATACAGGTAAACGGGTAGAGTCAGCTATGTTAAGAAGTAATTTCAGCCTTGAGGGACTCTAGTGACTTTTCTAAGCCTGTGTCGTGGATTTGACTGTAATGCTCTCAATCTGATACAAGAACTCCACACAAGACACTTTGGCCAAACAAGACTTGTCCACATCTCAACAGTTAGCTGCCGGAACCGTGAGGTCATTTCCCCTTTCCCATCTGTGCAGGCTGGGCGTGGAATTGCGCATCTCTGTTGACGTTTGAGCCCAAGCACAGCTGAAAGCCTATTGCTTTCATGTCAAGCACCGCTGCAGTTTCAGGACTACGCAGAGGAAATCTTTTGCTTTTCTGTTCCAAACAAGCATCGGCTAAGATCTGCACGACAACATTGCTGCAGACACAGCAGTCACAGACTGAAGTGGAAGAAGATCTAGTTAGAAAAAAATCGCGCAACAGCTAAGACAGTGGGCACAGCTTGAAGGAGATACGAGAGCAGGTCACGAACAGTTGGCTAACCCACTGAGGCTCCTCAACACCCGCAGACTGAGGCCCTGACAGCTACACCTGACAAGAGCACTACCTTCCCAGCCCATTGCAGAGAGCACAGCAAGACCAGCGAATGACAGGCCCAGGCGTAGCTGGACACCAATGGACAGTACAAGCTCAGGGCACAAGTTCAAAGACACCCGAAAGTTCACAAAGAAGAAATAATAAGAATCCCGACCATAAGAAAGCACTTCTTCACAGCTTGAACAGTTATACATCAGGACAAAAGAAAGACAAGAAGAGGAGACACTTCTAACCCACTGCACTGAACAACAAGAGGACGACACCAGTAACTCCGATCGGCCTAACATGCAAGCTGATTTTTCTTTTGTTCGTCACAATTTACACGGCTCCCACAATATACACAAGTAGCTCCCGTTAGCTGCTTATTAAGGAGACAAGATGGACTGGGGTTGAAGATCTGGCTGCATTATACTTGGGGTGACCTCTAGGCAACTCGCAGCGGAGCAGAGGGCATGTTCAGAAGGCGTTTTCGTTTGTTCAAGTCTGATCCTTTCTAATGCAGTTTTCATAGCTGCCAAGGCAACCTCTCACCCAAAAGCTCGCCTTGCCCACGTGAAGATCATTACAGAGGAACAACGTGGTCCTTCATAACTTAGCAACAGCTTCTAGCACAGGAGTTGGGGGATAGACCACAACTGTCCACGACTGACGATTTTAGGGTCAGAGCTGCACCTTGATTTTACCACTCTCCTGTACTGGGGACAGTGCCGAGGGATACTATGAGCCCAGCGAGCATGACATGTGTGGCATGCATCCATAATGCCCTCCCTTCATAAAAACAACAAGCAGCTTCGGACAAGCATTAAAATTCAATTAAAAAAAAAACTCGTTAGAACACAGACACAGCCACTCAAATAGGCAGCATGGCTGCGCTTCTTAAAAACTAGATTTATCCAGCAGTTGGAATGTATTTGAATCTGATGGCTGAATTAGTTGACCTTCAGGCAGTTGTCTGGAATATTTGGAATGGTTCGATATCTCCACACAAAGAATAACATAAGAGAACAACACAGCACTATCCTACATGCAGTAGGATCAGTAGTGGTGGGCTCTTCATCAGTACATATACAAACAGCTAAAGGATACCCAAAGCAAAGAAAGAGGCACACATCAGGATGCAGGGAATGTACTGTATCTCAAGTATATATAAATTGATAATGAATGCTGCAATGCTTATTTTGTATGTGCTGTACAAGTGGATAGAATATTAAAACTCGCTGATTTAAATGGAGCTTTTGATCAAAAGGAAAACCAATAAAGACACATGTGGTTTAATACAGGCTTTAAAATGCACGTGAGCACACACACACACATGCACACACAAATAAAGAGTAAAAGGCTGCTGTTCACTAATTTAACATCTCCAAAAACACAGCAAGCCGAAAGAAAAGTTTATCTATAACCTTGTGACAAATAATACTGATGGAAAGTTCTGTTCTCTCCTCGAGATCTTATCTGGGGCAACACCAGCAATAGGAAAGGTTTTCAGAACTGTGTTTCGCCACTGTACAAGTTGTTCTGTTTCCCAAACATCATGCAAATATAACTCCAGGAGAGGGGTGACAGCTTAAGACCAAATACAGATCTCATCCATCCCTTAGAGAGTCCAAAACAAATGTGCTCTTTTAACCACCACTTCATGATTTAGTCCTACAGTAGTTTAGTTCTACATCCATGTTTGATTTTGAGGGACTTCAGAAGGTGTAATCTGAGCAAACAGGACAGTGGCCTTACAACCAAAACAGTGGAATCAAGGTGGTACTTCAAAATAAAAAGCAGACATCTCATAACAGTTTGGTTTTGTCTGCAGAAGATCAAACTGAAGTTGCAAATGAAGCCCAACCTCCAACCTTCTAATCAGTTGTAGATTCAAAACCCATTATTTTGATGACAAGATCGTACTGGGTAACAGAAACAGCAGAAACAACAAAGGATCCACCCATCTCCATCCAGAGACTCATCTTGTCACTGGCTCTAGGGTTAAGATTTAATCTGGAATTAGTTAATTTTAAAGCACTTATATTTAATGCAACAGCTGGACAATCTGTTGCCTTTTGTGGCATTTAGACAATCTTCTCTCTGATGTTTCTTTTCCTGGACCATCGGTATTATTCTTCACAAACAGAGGGCAAGATTTTGATCTAGTATTTTATATCTATGTTTGAAGTCATGGTTAATGCTCAGTAAGTAAAGTGATGCATCTCCCCACACCCTTCCCCAGGAAATCCAACTGCATTCTGATGTCTAGAACTTCAGCATCTTTCAAGGTGGTAACTATTTTATATAACCTTTGACTCACATTAGACATTATTATTGTGCTTGACTTTGCACAAGCCAGTATAGCTTTTGGTCTAAGCCTTGCACTTTCTGTTTGAAAAGTACTGATATGTATTAGGTATGTTGCCATTTTCTCATTTTTAATTTTTCCTGGGCCATCTACTTTTAGGGGAAGAGCTGTTGTATATTTTTTGATCATTGGACAATAGTTCCATAATCCTGCCTGATCAGATGGAACTGAACTTCATTTCCATCATAACAATGGAGACTTTGTCAAAGAGTTCTTGGTCCTGTATGTCTCAGAGATCTGAACCCGAAATTGCTGAGGACCTGGAACTACTGTTCATTAATCCGTTCCATTCGTGATCCAATGAAGCAATGAAGCAAATTAGCTCAATGAATCGCTGGAGAGAGAGGCGTCCAGAAAGAAAATGGAAGACTATATATATCAAAAGCTGGAGCTGTGCATTGCCAACTACCCAAAAAACTGAAGAACAGATTTTATTGCAATTAACTCTAGATACTTTAAGGTCATAAATATTTGCAGAATCAGCTTAATACAGAAATATCCCCTGTTCCCTCCTTAGTAAAGAAACACAGTGATGTTGGAAAGTGTCCCACTGGTATTCTGGGATACTCCAGAAGGAAGCCCTGCAGGCCTGTAGCACACAAACCCAACAGGAGGAATTCACAAACAAAGTGCAGGAAGTAGTGTGGCAGAACATGCTTTGTGAACTCCCTTCATACTGCTGTTTCTCAGAAGAGGCGTATTGCAGTCCAGTGCCATCATGGGCCTGTAGATGTGCTTTAGCTCTTATTGACACAGAATGCTGTGTATGAATAACTTTAACAAGATGTTTGCATGGCTTTTTCCACCCAGAATGAGGATAACTGTCTTTTCTAGGAAGCCAGTGAAAGCTGGATCTTCTCTATATAGTCCCTCTTGACATAAACCACTGAGCCCTAGGTGACCACAATACTTCCAAAGGTCAAGGATGGGATGTGCATATTAGCCACAGAGTCTCTCATTATTATGACAGTTAATTTGGTACCTTCAGATAAAAAAGAACAGATTGATACTGAGACCTTCACTGTGGGATTATTCACAAAACCAAGGAAGGAGATCTTCAGATCATTTAGCCATTAGCAGCTCAGCAACAATCATTTGCAGCATTTCCTTGGACATTATAGCGTCCCTCTCTAATGTTAGTGTTTCAGCCGGAATGACCTTTTCGCTTGCTGCCTTGGTACAGCTTCAGATTTTAATCAGGGACTAAAACAACTTAAACCACTTCATTTTACTGAAGACAATTTTTAAATAAACAAAGTGGTTTTGATAGATCTGCTGTACTTTTAGTCAGAGCACTGAATTAATGAATAAATAGCTCTGTAGTCCAATGTGAACCTTAATCAGCTGAGTAGCTAATTGCATGATTACTTGTTAACAACTTAACCATTCAATAATTCACATATAGAATTTAGCCACTGCCTGTATTGGACCAGAGAAGTTTTCTTTTTCTTTGAAGAAGGAAAAAGAAAAAGAAACAACCGTTATTGGAATACATGTACAACATTACATTTGGCTAAATTACCAACACCCCTCCCCTTTAAAATGAAAACTCAAAAACATTTTTCTTTTGTCATATAACAACATTCAACACCCAGGTAACACATCGCAGAACCACACAGATACAAAACTCAAATGAATCAAGAAATCATGCATAAGAAATACTCCTCCTGCTGCGGTTTCTGTTCTGTTTTGTGGGTTGTTGTGTGGCAGACTGCACTGTGTTGAGTGTGAGGATATGTTTGCATGTGAGTGTATCAGCAAATAGGTGTGTGTATTTTTGTGTGTGTGTGCACAGTATCCATGAGTAGCGATTGCTGCTGGTCTGAGTTTCATCCCAGAGTCCCTGCAAGACTGGATGCAATCACAATGCCCAGCACCACACAACATATAATGATCATGATTTTCTTCTGCATGGGGAACAAGAGAAAATATATACGCAAATACATCCAGGCAGCATGAAAAAAGGAAAGGACAAAGAGAAAAGGTTAGTGATCGTTCCAAAATGATTTATTAACCGTATGCCTATGCCAATACCTGCACATTGTTTGATGTACTGTACATAAATATTTTTGAAAATTTGCACTCAAGATTTTGTTGCTTTTGAACAGACTTTTAGAGGAGATTTTCCAAATATTTCTGCTCGGTTCATAAATTACTCCCAGTTTTCAAGTTTTAAAGCTGAAAATATGTAAAATGTAGAGGTGGCATTCAAATGTAATTTTGTTTTCAATTATTAAGTTTAATGGTATTAGAAAATGTGGAGTAAATTATGTGCTCAAGCAAAAGAATGGGAAAATCACCCTTATTTGTCTTGGACATTTTTTCAAAATGATGTATATTTGGAAACAATAGGCTTTTTAACCATGGAAGACAGAGGGTATTAAATAAATGTATACAAGCCCAGTCGCTACCCAGACTGGTCTCTGCTAACATGTCTCCTAGTGTTTTCAGGTCATATCTCTCTCTGCCACTGAGTTTTCACTCCTGTGGTTCTTCTGCCTTGTTGTTGGTGGTGTTCTTTTATACATTTGGAATCACTATTATTTATAACATATCCACCCAATTGTAAAACATCAATTGTTTGGGGGGACTCTTTCTAGACTTCTTCATTGCTGAAGCTGCTGTTGCCCTGACAAACCACTAGGTGGGGTGACTGATCCATATTCTAATGGAGAGCTTGCTTGGGATCCGCCAGTCCGGCGCCAGTTTGCAATCTGTACTCAGAGTCAGTGCCTTCCATGACTGGCTGAATTTGGAAACTCTTCCTGTCCCAGGAAGCATCTGTCTACCCTTCTTGCGTACCGCACATGGCCAGACCCGAGCAACACTGCCTCTTCGGCTCGTCTGTGAGGACAGAAAGACAGCTCACCCATAATTACGCTGTCCTTTCTCATACTCTTGAGAGCTACAGCAGGGCCTCCTGTGCAGCCCCTTCTGTGATAACACAGCTGTAATAACACTATCGGATGTCACCTTGCCTGAAGGAAAGGCTGGATAATTATCATGAGCCCTGAATCTGTATTACATACCACCAGGGCAGCCTATACACTAGCAATTCTGCATGTCCTTGTCACAGCTGGTCTGGGCTCCTGCCTGATGTTCCGTCACGAAGCTGTTTCAACCCAAACTCCAATGGCTGTGGCCTTAGACAGACTGCTGTCTGCAGGTGTACGGAGTCTCTTGGCAGTGAAGAATGAAGAATAAAAACTGCAGTATGGCTACAGAAGTGCTTCTCTGCATACAGACCAGACAGCATGGCAGAGCCAACACCACTGGACACAGGCACCCCCATGGTTACAAGCCTATTATCAGCAACAGTGCTAGGATCTGATTTGAATACAAAGCACTTTTAAATCACATTCACCTTTCAAACAAGAGCAACAAAACAACAGCATTTCCAAAAAAAGCACAGTAATCGCCCCTTCACAGAAGGATACAGAACATGCACATGCTCACATGCACTTTCCTACGATTTAGAAGCAGCAGCACATCAAAGCAAGGCAGAGTGAAATGTACTGTAGTGTGACACTCCTACATTAACGCTGCTTCTTTCTGCTGTGGAACCATGTGGAGAAGCATTACATAACCCAGCTGGCACACAGCAGTTCTCAACGGCATCTGATCTACAGCACTGGCCCCGAAGTTCCAGCTCTGCGACTGTGAGTTTAATGACAACAGCCCCACCACCCACTGAGGTTTATACAGATATCAAGGGCATTAAAGACCTTCTGCAGGACCAATTTTATGCCACTGCCTTCTGAGGCACTATTAATGCTTTCTGTTGAAAATATAACCTTCAGCAGAGCAGATTAATAAAATGCAAGCTCTGGTCTTTTAATACTCAATGAAAAGTACAGTAAGGATAATAACCTCTACATTTTTCAATGGAAATTCCAGTAAAGGCAATGTTATTATACCTTGTCCATCTTCTAAGCAAATAATGACTTAACTAGCCTTTAATGAGTAGAATTTATACTTACCTAAAGCTCATACAGAAACACAGAGAAAATCTCCATGAATTAGACATACAGTATGTTATAGCACCGTGTTTGGGACTACTTTCACCAGTGCCCATTTTCAAGTTTCAAGTGACAAGAGCTCCTTCGGCTTCACTGCAGGGAATTACCCACAGTATTCTACCATCCCAGACTAACCGGACAGTTGCCCATCTGGAAACTAAGAAGTGCATGTAGGGCCGAGATAAAGCCCAGGCCCAAAGGGCTGAGGGAGTAAGGAACAAGCTAACCAGCCATCCCGCTGTTGACTCCGATATCCCGGCCCTCTCCAAGAGAAATCAACAGATTGGATCCTTGGATCTATTAGCTGCTAACAGACAAACAGGCCAGACAGGCTGAATGGCCTCCTCTTTCTTTTACACTTTCTTCCTTCTACCACCACTGCTGCCGCTGCCGCTGCTAACGAGGACTGTTAGGTTTTCAGAGGCTACATGGTGAGGAAGCTTCAGGTGACACAGCGGTTCATCAGCAGTGAAGGAGGCAGGACTTGAACTGGCAACCTCCTGGCAACGAGTCCAATCTCTGAACCACTGAACCGCCCAGCGCAGGGCGAACACCAGGCAGAGCTCCTGAGAGAAGGAGGAGAGGATGATATCCGTCCCGTCTGGGATTCCTGACTGTATCTGTGGGGTGTGGGGGAGCCTCTCAAAAGCTGGCTGACCCCTCTGGCCGCTAACTGAGCCCAATGGCCAAGGCTAGGATGAGAACAGCGAGAACGAGCGCCAGGCACACGCCTATCAAGAGCCCTTTCTGCAAGAGGAAAAACACAAGGGAAAGAGTGACTCCCAGCTGAGGAGACAAGGGCAGAGCTCCAGTCACAAACACGCTTCTTCGTTTGGCACAGGAACAGGAGAACTAGCAGCCTAAAACTGTGAACGGAAGTTATTCACTGAAGTTCAACAGGCCTCACCCAGCTGTACCTGATCACCGTCTTTAAGAAATTAGCTACACGTACGGAACTCAAACACCTCCCTTCAGTTCCTCTCCAGCACCATCTCCACCTCACAGCTGCCCCATGGCTCTTTCTGGCTGGGGTTCAAGCCTCCTCGTTCTGTGGCCTGGGGGCTGCCTCTTAACCAAGCAGGACAGGCCATACCTGCCTCACCAAGCACTCCAAACTCTCACAACGCATTCAGCTCTTGGCAGTGTTGTCACTAGTGAAATCTAGTAAAAGAGTAAAGGCTCAAGGAGATGGGTTTCCAGAATGACCTGCCCAGTAAAGGTTCTTACTGGGAGTGCAGGCTGAACTCAGGGATACTGGTGTCATGAATGATCAGATGCTGCACCAATGCTGTTTTCTCTGCCATCTTTCATCTTCAATCTTTCCCTATCACCAATGTTATGACAGTGGGATTCTGTAGAAGCTAAAGGGAGAGACGTTTACTTTCCAACTTATTTGCTTTAGTCTTGTGTTGACAGTACAAACTTAATAAACTACCTTCAAATGTGGTACCTCATTTATCGGTTTGGTTGCAGTTCTGAAAACAACGCACAACAGAAAATAGATCAAAATCTTTAATCATTGTAAAATGCCACATGCTATCAACTGGATTCAACTGGATTGGAAACAAAACAGAAGTACACATTGACGGTCAGTTACACGTGTTTGTGTCATGTACCTACCGAACACTTAATTCTCATTTTCCTTCAGCTGCAAACAGACCTCTGACAGGAGCAGCCTTGGCCAGCTCCAACTGGTATCTCCGTTGTCTCAGATTCACCTCGTGCATCAAGCAAGCTCAGTTTGTAGTGTCCATTCTCAAGCCCACCAGAAAAGACCTGGATCTCAACCGAATCTGGACCTGGTACTGAACTCCCTGCTCCACAGCTGAAGAACCCGGATCATGACTGACTTGACTGAGGATCATGACCGAGGTCTGGGATATTATAACTGCCAAAGCATTTTTAAAAAATGTTCTCCTTTTGGAGAGTCAAAAAGAATGTGGCTTTCTGGGCTACCCCTTACTCAAAAAACAAAAGTATAATTAATCAGCTGGAAAACAGGGCTTGCTGGTCATACTGAAAATAAAATCATGGTGTTCAGTACACAAGACTGCAGGAAGGTTACTTCAAGAGCAGGAGAGGTTAATGGTCTGGTTTTGGGAATCCGCCCATGTCACCTTTAAGATGAAGTAAAAACATTTGATCTTGTTGGTGTTCTGGTAGTTTGGCCGTCAGAATGACTTGACTCCCAACGTCCCCTGCAGCTACTGTACACTGCCACAGATCAAACCAGCCTGAACAATCGCACACCAGTCACCCAGTGACACTTACATATTAGTTGGCGGGCATTTAATTGACCTAACACGGTGACAAAACAGCTTTTCTGATAAATAGGGTATTTTGCCCAGTTTCCAAAACAAACCAACTAAAAGACAAAACGATGAATTAAAAATTGGTACAATGTATGGTTTGAAGATAGTTTGTCAAGTGTGGCACAGAACTGAAGAACAACTGTGCTATTTTAAACCACCAAGTAAGAAACTGCTACAAATAAGTATTTGTTTTATCTGCATTTATGGGGATAAAAGTCGAAAATTTGTGCGTTATGAGACCAGACTTATATATAGGATCAATACAAGAGGAGAGATAGGACCTCTGTATAGAGTGCCTTGTTAAGAGTATTCAGATCCTTGCACAGATTTCAAATTTATCACTTTAAAGCTTGCAGGCTTGACAAGCCATTCACTTGAATTAGCCATTAATATTTTTATACAGACAACTTTCTCCACACATTCAAAGCAAAAAACAAAAGAAAAATAAGTAAACAGACAACTGATATGTTAGAACAAAATTCAAAACGTCATGATCTAACAACTATTCAAACACATTGCTGAAGCAAACCGGAATTAATTTAGCTGCTAAAATTACCCTAATGAATCAAACAATTACCTAAGTGTACACTGTGTAAAAATATTGGTTCACGTGACTTCAGAGTAACAACACCTGTCTCTGTGAAGCTCCTTTCAGGCAAAGATTCAACCATGAACTATCAGACAAGTTCATGCCAAAACACCCTGTCCCTTTACATCCCTCTATAATCATTCTTAGAATCTGAATGAACTACTGAACTTCAGATTAGGCACCAGATATCCACAGTTTAGAGCCAGACAGAGTTTCCAGCAGTGCACCAGAGCTGCTCACAACCTGGGCATGTTACAGAGTCTCAGGAGTTTGTGCTCCTATCGCGTTTCTATCATCAGCTGCTGGGATGGGTAGCACAGCCTGGTCATTTTACCTGATATTCAATTTGTATCTGTATCTCTGTACTGCTGATATATTCAGGGCTTTTATATCATCTTTCACCTTTATACTATCTTATAACATCTAGTTCTAAACAATATGCTAAAATTTAATTAATAACTGTATAAACTCAATTTAAGGGATCACAGATTGTAGAAACATCTCAGCTACGTGTTCTTCTGTTAGAGCAGTGGTTCTCAAACTTTTTGGACCAAGTACCACCCCTGATCAAACCAAAGCATCCAAGTACCACCTACAAGTCCTCTTCTCATAGGAACCCCAGAAAATCTCAATGACCAACATGAGCGCGCATACTCACATAATAAATATCACATAATAAAAATATATTACTTCATATAGCGCCTTTAAAGGTGGCTTCTCAAAGCACTTTACAGAATGACAACAGGAACAACAACAATTAAAAATAAACAATAAAAAACGCACCATTTCAGTGAGAGGGGTGAGCCTGTTCAGTCGAGCAAAGCAGATGTGAATTCATTGGTCGAGCCTCGATACAATTCACTACAGAGTCTAACAGATTTTAAAGCGTCGTTTAAATCAGACATTTTCTTGACGGCCAAGGCCTCGCGGTGGATACTGCAGTTCATTTCTGGAGCAACGTCTCGCATTCGTGCAACTACACCGCTGTGTCGGCTTGTCACCTTGTCACCGCTCCAGCACGCCTTGTATCCAGTCGATGCCACTCTCTTCGATAAACTCCCTCAGCAGCTGAAATGTGTGCGCTCCTGTAGTTCCTGTTGGTAGCGGCTTACAGAACGGAGTCCTCACGGGACATATCCTCAAACTCGTATCTAACGTACACGAGCAAATTGGCCAAATCAAAGCATCGACAGACTCATCTAATTGCACTGAAACACGCCCGCTCATCTTCAACAGCTCTATCAGCGTACTTTTGACATCATATCACTAGTTCTGCGAGTGACTGTCTTTCGAAGGGGGCAGCAGGTCGAGCTGTTTAGCAGCTTTTTCTCCACACATAATACGTGTCAGGTAAACAAACAGTTCTTCACACAGTGCGGGGCTTACCTGCTTTAGCAACCCGCAAGTTTGCATTTCCCACGTCTCCGTTTCAGGAGTCCGTCTCAGAACTTAAAACGTTTTTATTCCATGCGCATGGCAGCGAAACGCAGACACTCGGCATACTGTATTTTTCTCAAATTAACCTAGAACAGTCCTTACATATTTTTCTTTTATCTATCACGCTTTACTGTGCTCACAAGATTTCCAGTGTTCCAAAATCACGCCCATTCTCCTGCCTCCCTATTTGCTGGAGAACTTTTAAAAAAATACAATTGGCCGCTTACGTTCGTAGTACGCACTCCTATACAATGGTATAGAATTGCGTTGTAGCTCTTGTGTCCTCTCAAGTATTAGTGCGCGCTGTATTGTAGTATGTAGGCTGCGTATTTGACACATAAAACTCATTTTATTAAAATAGAAAATATGAAATCCTGTCCCAATTTTCAGTGCACACAAATTTCCAGGGTCATCAGACGCACCACCTGGGGGAGCTCCGCGTAGTCCGAGTACGACGGTGTTAGAGGAAACAAAAGCTCTAGTAGAGTACTTCAGGATATGCCCAATAGTACTACATTGGTTTAGGATTTCATCATAATCTAAGTACAATTGTATTTTTCTAAATGACCTCACAGTTATTAAACAGTATACTACTGTTTCATAAAGATAAGTACTTTGTCTGCAACTTAACTTTTTCCATTTTTTACTTTAATTTAGGTAGCGCCCTAGTAGCAGTTTGAAACTTGTGTTCCTGTGCTCGTTAGGAAAGTGCACACCTTTATCTAAAAGATTTTCCTGGCCTTGTTCAGTTCTGATTTGTATTGTAAAAGTAGAGATAGTAGCCTCCCACTGTTTCATGGTTAATTAGCAATTAATAATCCTAAATCCTCAACATAAATCCTCAATACTTCTTCCTCTATTTGGATGCAGTACTCGTGTGCACCACAAGGTGGAGGCATTGATTCAGCACTCCCAACAGGAGCTCCAGCTAACCCAGGCGGGAGAGAGAGACGCACACAGGCTGCCGCTTTCAATTATTCATAGGGCCCACAAGCCAGATGAAGTCATCTCCAAACACCACGCTGTTTTTTACAGACTGTTCGGAGCTCGTAACGAAGGAGATTTCAGAGAGAGCTACTGTGGAAGGTGCTATGGTGTGGAGATGGCCAGGTATAGTCGCTGTCCAGCCCCAAGGAGTGCAGTCTGCAAGTGGCTGTGAGGCCACAGGCGCCACTGTGAGGGCAGCGCTGCAGGGTGTGTGACTGTGCATCCAGACAATGCCAGAGATACAGGAAAGGTGGGGGTGGGGCTCAGTCATAAACTAGCTGTAGTGGTGAGAGTGCTTGTGGTACCACTGTGTCTAATAGCAAACATGAAGCACAGCTGATCATGTAGCTGAGGCTGCTTGAACCACACGGAGAGCACATCTCCTGCTCGCACCGACAAAGGCATCATCTCTCCCTCTCCCACGTGAGGGTCACGGCAACCTGGGGACTCTCCGCTCTCCGGAAAGATCAGGGCGCAAGGCAGGGTGGCATCCCGGACGGGACACAAACTTCGCGTACGCACACTGGAGCAATCTAGGGACAGGCGCAAAGCATAACTACAGGGCCAAGCGATCAAACAGAATGCTGGGTTTTGAGGACACTGACTCAAGAGTGTAAACATTTAATCCCGGTCCTGGAAATCTGGGTTCCAGCAGGTTTTAAATGTCACCCTTCAATCATCCATCTCCGAGGCAATCCAATCTAGGGTAAGCTTTGCCTTACACTTTTGCAAAGGAGTTGCTCAGATAAGCCAGGAGCGCTCAGCTCTGGTCAGCTCTGTCATCTGCTTGATGTGAAAATGAAACAGATCTACGCCTCTAAATCGATGATTTACGGGGGACCAGGACTTTGGGACCTTTGGAGAAGTCTCCAGAAGTAGACCGGGGTCTACAGAGAGGTCTGTGGACGTTCTGTGGGTTCAGAAGGCACAAGGATCTGACGGGCTTGACAACATCTCAGAATGGCATGCCGCATGCACTAGCAAAGCCGACTCACAGAGACAGCAGAGGTCTGCAACCACCAGGAGCCTCCTTAGCAGAAACAGCACCATTTAACCACTGTAAGGGACCAGCAGTAGACTCAAGGGTGGCCCATCCACAGACTCCATCTTGCCTCCTAGATGACCTTAAGCCTTAAGTGTGTGTACGTGTCATGGTGTGCCGTCTTTCTTTCTGCTCGTCTGCTCACGCAATGCTCATGCAAGAGCCCTGACTGTATGGTAACTGGCGAGTGTCTGGGCAGACAGGGTGAGTCTGTCTCAGAGGGTTGCTGAGCTGATTGCATTAGGATGCGGAGCAAGTAGAGAGATTTCTTGGCCTGTGCAGACCTGAGAGCAGGCAGACCTTTTTTCAGTTTCTCATACACACTAATTGTTCTTAACAGACGAAGCTGAAGTCTTGATGCAGCGGGTCCGCTTAGCTCTGTGCAGGTGTAGACGAGTGCGTTGTTTTGAAATTCATTTTTTTCTTATAGGATTGTTTTCTCACCTGAGAAGCTACTCTTTCTCATTTTGGAAAACAGGAGACTTGGGGTGTTTATTACAGCGCGAACGTGAATTGATTCTAAGAAATAAGTCCTCTGTCTTTGATAACCATTTGTTGACTAGTGTGGACTCTATAGAGTAAGACTGAGTTAATGTAAAACATTGTAAAACACGCTCCTTCCTATTCAATCTATTCTAGTCCTGTTTGTATTAGTGTGTTTTTTAAACAAACCGTGTGGATTTAAACACTGTTGCTTCTCTGTCACTGACACATGGCAGCTCACTCAGTCAGGAAACCTCGTACTTTGGGGTCCCAGAGACCACAAAGGGATTGTTTAAAGCTGGAGTGTAATAACCGCTACACTGCCCCAATCCAGCTGTGCTGTGGAGTCTTTATTCGGAAGGGTACAGTACATGTCGAATGATGAAGTCCGGAAGTTGGAACAGGTCTCGTTAAGCAGAGAGAACTCTGTTATAATGTTCTGGTCTCTTCTCTCCACTATCACTCTGCTGCTGGATGGGCCCAGAGGACACCTCCTCCTCTTCATGAAACACACTTCTGACGCATCTCAGCAAAGACACTGGACGGTGACGGAGGCAGACCCTGCTCAATCAGAGCGCAGCGGGCCCGTCTGAGGACCAGCCTGTGGCTGTGGCTGCTCTGGAGGCTTCTTTGGTTGCAGACTTCCGCCTCACCCTGACCCATGACCACTCACCCTCCTCGCCTTACTCTGGTACTTTACAGCCTTCTTGGTGTCAGACACGGCCCTTTCCACATAATCCACCGAGTGCTCCACGTTGTACTCGATGCGGTCGATCATCTCCCCCTGCCGCCAGCACAGACACACAGACACAGAGACACAGAGAGGGGTGTTGAGAGACGGTTTGGGGACGGGCCACGTGGCCACTCACCCGCTGGCCCCGGCCCTTGGTGCGGCCGGCCCGCTGGGTTTCCTCTCTGGCCCGCTCCACGAAGTCCGCAGCGGCCAGCACGTTCTGCTCGATGTTGTCTGCCAGCTCCCCCTGGAGGCCGAGAGCAGAACCCTCTCTGAGAAGGAGCCCGTTCCTGCAGCACCAGTCTGTCTAAAGGTCTTATAGTTGCCCGTAATCACAATATCAAAGAGCATTGCCTGGAGGGCTTCTGGGGGGTGACTGATGCCTGTTTGGGAACTTATAGCGATGTATAGAGGATCTGGAGAGCACCAAAGAGAACACACTCAAGGTGCTGGTGCGCCGAATCCAAGCAGTTTTGCAGGAGTTTTAGAGTCTGAGTACAGCTCTGGTCACCCTCTGTTATTACTATGAATGGGTGTTTAGAAGTGGCCATTGCATGTGCATTAGAACAGAACTACACACCTCACACATGGTTTCTGATAGAGTTCTTTCTGACTTTCAGTTATCTGTGAAATGTCACATCTAACAGGTGTGTGTTATTTAAAATGCACTAAAAAGCCAGGTCAGGTCAGGCCAGGATCTACAGATGCCCCTGGCAGACTGACTGGACTGCCCCTGGGGGCAGCTCAGCAACAGCCTGGAAGGGCAGGGAGCTCATCAGATCCTCGATTCAACTGCGGCCTTCCTGGGGGTCATGGTTCTGCCCGGCATGTGACACCGCAGCGTCTCAGGACGTCAGTCACCCTGGTACCAGGAATGGAAGGAAATCCGGAAATCAAGGAATTTTCTTGATTTCGTCCACAGGCAACTTTAAGACCTTTTAGATTTATTTATCACTTAAATTTAACTTATAAGTTAAAATAAATGTAATAAGATTATCACCACTTCACTGTCTCATAACTTTAAACTATTCAGACCAAACGTCCCCAACGATATTTATTATATTTCTCCAGCTACACTTCCAAAATGATCAAGTTTACTTTTCAATTGACACTCTGTTAACAAGGGACGAGAGCTGTACATCTGTTTTGCTCACCAGGACACCTTTAAGGCTTGTGGTGTCTTTCAAGAGCATGCAGTCGCTGCGCATATGGCAATGGCTCTGGCCATTTCACAATGCTGCTTTGTTTTCCTTTCTTGTTTTTGTTTTGTCTTCTAATTCTGATTTTCTCATATCTTAAGACATACCATAAACCCAAACAGTGTTCTTTGTCAGACACAATCTTAAAATACACACGTATCACATGTTAAAAAGAGAATCAGAAGACTGTTCAGCTGGTTCTGCATTTCAGTGTTAGACTATTCAACTATGAATATTAGGAATACTAATTAAGAAACCAAGTGAAAGAGTCCAGCACAGCAATGTGGCTGAGGTTATGAAGAAGTATTCGTTTTCCAAAGGATATGGATCTAAATGCTGGGTTGCCTACTGCCAGAGCAAACAATGTGTTTGTAACACGTCAAACGCAGCAGATCTGTAATATGCTTTGGTTCCAAGTAGTTGAGCTGCCTGTGTTTCAGAGTGTACAGCTGAGCACTATGGACAGTCACTATGCAGAGGAAGAGTGTGACAGCATGCAGAGGAAGAGTGTGACAGCATGCAGAGGAAGTGTAGGTTTGTGGAAACACTCCAGCACTCATACGGGGTTCAGAAAGCAGGTTACCTTGTGTGTTTAGGGCGTGGTCCGAGTTAGCAGCATGGTGCTGAAACAACCTGTATTGGGTTAGTGCAGAGAGAGGCAAAGACACAGCACAGCACAAATACACCGCATAACGGCAGTCATAGGTTAGTCTACTAATTATCTTAGCTCATGTGTTCTTATTCAGGGAGCTAAGAAACAGGTTAGAATGTTAGACACCTTAATTCTACCACAGACTCAGAGCAATATCTATTTTACAGTGCTCATTAAAGAATTAATAATAATTAATTGCATTTGTTTTGTTTTAATTCCAAAAGATATAAAGTGCTCTACACATAGGAGGGGACACACTTCATCCACCACTGAAGTACCGCCCCTCCTGGATGATGTGGAGCAGAAATTCAGGCCCAGCAGCCCCAGCACAGCAGATGAGAAACTGCTTCAGCATTTGAATTAAGGGAGAATATTACCTTCAGCAGACTGTGGAAGCCCACAGCGTAACACAAGCAAGACGCCAGGGTTAATATCTCTATTCTTACAAGTGGCACAATGAGAACTTCAATGACAGTCAGAATCCCAGTTTAACATTTGAGCCGGAGGACAGCACCTCCTACACACGGTGTCAGTCAGTCACTATACAGAGACAATGGCTTGGAAAACCCAATCTAGAGGGAAGGACACCACCTACTGGTCTGGCAACACCACTCAGAGCAGGAACCTGCGTTTTCCTCCCATCCCAGCTCTGACAGAAGGGGTCAGACAGAACACATCAGGCTACGATGTGGTAATGCCACTGTCAATTGCAATTGTATTTGCATTAGAAAATGTATTTTCTAACTTAGTGCTAATACTAGGCTTTGTACAGTATCTAACCATTTCACCTAAGCAACAAAAAGTCAGTCAGGTAACTTGCATGCGGTTGTGAGTTTCACAGATGTCAGCCGAACCTTGGAGTGACCTTCGAAGAACAAGTCAAAGAGCAGGCTGACAGCCTGGCCCGAGAGAGCCACAGTCCTGCAGGTTATAGGTCATTGTACGCAGTCAGTGACCAGACACCAGAAAATATATAGGTTAATGCATAACTTATCCAGTAAGCAATCCAGTAAGTTTCAAGTTTCAATATTAGGTGGTAACAAAAATCCAGTAATTGAAGATCACAGCTCTGCAGGACCCAGGGTGGGGACACCTGCCACTGGCTATCAAACGTGACCAATAGGAGGTGCTGGCTGCCCAGCCACCAGTGCAGCAAACAGACTCCTCACCTGGCTCTCCACCAGCATGGCCATGTCCATGAACATGTCGTGCAGCTCCCGGATGCTGTTCTCCAGCTTGATGATCTCATTGTGCCGGGTCTCGATCTCGTTCATCGCCTGCTTCGTGATGTTGGAGTCCATGATGATCTGGGGGAGAAGGTGGGTACAGGAAGAGAGGCTGGTCAACTAAGAATCCACCTCCTGCTGACCGCTCCTGAACCACCAGGATAATAATAATAATATTGCTCACACTTATATAGCGCTTTTCTGGATGCTCCACTCAAAGCACTTTACAGGTAATGGGGATCCCCTCCACCACCACCAGTGTGCAGCTCCACCTGGATGATGCGACAGCAGCCATAGTGCACCAGTACGCTCCCCACACATCAGCTCTCAGTGAGCAGAGCGATGAAGCCAGTTCAGAGATGGGGATTATTAGGAGGCCATGATTGGTAAAGGCCAGGGGGAAATTTGGCCAGGACGCTTGGATAATCCCCTGGGATTTCTAATGACCACAGAGAGTCAGGACTTCGGTTGTACATTTCATCTGACGGACGGCGCCTTTTTACAGTAAAGTGGCCCGTCACTATACTGGGGCATTAGGACCCACACGGACCGCAGGGAGAGCGCCCCCTACTGACCCCACTAACACTTCTTAAACCAGCAACCTTAGTTTTTCCCAGGAGGTCTCCCATCCTGTTACTGACCAGGCTCACACCTGCTGAGCTCCAGTGGGCTGCCAGCTGTGAGCTGCAGGGTGATATAGCTCAAGGGCCCAGGACAGAAAGGTTGGAAAGAAACTCTAAGATATGTTTATTGATTCGTTAACTCTGTCCAACATTAACAATAACTTTTAGCCTGGAGTATGGAAGACATGTTTATAGGAACATATACCCATCCGTTCAGCACTTCTGTCACTCTGAAACTGAGGTCCTCACCCTGAAAACTGCCACCACCCGTCTCTGCTGAAATCCATGATTTAAACAGAGAAATAACATGGTGCTTCCTAAATAAACGACCATACGCCTGGATGGAAACAGAAACGAGTCCTGAAGACTGTGCTGTGGAGCTGTGCTCATCGGGTGTTTCCCCCACCCCCCCGCTTGCAGAAGAGACAGGGAATGTGACTGTAGTTCCCAGTTTTAATCATCGCTTCCCAACGATCTCATGATCTGCCACACTCAGACACCTCCGATTTCATTGCTTAGATTTCTTACACACCATGTTACTGTACTTTATTGGGAGTTAATCCCAGGTGTTCAGCAAATCTGAATCATTTCTATTTATAGGTGAGATGTACAGTATGTCTCCAGCTCCAACTTCCTAAATGTAGAGCTCTGTGTCAAGCATTGACTCTTACACAAATACTTAACCAGCCACCTGGGATTTCTTAAGTCCACACTGAGCCTGAAGTAGCTGTGGGTTAACTCTGCCATCACACACACCTCGTTCAAAACGCTATCTAGTTTCCTAGACTTGCATTCTTTTTAACCTCAGATTGTGTGACAAGTCTTTCAGTCCAGGACTTATTCTTGCTGTTATTTTCTATCGCTTTCCAGAGCATCACGGCTTTCTGTCATGGTACAGTGACAAAAGTTTTTTAATCTAACACTGAACAGCAGGAACCTTTTCCAGATTTTATTTCATCCTTAACAGTTATTTTGCTGTTGCAATTTACTTTAAATTTCTCTCTTGGCCTAACTATTTTTTTTACCTGTGCTTGCAGTACATTTAACTAGATCCTGTTGTTTTTAAAATAATTTTATCATTTTAGATATATAAAGTTCTATTTGTTCTTGTTTGTTGAATGATTTGATACCGTTTTTTAGTTTGGTATTTATTCACTTGTGGGATAAATTTGTCCTGTCCTTGAGTTTGGAAAGGTGCTTTATAAATAAAAGTTGTTATTATTACACAAATTCTTAATTTCATTATACAGTGTTGAATTACAATTAATGCCTGCTTGTGGAATTTGATACCATCCTCCTAACCGTGTACCTTTGGAATGTTTTGTTAACGAGCCTAATCCACACAGATTCAGAGACTCTTAATTCCTCAGGCTTTAGTTCCTGTATCCGAAGTCTTATTTTGACCTACAGAGCTACACCGCCCCCCTCTTCAATCTCTCCTGTCTCTCCAGAGCAGGGCGTATCCACCAGTGCTGCATTCAAGCCCAGTAGTTGCAGTCAGCTATGTTTCTGTGATTCCAGTAACACTGTAATTGCCTTCCAGTGCAGTGGCTGTAGTGTACCTTGTTTCTAATAGCTTAGCTGATGCTTTGTCTCGTTTTTCTCTTTGGTTCTCCCTTGGTCTTTCCTCCCCATCTGACTTCATCGTGGTTTCTCCCCCTTCTGTCCCGGCTGGAGCCCTACAGTAACTGGAACCTGACTTTCTGCAGACGCCTGTACTGTATCACACAGGTCCCTGCTGTGAGAGTGTGTCTGCGCCACCTCCTGCAACGTGTCAGACTGACTTCTCACTACTTCACAGTTTACCCACAAGCCAGAAACACTCAGCTAAAAAATAAAAAAAATGTCTAGAACTGCACTTTAAACTGTAAGCTCAGATAGATAAAGCCTTTAGCCAGCTGGTTTCTTTTAATAAATGATAATATAACCTCTGCCTGCTTGTACGGACGTTGACAGACAGCAGTATGATGAAGACTGGGCAGGAGATGATGTTCCGATCAGCTGCTAGTATCTAGCAGGGAGGGGAGGGTTGTGGGTTGATCTCGGGGATCTCTTTATGGATCTAGATCCTTTACTGGGGGAGAGCCAGAACGCGGACAGAGCCGCTGGATTCTTCCTCGGGCTCTTCCTCATCACACCTGTCTAGTGCCCCTTGTTTCAAAGCCTTATAAACTCAACGTTGCTTTATTTGTGGTGTGAAATAGTCTTTCCTGCATGGATGGTGGTGGTGGTGGGGGGGTGCAGAATCGATCAGATTTATGGAAACCTGTTGCCACCAGCTTTCCAAACGGAATGGCGTTGCCATGGCTACGGTGGTGTGATGTACATATTAAAAACTCCCGCCGCGAACGCTGGTGTGGACGGGAGAAAGCCCCACTCCTCGCAGGGAGGAGGAGAGAAGAAAGACGGGAAAACTCATTCTGCTCCATCGGCATGGGATACAACCCAGTGGTGCTCTTCCACAGGGCTCCAGAGG